AACTAAACACATATGATAATGTATTTGGGTTTTTCAATAATGTGTTTTAAGTCCTCAGAAGAAGACATGTTACATTTAAAACTTACAGTTGATTCCGATACATCAATAGCATTAAGAATTTTGCTTACACCACCATTTTCGGTTGCATCTCGCCAACGATCTTTTCAAAATTGAAAATAATAAAAAATTATCTCAGATCAACTATGAATCAAGGCAGGTTAAGTAACTTGACTATTGTTACAATTGAAAATGAACTGTTAGACAATTTGGACATAAAAACAAATAGTTACAGAATTTACCAGTGTGAAATCTAAAAACATTCATTTGGTTCAGTAAAAAATATATTTAATTATATTATTTGTATGCTTTAAGTTTTTTTTTTCGTTTCTTTTTTTTTTGTATTCAGTTATATGATATGGATACATATGCATTTATGTTTTTTATTAGTAAAATAGATTTGTGTTCGATAAAGGTATTTGTTGGTTCATTTGATACGAAACAAATTTTAATTTTAACGTTTTAAAGACTGGCCCTTAATTTTCCACTTATTTTAACACAATTTTTACTTAAAAAAATCTTTTCTATAGTGAAGAGGGGCGCCAAATTCAAACTTGCACTCGGGCGCCAAAAGTCCTAGCGGCGGCCCTGCTTTAGACCCCCAATTATCCTGGGAGGCACATGTTGATGTTATTTCTAATAGGCTAAGCAGAGCTCTCTTTATGCTCAGACAACTCTCAAGTGAGGTTTCGTTCAATGTGTTGCATACTATTCGTTGTTCTCAGTCAATGAATACCCTCGTTCTTATCTGGAGCCATAGTTTGTCACGTCAAACAGAGACGTGTTCGAGTTATATTCCAGCTAGGATATAGAAACGATAAACGATGTTCAATCAACATTTTTATCAATAATAAAATACTTACAATAAGTATCCTCTCTACGCCTCTACACATTTATAGCTGTTTCAGTTACCTACTTGAAAGGCGGCGTCAATGAGTATACTAAAGGGATAGATTCAACTCGTACGAAAGAGTTGATCACAACCAGGTATCTTCGATTACACACAAGTAGATGGACAGTCAATTATCCTGACATTCGATTTTTAAATATAACATTCCCAGAAACATGGTAACCTTCCCACCATGAGATTTCTTGCGAAAGTAAGAAACCGGCTTATCAAAAGATGTATTTATGACATAAAAGAGTTTCTCTCAATGAAGCGTAACTCCGTTAGTAAATACATATATGTTTGTAAATATATATCTAATAATAATTGTTTTCAAACTGTATGTAACACGTAACAACACACTTATAATAATTAGCATAATAATTTTATATTGTCTGACATGTGTAAAACGTACTGTTTATATATAGATATGTATTTGAGTAAAAAATCGTAATGAGTATCAACTTTAATTATATAGAAAATCCTTAACAAAAAAGAAAATAAGCTGCAGTAACAACATTTTAAAAAACTGAAATACCGACATTTCAAAATTGTAACAAATTGAACACAGTTATAAAACGGATACCTATATTTTATATCTCCACAAAACATTGTAACGCAGATTTTAAAAATAACCCAAGTGCGATTTTATATCTGAACCCCCGTTTTTGTCAGTCTATCGTCTGATAAAGATTTTATTTGAAAAATGAGACCTCCGATATTACTGGACAGATTGTTTTTAGATGTATCATTTAGCATATGGTGCAAGTGATAAAACACTAACTAAAATTTGTACATTCTTGCAAAAATGTAAAGACGCACCTTAAAATTTGACTAAATCGAATTTTTAATTTTGTGTGTGCAGGTTTAAAAAAAATCAACATTATACAACAATATTCTATTTGACGTCATCTCAAAATTTGAATGTTCAAAATAGCATCTTACATCTACTTTCTTAATACATCCCTATTTTTTTTCATTGTTTGTGCAAATTGTCTAAAAAAAAATTAATTAATGGAACGATTAATTTTATTGTTTAAATCGGAAACTTTATTAGGCTCATACACCCGCAATTTGTAAGAATTTGTCAGTGCATACAAAGTATCGTACCTCCCTGTCACTAATAAATAACCCTTAGTGGTTGATGTGACGTTAAACGTTTAATAAAAAAAAGTCAGTTTACTTTCAATATTGAAGAGTTAGTGAGAATCATGACAGTGCTGTTAAATTCACATTGTGTTTAGCTTTCTTGTGGTTAATTTACTAAGTGACAACAATACTTGAAAAAACATAAAGATGTCGTTCTTTTGGAAACTATTATGTACAATAGTTAATTTACGTGAAAACTACAATTTTTCTTAGAATTGCAATGATTATAATAAAATGATAATTTTTCAGAATATTTGGTAACCTACTCAAAAAATGTGTGGATACTGACCCATACTAATTTTTAAGTACAAATTTTATATCGGGTGATCCTTTAAATTTGGCGTCGGTTCTCGGTTGTCATTACGAAAATAAAAACTAATCTCGCACTTGTTAAGTCAAATCTGTTGCAATAAAACACTGAATAATAAAAACTAGGTACATTACACCTTGTTGGTAGAATTAAAAGTCGTCTGCCTTGCTATTTTAAGCTGTAGTTTGGTTTATGTGACTTTTAAACCGCGATAGTAAGGTTTGATTAATAATGACAATTAACCTAACACCTGTAAATGACAGGAGACACCATTTGCCAACTCGCTCAGACTTACGGTTTATCATCATGGCTTTCTTTCTTGTCCTTCAGATTTAAATGGTCACCCATAAATTTCCACCAAGGGAGAGTTTATGGTTTATGTGATCAAGTGGTAAATCAAAATTTTTCATCACGTTGATAAATTTAAAAATCTATATCTCAATTACTTATGGAAATTTCGGATGGCGGTTATCACCAGACTTCCCCACTTTGACAACCCTATAAATTATAATTGAAACATTATAGACTTTTTTGTCGGAAATGACGTTTTTATTTAATGATAATCATAAAGTGTGTTTTTTTTAAACTACCCTTATGTTAGATATTGAAAGTTGTGGGTAGGATGTTAGCAAGAAAAAATTACCTGCATTTTAAAAAATACCCAGACTTCTTCGTTTTCACCTCGTTGAAGAAAGTGTTTGCATACCTACCTATGACGATATAGATATAATTGTGAATGTATTTTTTCTTAATTAGTTGGCGCTGCAAGTTATTTGAAATTTGTTTGCAAAATTTCAGTTCCATCTCGCAACTGTAGTCAATAAGTTCAATATTATGAACATTCAAGCTCTCAGTGTGAAAACAAAAAATTAACTACTGTACGCAACACGCTCGCTCGTACTTAAAAATCATGATTATAGTGGGATTTTGAAAACGTTTTCTCTTGGCGGATTTCCCTGAACTGGGGGAAAAACGGAATTCTGTGTTCTGCACGTTTTTTATTTAATTTTGTTAATTGAAACATTCCCAGTCAAAAATGTATAAAAACGAATCTTTTGATGTTTGAATAATCATTGAAGTGAGAAAAACATGTTTAGGTAATGAAACTTTTATTATCACAGAACGTCAGTATGACGTTTGCTAAAAAATTTGTTTGATTACTGTTGACTTTGAAACCTCAAATTACACCGACAAAAACCAATGAATTAAGTTCGATAGCACAGCAAAACAGTTACTAAAAGTGTGCCATCTGGTTCCGTATATTGACAGAGTATGTAGCTTATAGTCCTGTACTTTAAATTTAAATTACAACCTACATAGTTCATGTGAGAAGATCCGGCGTTTGTCTAATGCCAAGTCAATAAAAGAAAAATTATTGAAATTATGGAAAACTACCAACAATTACGGGGCTAAACCGAAATGTATACCTCCATATTTTTTTTTAAATTATCGAATTTTTCCTTTATTACAATTCGTGGAGAATCTGCACCGCTTCTTTCCCAGGTACTTTATTTAAACTTGTATCTATTTTTGAATTCTTCGTTGCGCATGTTGTTAGATCGTTCTTTCATAAGTAGTTTGTAGTCCCTTAATTTCAGACTTGCGCTTTTCCAATAGACAATGTTCCTGCGTATTCAATGGATTTATTTTATTTACTACATAAACAAATCTATTTTAATTCATAATAAACTTTAACTCCTGTGCTGGCTTGTGGCTACATGATGTCAAAGAGTGTTTTCCCTCAAATATTTATTTAAGATTAGATCAAATGATAGAAAATTTTAAATTAGAGTATTTAAATATCGCGGATGTACTACGTTAAATTTGCTTAGCAACTTTTCCAATTTTTTCCCCATTATTCATAATCTTTTGTCTTCTTTTAGATAACTGGTCATGTCAAACCGACATATATTTATAATTGTTGTCATTTTGATGTAATAAAAATATTGTAGCAATTTAACAATTAGTTTTTTAAACAACCCTCTGTAGAAACTTTTATGGCCACCGTGGCCAAAAAGACTGCTGATAATATTCATTTATATTGAAGAAAATCTTTGAGAATAAGATGACTCGATCTTGTCATTCAGTCATCCTTTCCACTAACATTCCTGTAAATATTTCTCTACTGTACCTACACAAAATAACTGTTTACAAAATAATTATTTTTCGTGATAAATTTCCTTACGAAATGTCTATGATCTCTTATCGCAGTTTACCCATTCGTCCGTAATTGCTACAGAAGTAACTGTATATTTTAATTAGTTTGTATATTTCATTGTTGTTTCTGAGAAATATGTGTTAATTAATAATAGTATCATTTGCATTATTATTAGGTACAATATTAAAAAACTTCTTCGTTTAGTCTAAATCTATTCTTTATTTTAACTTAAATTTATTTACGCTTTTCTGTGTTAGTTTTGGCAATTATATTTAAGAATTAACAACAATAAACAATTAAACATGTAACAAATTTTTTTCCCCAGTTTGACAAGTTTGACTAATTTGTCCAATACTCTTTATAGATAATGAGATCAAAAACGTTCCCAGAAATCCGAATTCCAACAAAACTTGCAAAAATCACCGCGAGGAGTGCTGCTGTACTTCTGCCAAAACATTCGTGTTTTGCTGTCATGTTTTTGTGATTTTCTCCCTTGTACGTGCCTTATTTTCGTTAAATGAATTTTATTTTAATACAGACATGTGCGCTGCATGTGAATTGACAGTGCGTTAGCCCAAAAATGTGAAGTGACGCATCAAATAAACAAACAAACCGATCAGGTTATGTGTGTTGACACTATTACCGTTGGTCATAAAAAACACTGGAAAGGGGCGTAGCAACCTACTTGAGATTTCCTGTGAAACGAACCCAGTTCAAATCAATTAACGATGTTCTCGAAGAAGAAAAAGAAACCGCAAATTTCAACGCCGACGAATTTTGAACACCGAGTTCACACAGGTTTTGATAAACGAGAGGGGCGCTACGTGGGGCTCCCGTTACAGTGGGCCTCGATCGTAGGAAACAACCAAATACTCAAATCCACCAACCGGCCTTTACCTCTCGTTGATCCGTCGGAAATCACACCCACGGAGATTCTTGATCTGAAAACAATCGTCAGGGGCGACCACAGGTCTGACAGCCGACTAAGCATACAGAACAAGAACCAACAAAATGGCATTATTCTTCCAAAAACATCGAACGTCGCTCGCTCTAATTCCCTTCGGTCCTCGAGTCCTCCAAGACTTAGAAGAGACCACCGAAATAACACGAACGTCCCGCCTGCAGTGCCAGAGGAACAAATCCTTCAGTATACATCAATGCGAAGGGATCCCAGTATAAGTAAGCCCCAAGTGAGAGAGAGTTCACCAGCAGAGAGGTCTTTGAGTAATCACGAGGTACCAAATCCTCACATTAATGGGAACGTTCAGGAAGGGTATCTAGGAGGGTACGGACGTGCTGAACATTCTCAGCCATCACCCGCAGGATCTATGGCGTCTACAGGCCTCTCGCAATTAGGAGCTCATTCTCACCCTAGCCATGGGTCTCATCAAAATTTGCCTCAAGCTACGTATCCAGTCAGACATGATCAAAATCAGAATCTCAAGAATGGGGGACAAATCGGGAATCACGGGGCAACGGGTGCCGTGGCACCAACGTCAACAAAGCATCATGAACAAAGGCTGACACATGAACAGGTTTGATCAATATAGTGTGTTATTGAACAAATAATCGGATAGAATTTAAGGGTTGATTCAAGGGTAGAGTCTTATGCAGAAGAGCTTTTATTCATTTTGTCGACCTTGTCGCCGGTTATAATGCAACGACTAAGTTTACTTTGCAATTATAGCAATAAAACTTAAAAAACCATTAATATAGCTACATCAAAATATCTATTAATAAGTAATGACAGGTCCTTTCAAAGTAACTTGAAAAGCACGTGCTCTATTTTTCAATCAGAATTACGTTTCACATTTATGTAGTTTATTTGAGAGCGATATAAACTTCTAATTTTAAACAAAACTAAAAATAGAGTGAAAATACTATAATGTGCTTATTATAAGACGTTCAGAAACTTAATAGACTAAAAATAAGTTCTTTGTGAATCAAGGTCACCCATTCAGAAACAAACAGTTGCATTTTTAACTTCCCACAAAGGATTTTTGTTATAATAATTAACACTACTAAATTCTAAAATTGTTATCAATGGGAATGTGTTGTTAAAAGGAAAATGAAATTGGTTGTGTGATATACAGGACCTTCCAACAAAAACTTTTTTTCAGCATCAACTAATTTCATTCACTGTTTTAAAATATGATAGGACAAGCATCATAAATAAGAATCTAATTTAAATTTACAGATTCTCGTTAAATATATATTTTCTAAGTTTTTTTACTAAGATTACGTCAAAGCTGTGTTGTACGTGTTGGGTGGATAATAAAATTTTTATGTTTAAAGTAAAAACAATGACGTTTACAAATATCATTTATCTTAAAGTACCATTGTATAGCATTGATTTTTATGTGAGACACCTGTGTAATTTTTAATAAGGCATCGAAAATTGCAATACATTTTTTTAGCGTAATTCATTCGGTAAGCAAAACTGCTTAGTGAATGGCTACGTAATAACACGTTCAGAAGTTGCCGTCAAGACAATTTGATAAGGAACTGATTTGTTGATTAATGTTGTTATTTTATGTTCCACTTATTTAGTTTTTGAAGTTTCCATTTTATTGAACCTGTGAAAAACATGAGCGCATAATTGTCGCAATTTAACCAAATGCGGAAAAAATAATTTATGTCTTAATTTTAAATTCAAATGTTGATTGCCCATAAAAATTTGATGGCGTCATTCCGAAAAGGTATTCGCAAACCGTTCGATAAATATTCTTTTTTCTTACGATTTAAAATTTTTCTCGGTTTAGATAGGGCCAACTAATAATGTTACAAAAAATAGGAGTCATGTTTTTGTACTATTTTACTGAATGTAACAATAATTTCATTCGACTTCGTTGAAATTTGTAAACATAATTAACTTATCTTTAAAAGTGTAAATTATTTAAAATGTCAACATACCTATTTTCTAAAAAATATGTTTTAATGGAACACAATGGAAATCAAATAATTATAAGACGTAGACAACTACATCGACGTGTCATAAAAACGAAATACATGTCAAATGGGTGCAGAAAGAGACCTCAAAAAATCAAAGTCTAGATCCAATACAATACAAGAATTATTTAAAGGCCCCTGACACGATCGTTTCTAAATATAAATGAAAAAATGTATTTTGCTTCCTGCAAAAAATTAACGACGTAGTTTTCTTGGAAAACCATGAAAAAAGGCATCGAATATGTTTTCTTCGCATACGTTTTTTTTTTAACATTGGTTACTATAAATAAAACAAAAAGAAATCTGCAAAACAATTTGCACCGTACTGTTTGCCTCAGTCAAATAATTTTGCAAATGTTTTACAATTTATTTAAATTATCAAATGTCCAAAAAATCCTAAACTGAAGTTAATAACGGTTAAGGCCGCTGGGAGCAATAATACTTATTTATGTATTAAGGGCATAATTAGGAAGATTATGGCATGAGGAAATGTTTAATTTACCGAGGGCCACAATCGACAGTTATGCCCGTGGTACATACAACGTTTTATTCTATTAGTTTCTAATTTTTTTTTTAACAAAATATTGAGTATTTCCGGCAAGATTGTGTGAATTGTGTCGATACGAACTTTAATACATAGCATACTTTTGATGTTGTTATGGATACCACGTTCTTTATTTGTTAAATAATTCAATTTTCAAAATGCAAACTGAAAAAGCGGAAAGTGTTTATTCAAAAGAAACTTTGGAAGAATTTTAAGTCTAGCAGGGAATGTTTTGTTGAAATGTTATTTTCCCAACTTTAATAAAAATTTTGAATATTGAAGCTTGTGTGAATAATTAATTAATGTAAATGAATAATTAATCAATGGTTGCTTAGCAATTTTTAACTGATAAAAGCCAATTTATGTCCGCATTTGGATGCTTATAAATAAGATTATGATTCTAAAATAGGATTGTAAATCATTGTAAAATTAGAAATTATGATCAATTTCATTGGCCTTGTATCAAGGATGCAAAAATGGTTCCACATTTAAATCTAAAAAAAAAAAACTGACCTGCTTTGCTTTTCAGGTTATAGTTCCTAAAGAGTCATTATAACGAGCTTCTAATTTTATGTTGTCTAGGCATTTCGCAGCTTGTAGAATACGAAAGTGCCGGTTTCCCATTTCCGTTTGTCTGTCTGTCTGTCGGTGTATCTGTGTATTGTTGGCGATTTTATTATAATCTGCACAACCTTTTTAGATGTCAGCAAGCCATGGAAATCTACTAACTTGGTTGGTGAGTGGTGACCAAGCTTTTCGAGAAAGACTGACATTCTTCATGTTGGTTTGAACTGTCACTTAATAAGGTTATGAATTGTGTCAAAAACTTAACCATTGTTGTCATAACTTTAGAAATATTTATATAAAACTTAGAAATTATTTTTTAACTGAAGGATGAATGTAATTATTAATCATTAATAGAATACTTATTTCTGGAAAATTGATGCTACGTATATTTCAGTTGCAAAAAATTCTGCTAACTGCTCACCGGGAAAACACAATTTAAATTTTAAGTAAAGCAAAATTTGAAAAGTTGCACGAATTGGCAAATTGTTCCATAATTGTCTGGGGTATTTTCACAAGAATCATGCATTTTTTCTTCGTGGGTGTTCTCCAAGCCTAAAATCTTTTCTCGATGGTAAATCTACAATCGAAACCTAAATCTTACGTGTTGTACTTTAATTTATCTTCTGGTAATATGCACTAAGTGTTAAGAGTAATAATTTTCACTTATTAACAATTTAATTCTACCTGCTATTCAAACTCAACATCCATTATTTCATTGTATAAATCTGAACCATCATTAGGGAAAGGCAAATTATTATCAAGTGACAAAACAACACACACAAAATTTTTGTCTCCCGTATTTTAAAATTTTCAAAGATTAGATAATTTTAAACTTCAGCAGTCCCTTAACAAATTTGTAAATATTGTACATTTAAATTTATGTCAATATTTACACTTTAATTTTTCAAAAATTTCGTTTGGGCTCCTTTATTTTTCTTTGTCCTAAACTTTTGTGTGGTGCACAATTTGCACAACCATTTACCGTTAACCTTCTTTTCTTAGATTGTGTCTTCAGCAAAGTAGAATAATTCGCGCTATGTTCAAAATTAAATTAAATACATAATAAATACGTGTGAAAATTCACAGGTTATTGACACTATGCTTAAATTATTATTTTCAATTTAATCATTTATGTTAGAAAAATTATTGGCTTTCCAATATTTACAGTACATTACATTACAATAATTTGTACTTTAACCGAAAAATAAATTTCTTTGAAATAAGCTTGCTTCATTCGACAATAAAATTGTGTTAACTGTTTTCCGTGTCAAACCCACCAGAATTTACATCTTAATGTTGAAAGGATGTTAATTGTATGTCTGAATGTACAATTTTATATCTGTGATCAGTTCAGATGAGTCATTTTCGCCATTTTGTTTCCGGCTTTTTTAGTTTCTGACCTTGTCATCTCCGAAATCTGCTAGTTGATGAAAACAATAGTTAGAACACTAATAAAAGTTGCATTTTAATGACAGATTAAATTTTATCATTTTTCGAAGAAGCTGTATTTGTTAGACTGTGCTTTAGAGACAAGGGAAGTTCTGTGTGAATCATCTTGGACTAGTTTTTTAATTCAAATTGCATAATTTTTTAAAACCGTATCATGTTAGGACAGCTCTAAAAATAAAATTGCGATGATTGGGATTTTGATATAAGCACTTATAGAATGTTATCGTCGCAATCGTTAGCATTGTTTTGCTTTTGATTGACAGTTTTTCAAAATGTCTGTCTTTTAATTTAGAAAGATAGTTTTTGCATTATATTGTTTTTTTTTTACAAACGATACTTGCCCTCCTCACGTATTTTATCATTAATTTCAGACTTACAAAATTACAACTTACTCTGTCAATAACATCATGGATACATCTAAAGCGCAGTGGATGCACGTCCAACGAATCAAGATAATCAACACAACTAACCATTTATCATTATCACAGACAAACGTGTTTATTGTGGTTTATGTATATGGTACTCGAATTATACATTTAAAATTTCGATCAACAGTTTTATTTTGAAAACGAGAATTATATTTATATGATGAATAAATTAGTTAAAGGAGAAGTTCATCGTCATTTCGAAAACTGTTCAGATATTCTGAAAAAAAAAGCAGTGGTTGTACGATTACGAAATTAAGTGTGCAATTTTACCTAGGTCAGTGTTAGTAACTTTTTGTTGATTTTTCTTACATATTTTTTAAACGTGAAAATAGGTCATTTTTTATTAAATATTAAAATCGACTTTACAAAAACTGGTAGTCTGTTAAGTGTAAAGAATTGATTGTATTTTTTTTTTTGTACCATTCATTGTCGAGTGTGTCAAATGCTTAAGACAAATCACGATGCTATTAAGCAATTTATATTTGTAGATAAAGATTATTCATTAGTTGTGTTGTTCCGTTAATGAACCGTAGTTAGATTTTTATTTTTATGGAAATATCCTATTATTATTTTTGTTTACAATAATCGTAAATATACTTCATTGGTGTATCATAGATATTTTTTTTTTCAGTTCCGTGCTGCCTTGCAAATGGTGGTCTCATCAAAAGATCCTCGCGAAAATCTCGAACGCTTCGTCAAAATCGGCGAAGGGTCTACAGGAACCGTATGCATCGCACACGACCGCACCACCGGCCGGCAAGTCGCCGTCAAAAAAATGGATCTTCGAAAACAGCAGCGACGGGAACTCCTCTTCAACGAAGTAGTAATAATGCGCGACTATCACCATCCCAACATCGTAGAAATGTTTGATAGTTATTTGGTCAACGATGAACTGTGGGTGGTGATGGAATTTCTTGAAGGCGGTGCACTCACCGACATCGTAACTCACTCCAGAATGGATGAAGAACAAATCGCTACTGTTTGCAAACAGTGTCTTAAAGCTTTGGCATATTTACATTCCCAAGGAGTAATCCACAGAGATATAAAGTCGGATTCGATCCTACTGGCTTTAGACGGAAGAGTGAAACTGTCCGATTTCGGATTTTGCGCCCAAGTGTCGCAAGAACTACCCAAAAGGAAATCGTTGGTCGGTACGCCGTATTGGATGTCGCCGGAAGTGATAAGCCGGTTACCGTATGGCCCAGAAGTCGATATCTGGTCTCTGGGCATTATGGTTATAGAAATGGTGGATGGTGAACCACCGTTTTTCAACGAGCCTCCGTTACAAGCAATGAGGAGAATTAGGGAGATGCCTCCTCCGAAGCTAAAGAACAGTCATAAAGTTTCGCCGAGGTTACAGAGTTTCTTGGATAGGATGTTGGTGAGGGATCCTGCGCAGAGGGCTACTGCGCAAGAGTTATTGGCGCATCCTTTTCTAAGACAAGCGGGTCCTCCGGCACTTTTGGTACCTTTGATGCGGGGTGCTAAACACTCAAATTATTAAGTCTTGTTTGTACTTATATTTGCATATATGTTGATATTTATTTAGGTAAGTATGTCTTCGTTTCTTTCATTTAACTTAAGCCATACCAAATATTAATTGTTAATACACAATAACGGAGCTCTCTTGTTATCCATGTGTCTTTGATCTGTTGAAAATGTACTCATAATTCCGAAAAAATTTACCAGTATTATGTTATTAATAAGCCGTCCATCTAGTGCCTTAAGGCTTATGTTGTACTGGGTGTTTCCATTTCATCTATTTTAGTATGTAGGTTTGTTATATTTTCGTAAATATATCAGTTGGTAGCTATTTTAAATGTACGACTTTAGCACTGTAATATAACAAAGTGTCATAATACACTTACTATTTTTTATACCGTGTGTTTTTCTTTAGTGAAGATGGAAAAGGAAGGGATAGTCAAAAACAGTTTTAATAATAGTACTGAGTTTAATATAAACAAATAACAAAAGCAACATTCAAACCGAAACCAGGCACGTTTACAAATATACAAATATATTATTGCTGCTTTCTACTTAACGGCTTTTTCAAAGCTAACTATGTTCTTCTATAAAAGACGTTCACCTGAGCATCCTGCATTTTTTTTCGAATGATAAGTATAGTCCGGGCAAGAATGATATGTAATGTCCATGATTTACAGGATGGTCAGAAAAACCCCGTGACAACACACATGTGAGCTCGTTTATGTAAAGTTATATCTACGGCCTAAGTGACAGTTTTATTTAATTATTATCTTATTATTACAGTCTGATTTTTTGATTATTTGATTGTTGATCAATCCCCTACAGTTTACTACCTCTCTTACTAATGGTAGCACAACTCTATTTTGTTAAACAAGTTTGATTATTATTTCACTACCTTCTCCTTTAAATCACGTGGAATGTCAAATTTAGAACTTAAAAAACGACAGTTTTATAAAAAAAATGACTAGACTTCGGCCAGTGCAACGAATTGACATTGTCAACGTCACCTGAGTTTTTTAAAGAAACCAACCACTTAGCCCCAATCGGGAACATGTCAGCATTCCCAATTGTCGTAAGGCGAGACAGGTTTGAGTAAAACTAATATTAAAGTTTCTTCACATTGACTCCATTTGTTCAGTTAGTTCAAGAATTGGGCTTTCGCTGAGAGGTAATAATGGTGGCCATGGGTTGGCAGGGAAAGCAGGTCCCTGTATTCATAAATAATACGTGATGTAATAAAGAAAAAAATTACAACATACATGCAATGAGTATGAAATAAAAAGAAAACAACAATTTGTTAACATAATTAATTGATTTATTTTAGCTGCACATATGGATAATATAAATAATATTGACCTAAATTAAATAACATAAATTTGTACTAATAAATTGCTTCTATCATGTGTAGTACAGATTTTCCACGCAGCCTTGCGGCAGCAAATTTGCATGAAACGTGTTTAGCATTCACACTACCTATAAAACGCCAATTTATACCTTCGACACGTTTCTGGACCAATGAGTATACATGGGAATGTGTGTTATTACTACTATGGTATTATAGTAAAGTTATTACAATATTTTTTCTAAATAATTGACGTTAAAGGGCATTTACAAGTAGTGTGATTTAATTCTCCGAAAAATCGACACGAATTCTGGTTACTGCAACATTGCACACACATTATATACATATTGTTTTAACCAATCACTTAGTCTACTGGAATTTCCTACTAGAGGAATACCGAGTCATATTAGCACTAATGCCGGTTGACAACGAAATACGAGTTAATGTCATGGTGTTTTATGTATTGCCGTCAATGATTACGTCAACTAATTCAAATGCCTTCAGATTTTATTGCATCTTTTGGTTTGCTTTTACATATTATTGACATTATATGATGGACCACTGGTAAATGCAGATTATTATTATTACTATTATTGTAGGAACCACCACCGTGATATTTATATTGATTGATTGTATACTACCTTTAATGGAAATTTTATTCAGGAAAGTTCAAATTAATTCACAATAAACAACATATATTAAGTATATTTTATTATGTCATTATTTTCTCCTTTAAAGATGAACTGTAAAGTGCTCCTTGAAAAGGGTTTAGTGGTTTCAAAAAAGACTAACGTAATGACAGTTTAATTGTAAATGTGCTTCAAAACGTTAAATTTTACCTCTCAAAAATAAAGCATTTGTTTTCTTAGCAAAATTAGTCTCAGTATCTCTAAGTGTAAAATGGTGTTGCTGTTTGCTTCGTTTTTAAGACATTTGGTCACGTCGACAACAAATTGTGACCTAACTGTCCATTTTCTCCCAAATTAAACGTTACCACGTGCATCTCGTGGTAAATTGCCGCGTTGGTGGATATGTGATATGTGAACACGTTCTAGTGTTGGAAGGTTTTAGAATTTTCTGCGGGTCGCATTTTACAATGAAAACAAATTTGTTTTAAGACCTACCTAAATCGATTATGGAACAATACGCAATTTAGATCAGACTCAAATTCAGCAGAAAACCTCATGCACCAAGTGACTAATTTTCATTCCAAGAGCTGCATTTCGACATAGGAGATTCTTTTATATTTTAGGAATGAAAACTGGTTTCAGAGAATTAGGCGATCAAAAGCTAGTAGGACATGTTCCCATACATGAGGTTAGAGGCAATTTTGTTATTTTTGAATTTTAAGTGTCTACTTTTTGCATCATGAAAGCAAAGATGTCAACACCACTATAATAACCGGTTTCGTATCGGCAAGGCTAATATGACTCGTAAGCCTTCCTAGCGGAGGTCTTTGGCGTTATATTTTGGACCGTCGATTTGGCGGAGAAGGCGGCAACAGCAGCATAGTTAATCGAGTTTACACGGCGCACCATGCAATTCAAGCTACTAAGAGACTAGTAAAAATTAATACTTTGATCGGTGCAACCCTAGCCACAAACAAAAAAACAAACACCTCGCTCGCCAAGTGCAAATTACAAACGTTGTGGTACCTGAGTCCAAGTTCCTGGCGCGGTCTGCCAGTTAGGTGTAGGAGAGGGGACCGCTTGTTCAGTAATTTGGCAAGAACTCATGTTTCCCGGCAGTGTGTTCCACGCCGCTTCTCCAGAACTCTCCACCAGCGCCTGGAACGCCATAAGGTCTTTACTTTCCGTCTCACTGAGCGGTAAGGGAGGCAACACTTGCTGCTGCTGAGCTATCTTATAACTTGCCTGCCTCAGCATCTGCCTCCTAGCCAAGTGCCCCCCCGTCTCCACGCTAGTGTTGGGCGTCTGGTGCGACAGAGCACACTGCTTTTGCAGGATTTGACGTTTCTGCTGCAACAGTCTATGTTGCATGGCAGTTTGCAGCTGCAACGGTTCGGAGACCGCATTGGTGTAACTGAAATTATCCGGCAGGCTCACTCTTTTGTTACCGCGAGGTTGCAAGTACTGCGTGTGCTGCTTCTGCCGTTGGGACACTTCTTCGGGGGGTTCGCGGGCTTGGTACTGAGATTGCAGTCGCTGTGCTTCTCTCTGGACTAAATGCAGCTCGAGAACGCCCTTCGCCTTGCAGTTCTCGCTCAGTTTTTGCGAGTTGAAGGCCACGACGCCAGTGGAAGCGTCGGCCACTTGCTGGGCCACCAGACCGTCGCTGGCCCGTCGGCCCTCGCGGAAGTCGACCGGAGACCGAGTTAACCCTCGCGTTGTCTTGAAACTGGACATGTGTACTAGGGGATTGTGTTTATGTAGGATGGGGCGCGGTGCTAGAGTGTAACTGGTGTGGGTGGTGATGGGATCGGCTTTGCAATCGCTGGTTGTGCAGCTGGGTAAGCTGCTGGCTAGTTCGCTGGATTCCGACAATGGATATTCCAGACTTTCGAAGTTACTATCACAACTTAAATTTTGGCTGAGACTTTTCGATGTATTGAAGTTTGTCACTACACCGCTTGAGGAACTTGATGATGCGTAGCTTAATCTAGGAGTGTGGTCCTCGAGATCGGTCTCGACGCCCTCGTCGGTTGAGCTCGAGTACTGAGTTTGGATCTCGCCGCTTCGGTAACCACTGAAAATAATAAAAAAAAAAAAATTGCAGTTAACCATCTTTAATGGATGGACTATTAGATAGTGTTAAAAGATTTGTCAAAGTGACATTAAAAGAGGAGATTTTAGGTCCTCTCTTGTTTTCACTATTTATATCCGATATTCGGTTTGTGCCCAACTACTGTAACCAAGAGTTGCTTGCGCTTCTCTTTATTTGAATATCTAAACTAAAAACATTAATCTTAATTTAGTTGTCAACAAGCAATAAATTCCTTTTGAAAGTATTGTCAAAAACTTGGGTGTAATCTTAGAAAATCCCTAGATCAACACACCAAACTCATTGTAGTCAAATCAATAGTTTTATCGGATTTAACTTATTAAGACTCAACTCTATACTCGGCGTCTAGCAGAGGGCGACAAAAGTAAATTACAGAAAATTTAAGACAGTTATGTGAGATTTGTAACTAACGTATCGCACTTTGAATATATATTTCTTACATTATGTAATTTTCAATAAAAGATTTTAGAAATTTATGTTTCAGTATAAAATAAAATAATAATATATTTTATACTACATTTTTAATTGTAAATGAATTTGAATATTGATTGGTTTCAGTGATATGTATTCTAACTCTCTGTATATTTTTTATTAGTTGTGCAATAAATTTATTATTGTTATGATGATTATTAAACTCCGGAGATGAGTCGATACCGGAAGCCGAATTAAAAATTAATAATTGTGTTTCTGGAAATCACATTGTTATTTCCAAAGCCGAGCATCGTTTTTCCTCAGAAACAAGCAAAAACGTACTCCCAGTAGACAAACTGAAAGAAATCATTACATTTCTGTAGACCACAAAAACTGGGGTATTAACTGTTCCCTCAGCAAAAAAAAATATATTCCACAATCCATAATACTATCAATTTCAAATTAATTCGGCTGTTATTACAAAAAATGTGTTCGACATGATCTCAGTTATTGATACAAGAAATTATCGTAACAATCTTGTAAACAAGACGTCGTTGCATAAATTGTCAAATTTTACTTTCAATTTAACGTACGCGAATCTTTAATGTGGACATTCAGTGTCTACTGAAACATCAGATTCCGTAATTTAAACTTAAGATGTTGAGTGTAATTCTAAAAATCTTAAAAAACTGATTCGGTGGAATCTATGAAGACCATTAAATTGCTAAAGTCACGCAGTTCGAGTAATCTACGCGTTCGGGACAACCGAGGACTATATTTCAGAAACTCAAATTTATACGTCAGTAGCAGCATCCCCATTGTAATGAAAGTAATTTGACACCCAAAAGTACCACTACTTCAGAAATCTTACCTCGTTGAAAACCTTCCCAAGGATCCCTTGCTGTCCGATGGGTCTATAGCATGAGACGCGGCGGCGGGATGCCCATAAGGATACCCATGTTGATGGCTGAAAGGCGATTCGGTCGAAGCTGAAGGTATGGCAGACATCTGAAGCGTCGACATGAGCTTAGTAGCTTCGGTAGACATGCTAAACGTGGTCGTTGTAGCTTGGTTCAATATTTTAAGAGCATCTTCGCTATTGGTAGCCGCGAGTAATTTAGCCGCGTCTATTCCATGTATAGGGGGCGAATCGCAAGTTCTGGTACCTGCATTTATTTTACTGTTACTAGCTGTTGGAGCTGTGGTGGAGTGTTGCAGTAACCTTCTGCAGTCTTCACTCGTACTTGCCCTACCGATCTTCCTCATCGCCTGTTCCGCTATGTTGGAAGGTCGTCGTCTTTGCACCTCTCTCACTCCCGTCTGATTCTCGCCCCCCACTAATTGATTCCTAAGTTTATCCAGTAACAGGAAATATATCGCGGCATGATGATCATAGCTTCCTATTCGTATCGACTGCAATTAAAAGGTGAGACAATGTTGATGGGAACCATTGTTCAGTTTACCTCTCGAGTTTTGGAACTATCGATTCCCAAACTTTGCATTAACCTAAGGATTTGTTCGTTTGGCTGCGTTGTTGATGCTGGAATTATGTGTGGCAGGCTTGGGGGTACAGCCACCTGCATCCACCGGTGCTTTTTTATTTGCGATATACTGTAACGTTTGTTTGGTTCTAAAACTAGCATTTTTCTTATAAGAGATTCACAGTCTGAAAACAAGGAAGGAATAAGTTAGTGTGCATGTTACATCGTGAAAAGAGTAAATTCAATATCTTATGGTAATGCTAGTTCTTTGCAGTAAAGTGCTGAATGTTAAAAACCGAACTATAAACGAATAATAGAAAAGGAACTCTTAACAGGGTCAAATTATCACGTACGGGTTCTTCGGGTTGTTCTTGCTATCTGCCTTTTTACGTAGTGCCTAAAATTTTTCGATCCTCAGATCTGAACAGGTTAACAAAATATTACATTCACAACCGTTTTTTAATGTATTCAGAAAAATAAATTTACTTGCTAACTGACCGATACAATCAGCATCAATCATGTGCCAAACAAGATATTTTTTGCAAAGCTTTGTTTTTGGTTTAAACTTTTTAGTGATATTTGACTGTGTGAAAATATTCCTTCCCCGGTACATAATTTGAGTCGAATCGAACTTGTCACAAAAACGTTATAAATACTTCACGTATTTTGAAGCCGAAGATTTTGAAAACGTCTCTATTTTTAAGATTTTCTGCTAATTCTGGAGAGTGTTAGATATTCTGAGTTTCTTTGCCGCATTTCTCACAGAAGCGGAAGGGTGTTTGGTAAAAGTTTTGATACCACTTTTAAAACACTTTCGGAAGCTATGGACACAGGACGACCAGTCACTTAAAAATCACTTCCCCGGTCTCTTCGAACCTCTTAATTATACGGTAATTGAAATTCGCTTCCTTCCCTCTTGCGTAAAATGTTTGACGGTTTAAATTTTGCTGAACATTTTATAATATGAGTACCCACAAGTTTTACATTTAATTCGTTTTCTCTCTTCGCATTATTAAAGTATTGTGTAGGTCAACAAAGAACATACCCAATGACAGTTAAAATATATATAATAAAACATCAGGGATGGCATACAGTTTGTTAGTAATCAAATCATGTCTTCTCACTACTTTATGAAGATACAATAGATTATGAAGGCTTTCAAACTAGTTACTATGAGGCAGTGAGGCAGAAAATTCTCAGCGTCTGCATTTTTTTAATTTGCAAATTTCTCAATTGTCAATGACCTTTGTTGTAACAGGCCACACACTTCAAGATTCTTTAAAATTTCTGGTGTGTACCGACTTAATTACTAATGTGTTAACACCCTTAGCAACGATGAATTCAGGTGTCGATGCTAATTCTTTGTGCAAACTAATGTCACAGCGACGGTCTTCATTTGTTCTAACGAACACACGTACAGGCTGTAATTGAAGTAATATTTACCACACCGAAAACTGGGTATCGTGACTGTATTCATGTCAGTTTGCAAATATTTTCACATATTTCTCGAGTTTAAGTCTCTTGTCAACTGAACAGTGATTTGACAGTCAGTTTACAAGGAAATTTTTCCTATACATGAGAGTATATCCAAACACATACTAAAATAAGGTCGCGCCTGCATGTTATGTTATGATAGTGTTTTCTTTTCGATATTGGATACTCCTTCGAGTTCGTCATAATCCATCTTTGATAGAGCACAGGTCATTTTTAGGATAAGCAGATCCCGGCACACGTTCGTTTTAAAAATATAAAACGGAGGGACTTGCCTGAAAATAGCAAGGCATTTTTTGTACCTATTCTAGTTTCATATTTACTCATGAATACGTAAAATGAAATTCTCCATCGCCGCCTACCCACTTTGTCCCTCTTTAATATTCGACCTTTAGCGTGGACAGTTACGTGTCAGTACGTCACTTAAACAGAGGGTTGGAAATAGTTTTAAAAGTCAGGGATACGTCCACCACCCACCCGAGTTCAACATTGACGTCACCAAGTGCGTCACAAGCGAGCGCACGCACTTCTCGAATGAGCGCTAAAATGACACATAATACTAAAAACAATGCCGAACGATTACGCTTTCTTTTCTTGCCGTGGATTTGCATCGAACCAAAACAAATTCCCTTCTATTTCTGACACCCGGATTTATTTTTGCAGTGGCCAAACCACCTCATAGACGTATTAGCATAAATAAAGCCGCGATCGAAATAAGTCAAGGAGTTATTAATAATTTTATGAATATCTGCTTCGGAAAATTTCAGAAGAGTACACCAAAACCCAATAACCAGTTAACAACCCTTCGAGCCCCTAATTAAAATCAGCGCGATAGTCGGCTAATCTCTGCGCCGCCATAAATTGTTTTTAATGAACAGATCCAAATGGGGGCCAGAGAGACTTGCAATTAGTGAAAGTATTTGCATCTCTGATTATAGCATTCTTGTTTTATTGGAAAACTAAACAATTCGAGTACGCAGGCGTTGCATGTAAGTGGTAGTATTAACGTAAATAATTGTCGTTGAATAAACATTGATTTTATCTTTGACGCAAATCCCAGATATGATCACTGTTTTCGATAAAGTGGAGGTGGAAGAGGCCCTAAAGTTAGAAATAAGACTTACCAGAGCTCATAAAATAGGGGATCCTAAATCTACCAGACAAAACACGATCACGTAGGGCTTGCAGCGAGCATCCGTCAAACGGCAACGCTCCACAAACGAGGACATAAAGAACAACACCCAGGCTCTAAAAACGGTCATATCATCAAAAACATCCAGACATACCTTTCGAAGTTTACATACCCATATGTCTATCTCGGGACCGGTATATTTCTTCCCTTCGAACACTTCAGGGGCGGCGTAGGGCGGCGAACCGCACCACGTCGACAACAAACCACCAGAAGTGTAGTAATTCGAAAAGCCGAAGTCGGCGATTTTTATGTTATTATTGGAATCTAAGAGAAGATTTTCAGCCTGAAACAACAGAAACACCCTACAGAATATACCACTAGTTACGTAAACAAAAAAATACATTTTCAAAAAGGTTTCTTACATCTAGTGACGTGTGAAATTTACAAATGCTACAGATTTGCCACTTCTTTGTAACGGTAGATATTTTGGAAGTTAATTAATATGGTTAATACGTCATCCGTCAGACATTTGAACTTTCGTTACTATTCTAGTTACACACTCCGAAAGAAGCGGAACAAACCAGTGGCCACTTGGATGTACGAATAATTTATGAAAGCACTGAACACTAGTATATTCCAGTCTCTATTAGTTTATTATTAATATAAGTTCATTTTAGTTACATCATCAGTGCAAAAACGAGCAAAATCGCTCTCTCCAGTTTAAAGCTGGTCTATATACTTTGGGTACAAAGAACTCTATTATGTGTTAAAAACTGTGTAGAGCAAACAATGGTAATGAGAAGATTCTTAATGACCAGATTTCAAGGGGAAATGAAGGTAGAGATAATACATTTTGAGCAGAGACATTCTGCTGTAAAACTAAATTGTCTATACATTCAGACTTCTACAAAACTGTTCACGACTAGGTATTTTATGAAATTAGGTTGCAGCCGTTGCACTAATTAAAATCTTGATTGCAGTTCAGGTTAGCACTGTCAATGAAAATCAGGCTGAGTGACCTTTTATTTTTAAACCAAATTCCCTACCAGGTTGGAAATCATTACATTTTAATAAAAATCTGTCTGTTGAATAGATATTGACTTTTATTTATAATACTGTTCATATCATATTCCAGTTATTGCAAACAAATCTATAGGATGCTGATATTAATGATGGCTAATAGTGGGTGTTGAATAAATTGCATCTTTGCAGATGGCGATCCGTCAGATTAATTTGACATTTGTCAGTTTAGAATTAACTGAAATGTTTCTTCACTCTGACGACATCGCAAGATGAACAACAACGCATAGCCAACCACAAACATTAAATTTATTGAACATCCGTTAATAATTCACAATCAGACAGTGATTTATGGATTCTATCATTATATTTATTACTTTTAGTTAATTTAAAAGAGATGAAAAGCAACTTGAAACATGATAGAAGTGCCTACCGACATGTCTCAAATTTACAGTACGGAAGCGATGTTATCAGTAAAAACGGGTGAAACTCTGTTTAAAATTATGTTATGTGTGTATCACAAACATAGTTATTTAATTTTTTTATGTAGTGTTTAAAAATAAAATAATTATATTGTTTTACATGCTGTGTAATGGGAAATCTCAAAAACTTGTGACAAATAGTCGTAATATGTACGATTTTTTTATGAGAGAGATTTAAGTAGTGAGTTTGATGTTTTGGGTTATTTAAAAAATTAAATAACTTTTCTTAAAACTGCCTGATGTTGTAATAGTACTTTAATGAAGTTGGTCCATTTACACTAGGTTTTCACACTGTTTTTTAACAGTCTGATTTATGCATTTTTTATTATATTTATGAATGGAATTTTACATCACTTTACTATAAAAATATAAATATTTAAATTGATACGTATTTGCATATTAATATCAAGAGTTGTTTACCGCGTGTTTTCCATAATAAGTATTTGCTTTTTGCATAATAGGTGGCACATTAAGGAAACTCCAAACATAACAGTCATTGAATATTTTTTTATCAGAACATGTCTAATCTGTATGCACAATTTATTCATTTGAAGAGTCACGGAAAAGTATTCCAGATAAATTTTTTAAACGTTTCTTTTGAATATGAGGTTATCATGTTTAGATAGAAGCGAACAAAGACACTTGACATTTGTTTCTTACAATTTTATAAGAGGTGTTTAGTTATGAATCCCTGGAAAAGCGGTGGTGTGTCTGTTTGTCTTAAACCACCTAAATTAACTAAATCGACAGCTCAATAACAATATGTCATAAGTTAGGGGACGTACAGCTAATTTTAAACGTAAAATACTTTAAATACCCATTAGAATGTTTCAACTAATTTATCATACAAATATATCAAACACCAAACAGATTGTTTAACAGCTAATAGCCCGCGTATTAACGGAAATATGGAAATCCGATAAAAATTAAATTTAATATAGTATGCAACAACGCACGCGGGAAAATTTGACGAGAAAATTAATTTCTAGCTCGAATTTAAACCCGGAGGGCACTTAAGACTTTCGTAAAGGGAGCGGAAATTGCTAGAGTTAGTGTTTTCCAAGATTCTGACTCTCTACGCCAAAGCTTCAGTGATCAGAACATGGAAAATGACTTAAATGCTTTCCTTTTCAGGATTTGAGCACACCTAAGAATGTTCGAGAAATCCAAAATACTCAGAACCACCCGCTACGATTCGTAATTATTAAAATTTAAGAAGAAAACTGGTTTCTGGCTCAAATTGGAACTTATTGTCGGTCCGTGCCCGTGGAACACAGAATCGTACTGAAAATACATTTTTTTTTGCATTTTGACATACTGTAAAAACTACACTCATCCAAACATGAAAACTAAACCAAATCACCTCCTTTTCGGAATTTAAGATTAATTCTAGTTTAGGCCTTTGTGGCATTTCCGTGCCCAGATGCTATTTGTAGCGTTAGCAAACGTGTACCTGAAAATTTTTAAATTAATATTTTCACAGTCTTCGCTAAAACTGCAGTTGTCAGAATACAGAAACTGATACGATACAAGTTTGAAATGGAAACTCATTTAGTGTTTGAGTCAATGTTTTTTCACTATATTTGAAACGTTAGATAAAGTGTCTTAAAGTGAAAATAACATATTCAAAATTTTGCCAACCTACGCCAAAGCTCCGACTGTCAAATCGTCGAAACTGATTGAAATCGTCGACTTTTCAGGATTTGATACTATAAAAGATATTTCGGCTACGTCCTTAACAGTATAAACAGAATTGTGGATAATATCTTGGATCCATGTCAACGGATTTTATTTTCACCGCATGTCGATATCTTTATTGCCTCTTAACACAATCCAAAGCACCCACCCTATATATTACGGCACCTCATATAAATGGATAATAAATCATATTTCCTAGTCACATTTAAAAACTATTCTCTCCAGTTTAAAGTAAAATCCCCCGTAATCACCCTTCACTCCAACCCCATGCTAATGCATCTGTGAAATACACCCCGAGTAGTGCTAAGCCCAAACGGCACTTTTAAAGATTCCCCTATCCGAATCCCCGGGGCCGTTCGCTCATCTCTCAACATCGGCCCCCATCCCCCCCGGATGACAGCCCCAATCGATCTCACCCCCATGACGTCATGCCGTGTGGGAGCACCGCATTCCGATACATTTAAGTGCATTACCTTTAAATCTCTATGCACAATGTTGCGGTTGTGGCAATACTCGACCGCCGACAAGATCTGCCAGAATTTCGTCCTGGCTTGATCCTCGGTCATCCTGCCGTACCTGGCGATGTAGTCTGGAACAAGAAAACGGGAATTAGCGGTCCAGGGTCGAGATGTTCCTTGTTGTGCGTCGATGCTACATCATCCCCCCTCCGCTGCCTGCCAAAAACCGACGCTCGGAATGACGTCAGAGCGTCAAGGTCTGGTCTGCAGCGTGGGCGTAAAGATCAACCAAATGAATGTTCGACGCGAAAAACGCGATTCGAGGAGTGCTTACCGAATATTTCACCCTGGCTTGCGTATTCGGACACCAGATAAATCATGTTTTTTGTTTCCATCACCTGAAACGAAGAAGAAAAATTACTGGAGGGGGATAAGTCCGGAAGGATGAAACATAGCGATGTAGATGAGCGCCGACTTTAAAAATTTTATGGGAGGTTCGCATTAAATGATTGAACGAGAAGTTATGTGAAATATTCGTGCAGCCTTGCTAAAATGGAAGGAACTCACTAAACAGCACATATACTCATATTTTGAGAACAATTATTATAACTTACTAAAAGTATAATTTAGTACTATGTTATTCAAATACACAACTATTTTCTGAGTAATAGTAGAGCTCAAATTCTACATTACTGAAAAAGTTGTATTTCTGTGGTGCTAGATCACACATACAGGGTCTCCCAAGGGGTTCACAATGAAAGATTTCCAATGGTCTATTAAAAAAATGTAAAACGCAATATAACAATCTGAAATTATTTTCGATTACGTCGGATGTTCCTTTTACATACCAACGTCGCTTATTTAAATATTATTCCCGTTATACCTATTTCTCTACATTTAAATTCGTTTTAAGAAATCTTTATATCATTTTTTTTACATATGATCATTTTTTAAATTTTAAAAACTTTTGGGCCATAAAATTTGGTTTCTTTTGTTAAGGAGAATTTAAAAATACAAAAATATACAGGATGTTTTGTTTTAAAAATGCTACCAAAGTGGATAGTTTTTAAACACAACACACTGTAGATACGAAAAAAATTATTTCATGTTGTAAATTTAAATTACTATTGAAAGATTTTTTTACAGTACACAGGAAATATATAATCTTCAATGTCGGTATTGATAGGGTCACCAGTATATTTCACGGCCACGGAGATTTCGGAATATTCCATAAAAAGAGAGAGGAACCATTGAAAAAATGTCTTTTAAACTTTTTTTAATTCTGAAAGTACAGTATTAAACAACTTTATACTAGATTATGGGCAAAAGGTGAATGTTGAACCAATTTTGGCAAATTAACTTAATTAGTTCATTAGTAATAAGCAATAGGACTGTCAAGGTGTGTAGTAAAATTATACAGTTCTAAATTTCCATCAGTAAATTGGTAATCAGTTATAAACACGTTCACGTTATTGTTTGTGAATAAATATTTAATAATAATATATGATATGCCATAAATGCAAAAATTTGACAAACCAACAAAATAAACTCTAAAATGAAGATTTTTCTTTAAATTTGGTAATACAATTTAAGTTTATTTCATATTATGTTATATATTTGACTAAATTTAGATAAAAAAAAATCATGACGGAGTTCCAACAAGTATCCACTTCATCAATCAAAGAAACTTCTACCCATAAAGAGACGATCAGATGAATATAAAAATGCAAATAATTAAAAAATGATACTTCTAATGTGCTTTTTCACCAAAAAATTCCCAATATCCCATGGTCCACCCTGGAAGCGATAGTTACGTCTTATCGTTAAAGAGATAATAACTTAAACATACAACGTGTATTCTGCAATGTGTAGTCACTAATGTAATACTGACGTTTAGAAAAATAATGAAAAGTGAAGCGTATGTTGCTCCTGTTTATTAGTGTGTAAAGTTTCACTTGACTAAAAGCTTTTTTAATGGGATGATCTATGCAACATTAGAAAAACTTTTATGTGCAGCACTAAAACATTCATTCGTAAGTAAAATATATTTCCGTGCAAAGTCTACTATTTATCGTCGTATAAAGTCAAACATTTTCTTATATTGTTAATAATTATAATAGTATGACAATGAATTACAAATATTGAGCAAGTGTCTTATGACTTTTTAAATCACAAAAACTAATGTTAATTAAAAGTTTGTAGTCTTTTACCATAAATAAAAATGGTTACAACCTCAAAAATGGGTTTTTATTGTTTCAACATAAGTACACAATAAAATATGGCTTTGTTTAAAAGATGATATCACTTTTTTATACTTACAGACTGAAAGAAGAAACAACTGATAAGAAGTCGTGCTCTCTTCTCTTTGTTGAGCTAAAAGTGAGCAATTAGTAAGAGAAGAAAAAATCAAATCGTTGTTTCGGTATATATAGAGAGTTTTCGAATATTGTTTCAAACAAACGCAGGAGGTGTTAAACTATTCATCATTTACCGTATTACATTAATAATGCCAATTACATTGTTTTTCTTTTTTAAACAAGGCAGCAAAAGTTAACGTCTATTTTGTCCAGACAACTAACATAAAGTTTGTAATGGACGTAAATACGAGTCATAAAACTGTGTCAATTGAACAGTAAAATGTGGGAATTGCGCTTAAAATTTTAAAAATTAGAAATATTGATTGCTATAATTTTGCCACAATAAAAACGGTCTTTAACAGTAATCGGGTAACAAAACAACGTCTAAAATATTTCACAATTATGACAACATGGTGATGCAGTTGGGAGTTTGAGTTTTACAGTTTTATACGTTTGGATAGGACAGAAACATGAAATGATTTATTTATGGTAAGCTTTTACGCGTCTATCCTTTAGCTGATGTATTATGTATGCTGAATGGCAGATCTCTATTTGTGGCTGTTAGACGGGATTCTATTCAATAGTTACGCTGATTCGGGGTATCTGCGAAGTTTTTACCATGATTTCATGAACAACAACAGCAAAATCCGGTGGCAAAATGAAAATAAAAACCTTGAAAACCCCGCAAAAAGTACGAATTCCTCGAATGGAATTATACAAGTGTTCATGTATATCAAAAATAGTGGGGATTCCCGCATTACGAAAACACATTGTTTGATAAAATTCCTTAGTTATACAAACAAAGTGGTACGCAAAATTTTCTTGTCTTTCCACATGTGCTCATACAAGGAATTTGTTTTCCCAGAAATCCGAGTTTCTTGACTTGAATGATTGTTTTGTGACAAAATTCATTGATTTGTACATTTTAAAGAATGAACTTCGACATCACTTTAAAATACCCAGCGATGAATATTTAACAGATATCGGAGATGAATGGCAAAGTTTGAGCAGGACCTCAGTACCTCTTTTTTGTGCGCAAATACCCACAACTTTTTATGCACGCTAACATTTTAATTATGTAAATACATAACGCCGGTGAATTTCCTATCATTAAAATACGTGCTGCTGCTAAATTTAAGATCACTGTCAAATATAATGAGTTCAAAACAAAATTCCTATATTTAAATTAATTAGTATAGACAATCATAAAAATGTTAATTGGGTTTTTCTGGAACGTGTTTTGAGGAATCTGAGACTAAGATTGTGACCATTTCACTTGAAAGAAAACGCATAATATCTACGGTAAATTAGAACAATGGTCTCCATTTTTAGTGATAACGGTGCTTATATTGATACTCCTATAAAACAAAACCAAAGGTGTTTATGATTTTTTTATTAAAATATTCAAAATTGTTACATTCTTTCATGCAATGAAAAATATACATATTTATGTATATTCTTCGTTGCATGAAAGAGTGTAATTTACTATACTAAATAAACAATTTTAATTATTGTTATTGTTAAATAACAATACCATTAAATATATGCAGCTTTTGTTTCAACAGGAATGAAAACAACTTTTGTTTTCCAATGAATTTTTTTTTAACCCTTTCTACAATATCAAAATGAAATTTCCAAAAACAAAATATTGCTCTCAGTTGCCATTGATTTTTTTTTACAATGACTAAAATAATTACTACTATAACTTTAGTTACATTAACTGAAATGGTTCTATTAGAAAAAAAAATTGGTTCTGCTTTAAGGGTGTACCTACAACAAAAACTTTAAAGGCAAGCGGTAACTTGGCCAATTGTTTTTATATATTTTTCGAAAAAGAACCGACATTAACGATTTTTTATATGTTTTTAGTACCTCCTTAATTGCATATTTATACTCTACGATAATTAAGTCGTATAGGTTTTTAATGCTCAGGTAAAGTCAAATTTTAAAAATCAATATTTCCCAGACACTTTATTACAGTCGATGTAGTTTTGGAAACTTTATTTATATTCAGTATTCAGAATCACGAACCAAAGGCAAGTTATGACGGTGAGGTTTCACATCAGCAATTTGTAACGTCTTAGACTGACAGCATAATAACATGAATTACTTAACAATAGTGGTTACACCAAAGGCACGAAAACCTTAAGCTTGTACCAATTAACCGTTCTCAGTTCATTTTTGTCTGTTAATTTGCACCAATTGCCAGCTGTTTACGTGCTGATATTTTTTTACTGAAATCTCAAACGTAACTCCTTTTATTGAGATGTTACATTGTTTGAAATTTTATAATGACTGCCTCCTCCGAGCCACGTGTAAAAATACACATCCACAAATCATCTTTTAAAAATAGTCTTGGAAACAATGTCATAAAGAAAAAAGATTTTATTTTTATGAACCCTGATAAACATCGCTTGTATAATTTAGGTGTCAATCGATGGAAGCGATAATCGTAAACGGAAAGTTTTCGTAAACCCGCGATAAGTGTATGACAAATAAATGACCTCAGTTAACGATTGCGTCATTAATAAAACTACGAAAAACAATAGAGTTCTCAAGATAAACCTTCAACTGTGAAAACAATAAAAATTTGTTTGCTTGCCCTTGCATCGACAGCTTGTTAACTTTGAGCCAATTCCTGCAAGGATGCTGCACCAACGACAAACAGCAATACTCAAAACATGGATTAGATGGAAAATAGTGAAACTAAAACGGGCATTAGAGTATCAGAACTATGGAAAACGACGCCGTGCATCGCGACGGCGAATGCAGTTGCCAGGCGACGCCGTATGACGTCACCGGCGCTTGCTGGCGTCAGGGCCAGCCAAGTTGAAGGTGGTGTTAACGAACTTGCGACATGAACATACACAAAGTACTTCGAAGATATCTAGATTACGATGCTCGTTTACCACTCACCTGGTACAATTTGATTATATGGGGGTGGTCTAGACGCTTCATTATATCTACCTCTCGGTAGACTTTCTGCAGGTTGCCGGCATCCAGTTGAGATTTGTCGATTATTTTTATGGCTACCTGCAACAAAGAAAAGAATCTCTTCACTAACATTTTCCGGCGGAAATGCTTTAGCTCTGATTTTATGTTAGTAACAAAGATGTCCGTAGATGTATCTTTTTAAATCCCTTAGATTTTGTTGCCTAAAGAGTGTAATACATTCTACTTGGTTTTTCGTTTAATCTGCGGCTATGCACGGAAGACCAAATAAGATAACATAACCAGGAGAACAGTTCCCTGTCCGACCCTCCTAAGTATATATCTTTTATTTCTAAATTGGAAAAAACAGTCTACTTCAGATCTCCCCCAAAGTAACACTTTCGCATTTTATCTTTTAGAACGTCTTTTAACACTAGTTAGCTTAAGGCAGGCTGTTATTTCCACTTATAAAATTTTGTTATTATTCTCCCTGTGAAGTTCAACCTCTTGTTGAAATGTGTTGACAATCATACGTGTAACCATGCATTTACACACTTAATTAACTCATGTCACAAACACAAAAACATCAGTTGTCTGCCCGATTTGAAACCATAATCATACTAATTAATAATTTGCATAAACAATTTACTTATTGTTATAATTGTAAACGTAACTACAAGCACAAAACAAACCACCGCATCGTCGGTGTTAATTGAACCGCTAAAAACGTATTTAAATGCGTGCGTCTTTTACTCTGATTCCTACACGATTTTTATTTGTTTGTTTTTTTCGTTAGACTTGAGCGTTACTCAGCTATATCTGAAAAATTACTACAGAGATGTCTGCGATCGAATTTGTGGTTGGAGTAGGTCCCGAAGGAAATATCTAAGCTTATCACAGAAATGTCATTTTAATGACGTTTCAATCGATCAGCGACACGCGATTTCCTTTCATGGCCTACCTTAAGTGGCGAAATTCGCGACATGTGAGTAATTTAGCAGTGGCGTGACAAGGGTTTGGGACTGATGCTGCTTTGTACGTAAGATAATATGGAATTGGGTCACTGATAACGTTTTTAGACGCACGCTTTAAACATTGTCGTAAAGGTAATTCCAATTTACGTGAATGTGATTGTGTTTTGTTTTGATCAACAATGTTAGATTAAATACCTACTATTGTTCATAAAGTTTATCACGGTGTAATTAGCGGGGGATTAAGATCAGCTAATTGTTTCTGGAAATACACCATTTTTGGAAAGAAATTGCGTTTTGTAAGATCTGTAGGTAATGCTTTGTGATAAACACGAAGAAACCGAAGGATCTTCTTTTTTTTATATAGTGGGATTGGAGCAATTTGCGGCATCTAGGCGGAATCTGTTCGGATGTAGAGACGTGTTGGTTCGCTGTATGACGCACGGAATCTCTTTGTCTTTTGCCACAGTAAACGCCTCGAGGAAAGGTTACCATCAAGTAGTTCTTCGCGGTAGACAAAAGTTTGGTGCGTCATTCGATAAATAAACACACAATGCAAGTCCTCTTTAAGTCCCATTGTGATTCTTTCTTTATGTAGCTTGCCATCAATACTTAACAATATAATATTAATAGTCGTTCTTGGATTGATGTTATTAGCTATTTCAACGTGACTGTTCCTTTTTAGATAAGTAGAAAATTGTCGAGTTGAAGAAAATTGTGACTGGCGTTAACAAATTTAATAAAAAATAATATCAAGTCAACATTTTTACGTTACGACTCTTTTTTGTAAAAATATTTGGTTTTAATAGATATACGAGTATAAATTAGTTAGGGAAATCAAATAAAGCACTTTTTAAAATTATATATTTTTCTGTTGATAGCCAGTTAAGATACATAACTACATATATTTAGTATTCAAAAAAGTTTCCTTCTTTATGGTTAAATCAGGGGCAACTGAAATAGGAACACTATCTATGAACTAATGTAGGAGCATTTTTTCAAGCGGTAGTTACCTTCGATATGTATTTTTTTAATTTCAAAAAAGTTCGATAATGTTACGAAAGATCTACGTTCCACAGTAAATCTTTGATAATTGCTTTGTGCGTCATATTCATTTGATTATATATTGTGCGGAGACTACAAGTCGTAATAGTTTTTTTTTTTTTTATTTTTGCTGTCATTATACCTTTACAGATAGTTAAATGAAACAATAAAATACGCCAGCAATAGATAAAGCTGAACATAATGGCGCGTTCATTACAATGTAAATTATTCCTATTATTATCAGCTTGCAGCATTTTAAGTTTTATGCACTCAAACTTATTTTACAAAAGGTGATAACGAATTTAATTCCACGTTATTTTAACTCCAAGAATGCCTTAGTAACTGAATAATGAATAAGCATTTTTTTTTCAACCCAATGAAAATTTATTTTTGTATCAAACAGTTATTTTGAATGCTTCGTTCACATTAGTTATTAGTTAAGTGATTTAATAACGAACTAATAGGTATTTACAAAACACAAGATAAGAGTAAAATTTCTGAAACAATCGAATACGTATTTAGAAAAAATTCTCATCATTATCAGTCACTAGTACCTCTTAGTATGGTACGTATGGTATGTATTGAATGTTATTTATCAATCACTTTTATAACTGTGTGAATTATTAAATTACAAACTGCTTTTTGAAATTTTTACTTAACTGATAATTCATTAATATCTGTAAAGAACAGAAGCTTGTTCCCATGTATTATTTTCTTAAAAATTACACTGTCACAATGGTGGTCACCTTTTGAGCACCACTGATATGTTATTATTAATAATAACGTATTAAGTTCCTCTCCTTTTCGGAAAACTAAAATAACAATATCCCAACGGTATCTTCCAAACAAAATGTAATATATCGACTGTTTTTGAATCCACTGCGCCAAAGTGAAAAGTTGAGTTAACGTTTTTGGCATTGCACTTACCCATACTTCTACAGAATTTAAGAAAAAATGTCTAGTTTCATGTACACTAGTAGCATCAGTGGTTCTCAAAACGTTTCTCTACTGCAGAAAACAATAAAAAAGTCACATTAATCCTCTTTAACTACCACATTAATTTTATTTTTTATTTAAACTCGACATTAAAATGAACAAAACGAGAAACAATAGATTGTATTCAAAGAAAATAAAAAAGAACTGATTCATTTAAACGCCATATTATATTAACAATAAACTTGGATTTATAATAATGACGGTATGAATGTCATACGTGGGTTTATCTTCGAGAAGCCATGAAAACGTTCATTGTTATTGAAGGCAAATTTTCATTAGCAAGTTGATGTATTAATATAGTAAATTAATCATAATAATGAATAAAACTCGACGGGGTAATTAGTTTTAATTTTAATGAACTAGGTTTATACCATATCGACAAGAACACGTACTTCAAGAAACAATTTATACCTTAGCAAACAATTTAACCTCGTCGTATTTTTGCGATAATAAATCGTTTTCGAAATTATTTTTCATTTTTGTTATCAAGCTGACAACAGTATGCACTAAAACGGTTACATGTACTCATATACGCAAACTTTCAGAGTGTTAAAATTGATTTTCAACTGCAAAATAACTATTTTATCCGTCTCATTAGTCTGTCTCTTTGTGAACCCTGGGTTTGTCTTGAGACTTAATTCTCAAAATGTTCTACAATGTGATATCATCAATAAGTATTACCACCTGTAGTTTCGAAATTGTTAATATTTAATAAAATTAGTATTCATTTAACCTATTTTGGCTCGATGTAATCATTTTGTTGCTAACTACGTTTATTTAATTTCGAGGTCTGGACTACTTTTGTTGTGCTGTTGTAAATTTCCCGTTTTTATTTTGTTTTTATCAGTGAATCATACTTAAAAATTATGGCACCAATTCCCACTCATAAATGTTCTTTTTTATATAAAAAAAACGAACTTCGACTTTTTAAAATAACAAAAACTGTAAACAAAAGAAATCTTTGTATACGTGTTAAATCAAAATATAGATTGATAAGATCACCGCACTACTAAAAGTTCAAAAATCATAAAAATAGCTATACATTTTTACTCCTTGGACGTAATCTCCGAAACTACTGTACCGATTGTTGTCATGTATATATATTTGCAATATCCTGTAGATGGTAAAACACTAATCAAAAGTTGGCTAATCATCCCCATCACGAACCACTTGTGATGTATAAATTCGTGTTGACAACATTTTGCAATTTAACTTTAGAACTGCAAAACCGTATGCTCTAAAATCTTGCAAACGTTATAACGTTATCGTAATCATGGTAAATCGTTAATCAAAATTTATTCGTTTTTCCCCTCCCAAAAAATTAATGACGTCGTCTCAAAATTTTCCCTAATAAATTCGCTCTAAAATATGCAAAATATGATGACTATATTTGTGGTTTATCAATGCACTCACACTTTTCAGAATTACTTATACAGGGTGACTCAAAAAATATAATGATTTATTTCATTAATTACATCAAGAATGACTCACTGCTTCTATCCAAATTGATATACGTGTCCTTGCAAAAAATGTTGATGACGTCATCACAAAATTTTGTAATGGAAAAACTCACCTGAAACAAACGCATAGCACCCTTCTCTACCTTTACTTTAACACTACCTACATATCTTTATTTTGACTTATTAGTGTTATCATAAAAGAATAAAATTCGCTAAATCAAATTTATAATTTTTTGAAAAAGCTGGATTTGTTCTACCGTACTTCAGAGGCGTGGGAAGTTCTGTCGAAATAACCTTGTACCAATTTTTAAAATTAAATATAGCTATCGGTGTGTAAATATAGTAAGTACTGTACGTCTGTAGTCGGTACTGCTTGAACACGTATCCCCATCAGTCTGTTATTTGTTTGTCCGAAAAATATCAGTAATACCACATATACCACATAATCTTGCAGATAGCTAAAAAAGGTACAATCCAGTTGTACACAACACCGATTTAAGATGAATGTTTTGACCTTTTTCAAGATCCCATCATGACCTCTTCCAAAATCTGCCAGCAAATATTCCATTTTCCGCACTCTTCAATCCGGTGAAGCTAGGATGGCGCGCCATATCGATTTCTGCATCGTAATTCGAATTTCGCCCAAAAATAAAACTATCGTTAAGTCCCGCGACTTGACGTAAAAATGACGTCAAGCCCTCGTTACTTTGAAAAGTTCGTCCCTGAGTAAGCGCTACCTTAAAGAGTCCCACAATAATTGTCGATTTTCCGTTTAATTAAACACAAGCAATAAGTAAGTAACGAACAAATCGCCGGCAGTCCATGAACACCGACGTCAGTAGTCGATGCATTGACGTCGATAGACGTCGACGCTTTATCGCTACTTAAAAAGAATAACCACGTCGGGTTTTTTCTTTTTTTTCGCGTCCCTCGTGGATCGAAATAACTCGTAGGTGGATGTCCAAAACAATGAACGGGTTCGTTGGCGTCGCCGCGATTTTGTTGTAAAAAGCGCGCCTAATTTATTACGATTACAATTGTATGAAGCCTCATTATCGTTCATCCGCCAAAGCATTCAATCTGCTGGTAAATCTTAACAACCTTATATAGCTGATTGACGTCATGTTTGACGCAAGTTCACCGTGGTTCATAACACAGGATTCGTATTATTTCTCGGCGGCTGCAGATGGAACAATTAACCTGTTTGCGGGTGATTAGTCGCGAATTTTTCCAGCCGGATGTCCCGATCAGGAACCTTTCGACACGTGAAGATCATGTGTAGCGCGTTCAGAATTTAAGCGAGGGCAAAGGTGCGCTCCGCGCTTCCCGGAAACTGCTACCCTCTCCGCAGGGTCCGCGCTTCCGGATTTAATCGTTGCTACCCTCAGTGCGAGGTCTACGATTTCGAACCAAAACGGTGCAGCTCTTCCTGCAGGCTGCGAATCCGGATCGGAATCTCGCCGCCCTCTCCGTGGGGCCGCGGTTCCGATCGGGACTTGCACGTGTTGCACTGTTTTGGTGCCTCGCCTAGCAACCGGATATAATTAATCCGACCGTAAATCGGATGTCGGGCGTCGCGACGCCGGCACTCACCTCTGTCTTGGTGATGCGGTGCTTGGCCAGCTTGACGACGGCGAAGTTCCCTTTGCCGATGGTCCTTTCGATGTCGTAGAAGCCGACTCTGACGGCAGTCTTTGATATCCTCTCTCGTTCGCCCATCGCGGACATCTCCTGGGACGTACACGACACTGAACCGGCGCCGGCTACGCCGCTGTGCACATTTCATTTAAAAATGTTTATTGCTAAATTCGATGTATTGTCATAATTGTGCGATGAGACGGCGAAGAGACGGAGGTGTTGCGCACGACAGACGCTCCAACCGAGTTCTGAGTACAACTGCCGTCAGCTGTTCCAAGCTGCCTGATTTTGCTCAGATCGAGTGCGCCGTGACGTACGTACAGGGACGAAATCGAGGATTTTCCGAGGCGCGGACGCCCGATACTGACCGTCTTGCGTTATTGAAAAATTTAACTAAGGCGGCAACGGTCTGCTTTGTGCTCTCTTTCGATAAGATCGGTTGTATATTTGCTGACGACATTGGAGTCACGCACTAATTGTGACGCTGGAGATGATAAGGCACGAATGCAGTTCGTACAGGTGATAACTGTTCAATACGAGCGGCATCCTGATTCCGGTATGTTCCGGGTGACACGCTAAAAGGAATTTTGCATTTTCTTTTTGCCTGGATGTAGGTCCGTAGATTTATGCTCATTTATTTAATGCATATATAAATATGATAATAGTGGTACTTATTATTAATAATTACTGATAATTATGCATATTTTACAAACATTGTACGAACAGTAACATACTCTGTACGGGTTTTCTAATTATTTTCGAATGGAAAGCGTTAGTACAACGTAGAAGCAACATCTTGATTTCTAAAGTGCTTTTGTAAGTGTGTCGTGAGCTATCCTACTACGAAAATATCCTCCCCTGTTACGAAGCAAGCCATATTTTTGAAGAAACTGCTTAAGAATGTATTATACTTATAAAACAGATTTTGGAGATATGAAACCAAATACACTTTTTTAAACAGAAGTTAGATATACTTTACTCCACTTCGTTCCATTTGAAACATATGGAATTTACAAACTTTTTCCATTTATTGGTCCTCTTTTTGAGTTCGCCCTCGCCCTAGGATATCTTTTGATGCTCAAAGTCTTTGATTAGCGGTTTTGTTCATGACCCCATGGATGGACTTTTTTCGTTTTCCGGCATGGTTCGATTCCAGAACTTGTCTTCCATTTTTTTTTCCTCTTGTCGTCATAAAAACCGGTACTTTATTGGTTACTTCCCGCAACCCACAGTTCTTTGTTCGAGATGCTTTTGGGTCAGAAAATTCTGAGAATTCTTCTGCGGTAAATATTATCCGCAAACTCGAGATCTTCTAATCATTCGAATACATTCTGCTGTAGACTCGTCTTATTTTTCGTGGCCCGTCTCATTACATAGTCAACTGTTAGGCCAAATAGTGTGGCTGACAGGACTGTTTTATCCCAACATTGGTTTCAATACTCTCTAATGAGATCTGTTTTGTTATGACACTCATAACATCTTAATGCAGTAACCGTCATATAGTTCTTTAATTGCATTGACAAATCGTGGTTGGTACCTCATACTGTTTTAGTATTTTCCAAATTATCTGTCTCCAGATTATCGAAACCTTGTCCAAAATATGTTGTTTGAATAATGTTTGATTCTAAACTCACGTTTTCTCTACATATTAGTAATATAATTGCTGAAGCGTTTAAATCCCTTGGGTTTATCATCAGATCGTCCAGTTCTTTCAATAACATCACTACTATTAATACGTTATATTGTGCTTTCGTAAGATCAAAACTTGAATACGCCAGTATTGTATGGGCTCCGTCAGCTCAATTTTACATTCAATCTATAGAAAAAATCCAGAGGCGTTTTCTCAAGTTTTTAGCATTCAAAATAGACGCTAATTATCCTCCTAGAGGCCTACCCCAATCTGACCTGTTGATCAGATTTGGATATAACGACTTAAAGACTAGACGTATCAGAGCTTCTCTATATTTTCTTAAAAAACTAATACATTATGGCATGGATTGTCCACAGCTTTTGGAACAGCTTCACTTTTGGGTTCCCAGGCCATCATCGCGCCTTCAACAACTTTTCTATCTGCCGACGCCAAGGGTTGACATTCAGAAATACTCTCCTCTACATGAAATGTGCTCTAACCATAACTGCCATGAAAACATGTTAGATTTCTTTAAGTAAAAATTCCTGGCTGCTCTTTAATTATTAATCTCTAATTACGCGTTGACTTTAGATTTCACCTTGTATAGGGACAACAGTAATTTATAGCTGTTGTTTGAGAGAGATCAATTTGATGATCCGCTAACCGTTGGTCTATAATTGGGTATTACCTGTTGACCAACTTACACACATAATAATAATATTAATAATAATAATAATAAAATCCAAAAAGTTTGTATCTAGATATATACTTTTTGTTACCCAACTCAAAAGACGGTTCAACACTGATCCTCAGAGTGGCAATATGATCAGCACGTGATCTTTTGGTGCGAAATCCTGACGCTGATTGGGTCTAAAGGCCTCTTATAAATTTTTATTCTCTAATACAGTTTTGAAAGGACTTTACTCATTATGCTCAATAATGTTACTGCTCTCCAATCACTGCAATTTATTAGATCTATTTTCTTGGAAATTGTGACAACAACACTGATCTTTCATTCTTGTGCTACAAGTTCCATCACCAAATTGTGTTTAGTAGGTAGTTCAAATAGCAGTTCAACTAAAGTCTCTTCTTCCGTTATTATTAGTCTTCCTTTTCAATTTTGCGTGAGATTTCAGAATCTCTCTCTCACTCGCTTCGATCTTCTTACAGGTCTTTACTATAGATCTCTTTGAAACTCTTCATGTACCTTTGCATAATTGTTGTATTTTCCTCAATTGTCTCTCATTTCTTGTCTTTTACCTGTATTGTACACGCTTCTGCGTTTCGACAGTTTTCTGCTAACAATCGTGTGTACCTCTCAAGGCATTCTCAGCATAGAGTTTTTCTGCTCGACAAAGCATCTGTTTTGTCTCTATATTCTCCTTTATCTCTCCTCATGCCTTTTTGACTTTGTATATTCTTGGACTCTAATTGCTCTTTATTTCCTTCCTCTATCTTACCTAGGATTTCTGTTGTTGTTTTAGCATATATTTGCTTTATTTTGTCTTCTAAGACATTATCAGTTTTACCATTTCCTTCAGTTGTACTATGGTCAATTTAATTTGGTCATTTACTTTCTTGTTCGGCGACGTCCAGGTAATCTTGTGGATTGTTCGGAGTTGAAATGCGCTGCCGTCAAAGAAGTCAACAACCCTTTTCCACTGTCATTTCTTTCACCCTATCCCTATGTTCCCAGCCGTGTTGTCGCTTCCTATTTTCGCATTCAGGTCGCCTACATTCATCGTGATGTCCTTTTATTGCAATTATTGTAAACACTTTGTAGCTGCTCATAGAATTGTTCGTTGACTTCTTCGGATTGATTATTTTTTGGGGTGCAGACATTAATTATTGTAACCTGTTTCTAAATATGTATTGCTGATATTATTTTCTTGTCATTTCATTAGTGCTTGATTTGCCTTTTCGATTAACATAAAGGGTAATATGGATGATGACCTCAATTTTACAAACGTAAGGAATTTTTAGTGTCTTTTTTTTAAATTTGTTGTAGATTTTTTTGTTTTTACTTTTAGTTTGAATCTATTTTAATTAAAAATAGTAATGTTAATAATTCAAGCGTGCAATGCATAAGCTGTGAAAATCTCGAAATTAACTTATAATTTCAAAATGTTTTTAAGCACCTGCAAATAATCTGGATTAGGTGAAGAACCACAAAAGATTTTGAAGTTCTGTATACAATTATTTAACGAAAATCTTGATCAACATCACCGATTACTGTGATCGAGGGAAGGTACGAGTAATATCGATTGCAAGAAAACTTCTGTTCTTTATTTTTATAAAGTTTTATAAAGATTTATAACTGATCCAACACATTAACAGTTATTTTCTTAAACAGAAATTTTATTTCTTTAATATATATCACTGATTTTAGTGTAAATGCTCCATCTCGATATTATCTTTCTTTCCCCTAGTCATACTTCCTTACTTCCTTTCTTAATTTTATTTTTATATCATTCAATTTGATCTTTAGTTTGTCAACATTATTGTTCATGATTTATAAGTTTAGAAAAATTTGTTAAATTTTTTATATACTCAAGACTGTAGATGATTTACGGATTTTACTAGTTTACAGAAAAAAAACTTCAAAGTATAGTATTAATTCATAATTTTTTCAAGAAATGTCGTTGTCTACTTTTTGATAGGAGAGAAAAATTAACTTACATATTAATCAGATAATTCATTTCTAAAAAAAAAACCTTAGTATTTCAAAACTTATTTTTGGAATCATTTAATTAACTTTTCGGTGGTATCTACATTTATATTTCCCTTGAAAGCATGAGATTTCTAACAGACAGGCAAACCACATACCACACAAAGACGAAACGGGAAACCCCTCTTCTACAATCTGTGAACCACCAAGAAAACAGGAAATTGGCGACTCGTAAAAATAAAACTATTTTAATATTTCCTTTAGCTATTTTGCGGAAGTAAAAATGGAACTAGTTTAGTTCAACAAAGTTCCAAACGTTGATTCAAAAACATGTGCCCTTTAATTCCAAATTTTTCGTTTGATGTACAGTATGCTACTTAGAGATTTACTCGCAATTGAGGTATCCTTATAATCGCTTTTACTTTCAGGTAAACACTTTTTCATTATGTTAAAACGATATTAATATTAATAATATGATATTATTATTATTAATAGTAGCAAAGTCATATCCACTGCAAAAAATCTGTAATATTATACGTGTGGTAGGTAATTTGTGTGAAATATCTTTTAACAAGGATGCAAGTTCATTTACTGTATAGTTAGTTTTTTTTTTCATACGTAAGTCATTAATTTAAAAAAACCCATTTAATGCCAATAATTCTAGGAAAAACCGTTGAACCTTTTATATAACTGACGTCAGAAGTCACCCAACTTAATTTAAATGACTGAAGTGATTCATTTTTCTGATCGTAACCGTAACTAAATAGACCGCTTACATGCAAAATTGTTTAAAAGTCAGGCTATTAGATATAGCGCTGGAAAATAAGCAATTCAAGGTTCTATTAAAAGTTGTTTAAAGCGATGATAAAATTAATTAACACAATTAAAAAAAAACACAGTAACAACAATCAGTTTCACTAACCTCACACAAAAATTTAAAAGGTTTTTCATGGTTACATGACTTGAAGATTCAAACACAATGGAACTTTCTCATAACGAACTTGTCGTTTACTAAACTCCTGCATAGTAAAATTTTCCAGGTATTCAGTCTTCAGACTAATTCACTACATACGTTTGTTTTGTTAACAAAGTTCGGGTTAACCAGTTCGATAGGAACTTGTTATGTAGACATTTTATCAGCATTGCTTCACTGCTAATGTTATATGCATAAGATTACTCCCCCTGGAAGGAAATTACACTGCTTATCATTAAGTTTCCATTTAACACGTCGTTTTAAATTCTCGCCAAGAAAGTTATTTGAATCAGGAAAATTTTTCAGTCTGAAAATTTCAGCAAAGATGTTCTGAGTTAGTTTATGTGGTTTTTATGAAAACTTATCCACCCTCCTCGTAACTCTTAAACTTGATCCAACCGCTGCTTAATCCAGCTGCACTTAGTTTTATATGCATAAAATATTAAACAACGTTTTCACTTGATTAATTATTGTCGGGTATAGTTGAATGGATCTGTGAGCAGGGAAAGGTAGGTAAATTACAAAATCTGAAACAGCAATTACATAGTTTCGAAAAAGGAGACACACTTTAGTGGTGGTGTCGAGTAGCGAGGTTAGAGCTTACGTTTATATAGTTGATTAAAAATTTATATATATAGACCCGAAAAATTACAGTCAAGTTTTTCCCGAAACTTTATCAATTTCAACAAAAATAAGTTGTTTCCGAGGCATAAGCAGCCCACTAACGATTGCATTTACGAGTAGTTATAAAAGGATCAGTCGCTATGTCAGTTTGCTTGTCACAGTTATAGTCGTACGTGGAAGACACCCACAGAAACGATAAACTTAAATTAAAAATTTCTTCTGTTAACAGCATTATGATGGTACATTCATTTTAAGAAAGCTAAATCCAGTATATCTTACATGTGATTGCAAACTTTGTCATTTATTGGATATTTCACGAATGTTTATCTGAAAACCGTTCGGATTAATCAAATAATTTCTTACCTAGTCGTCTTCACAAATTTATCCACGCTTACCTTCTTCCATCATCTTTAAAAAACTGGCAGCTTTCAAGTGCAGACGAACTCCAATTACATGCCAACAGTTTGGGAATTTCACAAAGACTTTAAAAAAAACTTTTCCTAAATGCCAGGAGGCCCCTCTTCACAGATATTTTCTCTGAATATTATACTATTTTTCTAAGACTAAACAAAAATACAACTTAACAGGTTGATTAGTCTCATAAATATAGAGAGATGAAGCAAGCTTAGTAGGTATCGTGCTCCTTTAATACATTTGTAACATTATTATCATAAAAATCTTAACTAACCTTCGCAGAACATAACACGCGCCCAATCCAACCCTATAACGCCGACAAACTTAACACAAACCCAAACTCAACATCAATAATAATTAATCAAGTTTGACCGCGACAAAATTTGAAAATATGACAACACTATTACAACAATCACAAAAGCCAGTAACAGAAATCGATTCTTATAAATCACAATTTTAGAAAATGTGCCCCCAAAGCTGAAATCAACGCTCTCAACGCAACTTAAAAGGTATATGATTTTTCAAAAATCAACAGTTAAATTTCTTTTAGCACGTTATATTGTAGAACTTCACATTACAAGTCATATTTTTGTGCACGATAGTTGACATGTCCTAAATTGCATGAGTGTGAGATATGATTTAACAGACTTTTGAAATTCTGAGTACTGTATTGTTTACAGCAATTACAGCCTGAAAATAATTTGAAGATTCATGAGCGAGTGAAAACTATTTTTAGGTAACAAGTTGAGGCAAAGAGTACTATTTACTTTTGGGTAAATCGTTTCAAATGTAAAAGACTACTCCAAGTGTTAAACGGCTAAAAATTATCTATACTGGAAAAAAGGAAAACATATGACTTGCGTTAACATGTTGGGGATCAGTTTAAGATCAATACGCATTATACATCTACGTTGAAATGGGCAAAATTTCAACTTTTGAATATTTATTACTGAAGTGTAATCAAAGAGAAAACAATGAAAATTTACTTTTACAAATTCTTCTTACAGATTTAAAGGGAATATACCTAATTATAAAGAATGATCAACCTTGATAAATCTATTTAAAGTTAAAAACCCCGAAGTAAACCGCAATAAAAGCAATAGTACTGAGAAAATGAAGGATACATTGTGTTTTTCTCTAAAGCGATAAAAGAAATTCTAAGACGGTGAAGATAATCTTAAATTAAATTCCTAATAAGCTACGAAAAACTTATATATTATAAATAACATACCTACTTTAATAATTCCACAAACTGAGATAAAAAGATCATCAAGGGCCAAGTAAAGTCAAATGGTGCAACACAATCATGTATGAACAAGTACAACACCATACAAGTGAAAAATTTTAATTAAAGTAAGACATCGAGACATACAATCCCAAAAAATAAAGGTATAAATAACCCACAATATTACGACTGGGAAAAGAAAAATAATGTAACCTTGGATTTTATCAGTTTTACTTAACTAAACCACACATGTCGTGTTCGTTTTACTCTTGAATGAGTCAAGTTTTTTTGTTGTTTTTTTTTACTTACAAACAATGTCAATTTTTAACTTAAGTTAATATAGTGAAGTAGGTCGCGGTCGGATGTTTTATCACGGTACTGTCGTGGTTTATGGTCAAGGTCGTGGTTTGGTACCAATGAATTTTGTGGGAACTTATTCGAAACCCCAGAAATGTGTCGGAAGGATTGGAGGTGCGTTCCTAGATCTTGTTTCAATGTTGTAATGTCCGCTGATGGGTTCTATACATGTAGAGAACATAAAGTTCTTGCCCTATTACTACTTTTAAAAAGTGTGGCAAATTACCTGTGCTCGGAATTGGAAAGAGAGGTACTTAACCTATGTGCTAGACAAGAATAGTACGAGAATAGTAATTTGTTTAACGTATGCTTGATTACTTGGTACCAATGTCGAAACTGTAAAAAATTCAGCCGAACGACAAGTACACACGATCGCCATAATGGTAACAAAAATACCTGCTACCAAAAAACCCGGAAAGTAAAAAAGACATAAGATCTAGTCACATTAAAAGAATAAGGACATGTATTTCGTCTTCTCGTAACTGGTGTTTCTGGTTATTAATTGATAGCAATCGTAACCGATAATCTAGTAGCTTTATTTTTAGATTACAGGGGCCAACAGTGAGTGTACCCACATGACAGGTCCTCTTGATAATGGTAACCAAGCTGTCCACTCAGTGGTTTACTCGCGAGACAAATTTATTCTTTTCAGTTTTCAGTATCATATACCCCGTCTTGCAGACTATTGGCTATTGCTGTTAATTAGATGGCACAAGGTTCTCAAGTACTAAAAATTGTTGCCAGAACCAAACTCAAATCTGTATATTTTACCACACTTTGAAATTTGTTATTACTAAGTGTGACTGAAGTTGGCTTGAGATTTGGATTCGTGTTTTGCTGATCTAAACTGCGATCAACTTGCAGTTGGCCAGTATAGAAACAAAGACGTCATAACTGAAATAAATATCTATATATTCTACAAAAAGTACTTCAAAATTGTGCAAGGAATCAGATTCAAATCGATAATTCGAATGAGACTTTACCTTCAAGTTCAAGTATGTACCTATCTGTTATTGTTATCTGCCACGGAGATAACTTGTGCCAACCGGTATTAACATCATATTAGAATAAGAGTATTTCACCAAGCAGAATAATTCTCAATAATTTTTCAAGATGGCGTCAAGAATGTTCTGTCATATCCAAACTGTTTTACTAAAAACCTTCTAGCTTCTAGAAATGTAGTTATTTACTGTATTGTAAATATTTTTATTTTTCACTCGTATATAATGTTTGTTTTATATCCATGATTTGATAAACGTAAAGCGGCATCTTATATCCGGGGCACAATGAGCGGGCATAAAAAGTTATTACGCCCTCTCATTATGCCCTATTTTGCTAAACCGAATTAAACAAAAATTTAAAAAAAATATTGTTTATTTTTAACCACTTATTTATTTTTTGACAATTTATTTAATAACGAAGATACAAATTACAATTTACAAACTTGCTATTCATACCAAACTATTCAGGTAAACTTAAACTTTTCGGAGGTGCCTCTATTGGAATTATTTCTGCCACTGCTTCCATTCTGCTATCACCGAATAACGTATTATATAAAAATCTTGAATTGTGTTCACTCATCCTCCAACTACCTTTACAGCATAAAACATTCGTATTTAAATTAATTACAATCATCAAAAAATAACTTAGTTTACCTTCTGAAGTAAATATCTGTTGTCGGAAGCATCTTTTAGAAATTGCATGACTTGTTCGCCAGTCAAAACTCGGGATTTTTTTGCCACATAACCTTTTGGGTTTTTTTATAGAAATATGTCAAACGATGATAATTAGAAATGTCTATGTTGTCGTTTACTCTTAAAGTTGTCTTGACCATCGAGTATTTTCACCATAAGGAACTGGGTGAATATTTTTCTGACTAAAAATGAAGAACACAGTTAAATAATTATTTTATAAACAGAATAACTCACCAATTCTTGGAAGTAAGCCACTTCTTAATCTTCCAATTAAGGAAAATTTTGTATTCTTTTTCATATATGGATCCTGATGTTCCAGGTAACACATTTTCATTGGCTTTTTGCGCTTTCTTCACAATGTTTTCTGGAATTTCACAATTTTCCTCATTCATTTCCGCGGTCGAAAATATACGTGTTGACACCGTGAATAGACGCCGTGTTTGCAATAAACATAGAATCTCCTTGACAACAAAATCAACGCCACGTAAATTTTTTTTTTTACGAATTAATTATTTAAAATAGTCTTTTTTTTAGATTTTCTCGTGAAAAATAAAAGTTTGTATGCACCACGGGCACAACTTGATGTTTATAAATCTCGGGCAACTTACAAAATCTCGGGCCAGAGGCCCTCGATTTTGTAAACGTTGCCCTCGAATATAAACATCTTCTTTGTGCCCTTGGTACATAAATAACTATTTTATCTCAATTAAACTCAATTTTTGAGACATACCCGTGCCTCTTACAGAAAACAGTAAAACTTTTGGGCCAATTTTTTTCTTTTTCTTTCGAAAACACTTATTTGCTTAAAGTTATAAGAACATTATTAAAAAGAGCATGTCGTACCCTTGAAATTTTACAATAACGGTTTCTGCAATCTTTGAAATAACTTGTTCAATAAATTCTTGCTAGACACAAGGTCTATAATATAATCTAAATCTCCTTGTGGTAAAACAGAATGAAAAAATTCCTCAAAATTAGCGTCTCATAAAATGATCGGCTTATTGTACAGAGTTATAACAAATGCAGGTAACAAATTAAGTTAAAACATCATGAGAAATCTTAGGCACTATATACCCGCTTAAAAATCTAAAACTACTGCTGGGATATTAAAAAATAACAGAACAGAATCGTGTCGACGTAGAATCGTACGATTGACCAAAGTCTAAAAGAAGCTTCGAGTAGCAACAAATATCTTCTGACTTGTAACTCGAACCCGTGCATATATTCTTACAATTATCTAGGAGAACGTTCCTGAACAATTCTGAGAGTGAAATACTTGAGAATGTAAACATAAAAGTAAAAACGTCCTTACCTCCTTCTCATTAGTGTTCTATAGCATCGTCTGAAAAAGCAAGATCCTTCAATTTAGCTAGTTATCGGCAATTAAAAATTGACAGTTTTTAAATACGATCCTTGATAAATAATTCTTCTAGACTGCACATTTTACTTATACTATCATGACGATAGTGCCATTGACGTAAGTAGCGATCATAAACTGTCGATGCTAATCCTATTATTCGACGTAGGTTGCGTTTAGTTAAGAGAGCGTAACCGATAAGATCTACTCGTTTAATATAAGAAATCCCACTGAGTTGATAATTTGGAATTTTGTGTAAATAACCAGTAAATATGCTTGTAGTAGTAGGGCTTCTAGCACCAATACATGGCTGAGACCAACTAATAAACGAATTATGAACGTTTTGAAGATTGCAACCTGCTATAGACAGAAGTCCATAGCGGCAAAAGGCATCCAAGTGCTTAGGGTGGTTCATACCTTATATACAAACCGGGTCACTCCAATCGAAACTGCCACCGTAAAGGAGTGCTAGGTACACTCGACTGCATGGGCGGCGCTCCAGTTCTCGGTGTAAGTATGTGTAACACACACTTGCCGTAAAAAATGCAGTGAGATCCTTATGAGCGCACGAAGTGCTGTTTCTATTTTCTGTGTAAAGGACATTGGCTTAAAAAGGAAAGAGAAGTAGTGACACAATGTTCTATCGTCTGGAACGGAATAACCGACATACATATATGTGACGTCAAACTGTTAATTTTTCGAGCAGTGGTTTAATATAACAACTAGCTGACAAATTAACAGATGCCTATTCTTCCATGCTTGACGTTTTCCGGTTGAAAAACAAAACCTTAAAATAAATCAAAAATATTTTGGGATAAGATTCAGTACCTACTGTAATACTGTACCTACAATTTATGAAGCGTAATGGAAAATTGGTGTCAGTGGAAATAAAACAAAAATAAAATTATCTAATTTTAATAATAGGGCGGAAAAAAATTAACAACAACTCTCTCAATTTCACAATAATTATCATTACAGTAAAAATAAATACTGTACAATTATTACTTAATATAGTTTGTACTAGTTGAAATTTTTCCGAATTGAGCTTCTAATAATAACTAAAAATCGACGAAATCTGTGGGATACATTTTTCCAAACTTGGCTACTCAAGGTTCAGTTCTACGCCTCAACCAGAAACTTAACCCTATTGATATGGAATGATTAACTTAATGTACACAAATTTCGACATTGAAAGTGTCTTCCATTCGCTACTGCATTACTCCATAATTTAATCTCAACTTGTAGACAAAAGAAAGACACTTCATTACTGGTAAGTGACTTGAACACGTTGTCTTCAACTTAACCTCAAATTTCATGTATTACATCAATTTATTACTACTCTACAATTTATCCTACTTTTTACTACATAAATATGGCAGTGGTATCTCCACTTCCTCTCAAAACAAGAACACATAAAATATAATATTGTTAAGACGAGGAAGCAAAGAAAAATTTACTAGCCGCCACTATCCGTAAAAATTTGAAGTTAAGTCGAAGATCATGCGCAAGTTGCAAGGCACAAATAAAAAATCGATTATCAAGGTTTCTACTCTGAAAATTACTCCACCCCCACGAAGCGTCCATGTGTTCGAATTCTCTTATGACCTGCACTCATTCCGCTGTGGTGCTTTTGCGGCGGTTGCATGCATGGTGTTTTGCTAGTCTTCCTCAACAAGGATGAGGTGGGGCTATCGAACCACAAATCTAACGAATATAGAGCTGCCAGTTGCCCTAATTTTTCTCGTTCCCCTCCAAATAACCTAAGCTCGGATTTGGTGGTGTCTTGAAGAAACTTGGCCACGCGTTCGTTAGCACCGGTGCTAATACTAAAACCCGGTCGCTCGTCACCCAATCTTCTACAACCTGTTGAGATAAGTCACATGGAAAATAAAAAATAGGAAACATCGCTGAATAACGGAATGGGCTCATAGGAGGCAATGGAAAAGGAAGTCAGCCTGTAAATTTATTTAAACAATAAGAAAATGACCGAAGATATTAACCAAATGTTTCAGTGGTGTAGTTGTCAATTAGTGTCCAAGCAAATTAATTAAAAATGTAGTAGCCAAAACATTGTTGTAGGACTTTGAAATTCACCGCTCATTTCTCGTTTTACTGAAAAACTATTTTCATAATATTTCAATTTAATAACAAATATAACAGGTGTTTACTAAAAAAATATATATATTCTCTTCTATGATATTCTTCTATCTGTAACATGTGTAGTCTCACGATCTGCATGACAATTCAGAAAAGCAATACAAAATTGGTAAAAGTTACATTTCTGATGTTTTTGAACGAATTCCTTTAAAGTTGAAATTATCCCCAAACAACTCCAAAAAAAAGTGGACTTCGATATCACAAGTGCGTCTACGGTTTCAGCACAAAATAACTTTGTACACATTAAAAAGTTCAAAACTTTTTTCCTAAACACTCTAAACTAAACCAATGGACTTATTTATGCTTAGTAGGATTTAATAGGAATGCTGTACGCAAAAAAAAACAGAGATAAATCGTTGGAAGAACTCAACAAAGACCAAAATATTTAAGTTCACTATATACAGCTTTTTTTTGTCTTAGCACTTCAAAGATCACGTGCCCATTAGATACATTTTTTGTATCACTCACTGTAATAATTTAAGTTTGCACGTCTTCTTTCATGCTGTTTGTTTGTTGCTTCAATTTCAAACCTGTTGTTTATTTAAAAAAAATAATTTTCAATTCTGGTATAGGCAACCAATAATATTGATGTACATTATCAGTAAAACCTATAATCGTCTTTCGATATTGTACGAACTCTTTTAGGATATTTGTACAATGACCCATTTATGGTGAAAAACAATTTGGATCCTGATTTATGTTGCTCTAATATTTTTTATAAATGACTATCCAGCTGGTAGACGTCATACAATTTGTTATTCTATATATTTACTATTATTACTCCTCAAATCTAAGTTTACGTGACTATACTTCGGTGGATACGGTAGGTCATGGTAAGAAAAATTGATTTAAATTAGTCTTTAAGAATTGTTTATCACTATCAACATTTACACGTCATGCATTGCAAAGGCGGTGTGGTAGAATAAAATTGACATAATTTTTTTTATATTTTAATTCAGTTCTGATAGATGTTAGGGACGTTTGTTAGATAACCTGCATGCATAATGGTAAATGAAATGGGAAATACATAACTACAACGTCAAGGGGTGTATTGTAAACAAAAAGTTAAAATCCAATTTACAAATAAATTGTGGTAAAGTGCTCTTATGCAACAGATCGCAGGACGAGGATCAAAGTTTATCTTCTTTTGTTTTTATGGGTAGGCATGATTATCATTCGTTTGCCTAATTTACTTGTAACAGAGAACTGATGAGTGCGTATTTTCACATAAATTCGGGCAAAATGTTTATGTTTGCAGCAAGCACTTTCGGAGAACAGTTTTAAATAAATAATTACTTTTATCGCACCGATCAGTATTTATAGATCTGGGTATTATATAATTCATAAATTGAATAAGTAATTACAAGCCAACAATAAAAATACTACCGTCATTAGAGTTAGTTGTTATGCAAAAATTCGCTAAGAAATGATACTAACTTGGAAGTTAGACTTAGAAAAGTATTAACAAGATACATTATCATTAACCCTTACATTGTACTTAACAGACTCGTCTATTCTGGTGTAAACAAAAAGGTTCCAACTAATGACTTAAAACAAGTATTTTAATTTTTTGTCTTAAAAAAAAAGATAGGTTATTCCAACAAAATTTCCGTTGCATCTGACGTAGACGTACAATACAACTTATCAACTTTTTGAATATTTAATTTAATTTATTTATAAAATTTTAATTGCGAATTTTCTTTTTACTTCTTGAGCATAAACTAAGAAGTATAGTAAGTATAATCGATGACGTCATCTCAAAATTTTTCCGAATAAATCCTCTCTGAAATATGTAAAATATAATGGTTCTATACTTGTGGTTTATCAATTTATTTTTAATTAGGAGTATTTTTTTTATTATTTAATTAACGAATTTTTATTGACGTCATCAAAAAATTTTGTAATGGAAAAACTCACGTGAAACAAACCCGTAGCACAAAAAAAATAAGTACGTAAAATCAAATTTTAGAATTTTTCGAAAAATCTGGATTTGTTGTACTGTATTTCATGGGCGAGGAAAGTTCTGTCCAAATAACCTTCGACCAATTTTTTTATGATAAGCCCTATAAGTTAAAATAATATGTGTCTAGTAAAGATAGGTCAGCTATTCGTGAAATTTTCTATTACAAAATTTTGTAATGACGTCATAAAGTTGGGTAAGGTAACCGATAAAATAAATTGCGTCATTCATTTTTTTTAATCATTCTGTATAAGCAATTCTAAATAAAGTGTCACTCACAACAACCATAAAAACAGCGGATTGCTATCGCGGACTCGATTTTGCATTGATCTACAAATGCGTTATTCTAAGAAACCATTAAATCAGGAACGACCGAATGTCATAACTCATAATTTACGATTCTTTCTGCTTGTTTGAGAACTTGCCTAATTTTCTGAATGTAAAAAAATATTTCTTAGCATTTTGTAATTAAAGAAAAAACGTGAATTTCTTAAAACAAAAAAAATGGTCCAAAGTTATTTGGAAACGATTCATATTCTAGGAGTCATGAAAGTCAACAAAACATGATAGTTGCTTACACTAGGGAAGTAAAAAACAAAAAGATGCTACAAAATTGTTTGCTGCTTTTTTATGCTTGAATTATAAACACGCTCTTGTCAAAAATTTTGTTATTTAGAATACAATATGCATAATTTTTTACGCAATTATTGGTTGCCAATATATTCCTATAATATGTATTCAATTATCCTCACAACTGCCATCAGATGTAGACTTTTCCCAAACACACTATTCTTCAGCCGTTTTAAACCTATTCACTTGATAGTTTGACTGATTATTCAATGTATGTACGAGTATACAATTGCTTACAAAATTAAAAACAAAAAAAAATCATACATGATGTACGTAAATTACACCCCATCTAAACATCAAAGTTTTAGATGTCCATAACATTTGTGAATTTTAAATGTCACCGAGGAAACATGTAACAACTTTCTAAATATTCATCATTCTTAATAATAAATGACGTTTAAATGACAACTCTCAATTGAATGACGACATCTTAAAAAAATTTAAGTATGGTGTACGATAGTTTTCGCAGAAGTTGCACGTTTCACCGTATCTTAATTTTTTGATGAACAGTGTATATTAATTTTATTAATTAATTAAACAGCGAATTTATCTGTAAATCTTAGCCCAGAATAGAAAGTTTCAGTGATATTAACAGTCAGCTAATTCATCTTTCTGAAAAGTTTTACAAATAAACAGCTGCATAAAATTGATTACATCGTTAATTCTCATACAGTGTTTTCCCTGTGTTTTATCTTTCGTATCTACCAGAAGATCTGAAACCGTCTGTGTGGTATAAACTTTATCCTGATTGATGGAAAGGGTACATAAAATCGAAACAGCTCGCTAAATAAAATTTTCCAATAGATAAACTACGATTTTTTTGTGGTTAACTAAACTGAACGATACAAACGCGATTAAACAAAATGCCAAAAACGCGAGAAACATGAAAACCGTTCGAAACAAAACACTTCATAAATATTTAAGGGTCGGAACACCTCTTCTTCACCTCGCATGAACAATAATAAATATCGGGTGACACTGAATTTTTACAGAGTACCGGAATACATAACAACTTCTTCAGAATTTTGATAAGAGACTAACCTGATCTTGCAGATCTTAGAACACAAATTAAAATGGATTTATTGGATCTATCTATCTCAAAAACTGAACATGTGATTTCTTTCTATATAAATGTTTACTGAGATTACATACTTACTTTTACTTATTTTTTTTTAATGAACAAAATGGGTCAAAAGAATTAATACATTAACCGGCTTTTTTTATATTCAAAAGACAATGTATTACTGAAGCGAAGACACAATTTTAACAACTACCTACCTGATTACTTGGTTACACCTAAAACCTTTTGAAACCCTATTTTACAAAAAGAATCACAGCTACACTTGCAACATTAAATAATACACCTGTAGTGAATGTTTATGGTTGATAATAGCAAAGTAAAAAAACCCGTAAATATGCGCATTTGCGGTGTAAAAAATAATATCAGTGGAAAGTAAATATTGTAATTGCTGTGTAAAAGTACTCACCTGCTCGAATCTCACGAGGGTCAGTATCATTGAAAGAAGTCTGATCCATAGCAGATGAATTGTCAATAGATGGAGCCCAATCAGTCAATTCATCATCCCCATCATGACCTTCACCCCCACTCCAGCTAATGCTACTCTCACTCGTGAATTCACAATCATCAATACTTTGAGTTTCCATAGTTGTATTCTTTAAATCAAACAAATAAGTAACACATATAATAAAAGTATTTGTTACAAACTTACATCGTCCATGCTGGGATTATTCTGAAACATCTTTTCAATTTTATCCACCAGACTATGATGCAGCGGTCGAATTTTTGCAGTGTGTCTAATAGAACGTCCATTGTCTACAATATCGAATCGCTGCGAGCGTTTACGCTTCCCACATGGTGGTATCGGAGCTTCATCAATACTCATGCGTTTCAGTTTTCGCTTCCTTCTAAGATTTGGCCTTGCTGGTGAATTTTCATTCACCGAATCACTCTCCAAGCTATGATTAACACCTAGTTTCCTGCATCGACCTCTGACATAGATATGCAAAGCGTGCTTCATCCTCATCGAACTTTTGTTATGCATGGCCTTCGCTATGGCCATATTGAACGAAGGCTCGTCGGAGTCTGACTGGTGGAAACTGGCCACACGACTCGAAGTCTTGTCGTTTCTTGTTTCAGAATTGCTGCTAGTGCTATCATCGCCTTGGTTATCTGGCGAATTGTTCATATAAACAACTGAAAATAATGATTTGTTACGGGATGGTGGTTGCTGATTTAAAATTTACGTAAGTTTCCAGCAGATCGAGTCCTTCGTCTCATGCCCCATTTGCCCTGATTGTCGTGAGCGAAAGTGATGGGACCACAACTTTCCGATTCTTCCAAAGCAACACTTAAATCTTGGGCGAGATGATCCATGGCTAAATGTGGCGCGTTTGGTTCGTTAATTGCACGGGAACTTGATTCCTCGATAATTACATCGTCTTTATGTTTAAAAATGAAGGAAATCGAAAAAGAAACGCGTCACGGATGCAAAAATAAATATAAACATCAATGGAGATCAAATGACGGATGACGGCTGAGTGATGGCCGAGTGCGGTTGCGTCAGCTAGAGCGCGAAAATTGGTCAATTTAAAACGTCCATTGTATTTTATTATTAAAACCATCACACTGTACATTGCTAATGTATTAAATGCATTTGTTTTTAATTTGATACAATTAAGGATAAATTGAAATTAGAAATACCTACATACATACGAATAAGCCGTTTATTTATTTATTTATTTATTTATTTATTTATTTATTTATTCCTTTATTCATTTATTCATTCATTTATTTATTTATTTTCTTCGGGAACCAAGGCAGCTAATTTTATCCAGCACAAGATCGAATATGATTTTTATTCCTGCCAGTATAGTTTTAGCATTAATAAATGACATTATTGACATTAAATGGCTTATAGCCACCTACTACCTATAACTACAAATTATTAAATTGCGATGAACCAGTATCTGTCTAGTGCAAATGGGTACTAATTTTGTTATCTTCTCTTTCTCTCTTTTTTTCAAACTTGTATCAGTTGTACATATCACTTTGGCAATCACGAGCTGATTTTCTGATGTTATATACAGGAATTCGTAAAATTCCACCCTCTCGTTATGACTTCAGTACCATCCACCAATGTAATCGCAGAACTATGTCGTAAATAGTGGTCTGTATATTCTAAATACATATAAATTTGGGTGAGTTTAGTCAATAATTTAAGATAAACTGTTGTTTTACTCTGGATTTTCCCGAATATTGTTCATTTCTGTCGGATTAAAAAATTAGGTATTTTCACAACCAATACATATAAATAAGCAACATGATTTTAAAAGTAGGCAAATACTGCCTGGGTAACTTTAAATTCTTTTAATAACTACAAAAATTCATGGTTTAAAAAAATATGTAAATAGGTACAATACGATCACCGAAAATACATACCAATAATTTTTTTTTAACATAATTACGATTTTCTGGTTGACAGTGCCGAGTCGACCATTCGCATTATGTGGTGAATGGTTCACAGTGGTATAAAGAATATAATCCGGACTGGAGACGCCTTGACGAGCTTTTGATTGAAAGTTATTTTACACGTCCAGGGATGTGTTTTTTCAACAATCTGAATAAATAAAAGTCAGACGCAGCTAGATCAGAACTGTAGGGCGAATGATCCACCCCAACGAACCTGAATTCTTGCACAACATGCTGAATTTTAGCCACCTTATGCACCGTCGCATTGTCGTGCATCACAAACACTTCTCTGTTGGTCAACATGAGCCGTTTTTCATTAATTGCCATATGCAAAATTTGAGAGTGATGGCATAGTTGTCTACTTTTATTGTTTTGCCTTTAGGTATGTATTCAATAAGAAGCACGCCTCTAATGTCCCAAAAAACGATTGCCATCAATTTTCCGGCAGATGGTTCCGTCTGTACCTTTTTTGGGAGTGGAGATCCTTTATGAACCCACTGCTTTGATTCAGATTTTGTTTTAGGGCTCCTATGGTGTACCCAATTCTCGTCGTCGGTCACAATTTGAGACAATAAGTCGCAATTCTCTTCAAATGTTTCCAAATGATTTCGTGAAATTTCCATTCTGCGCAGTTTTTGTTCGGATTTCAGCAATCGTGGAACCCATCGGTCAGGGACTTTATTCATGCAATATGGTTATTACACTAGATTCGGATATTCCTAATGTCCTGCTATTTGTGTAAACCTTAAGACACCGATCCTCAAGGACCATAGCTTCAACTTTTAAAAGTCATTTCTGCATCTGTTGCTGTTTTTGGTCTTCCATTTCTGAGATCTTCTTCGATGGATTTACGTCTCTACCAAAATTGTTCAGACCAAAATTTTATTAGGTAATAACTAATCAGACGGTGCATCATTTCTATAAATCTCCACCATCTTCTCACGAATTGTCTTTGGCTGCTGGCCTTGTTTTGTGAGAAACTTGATAGCGCTGCGATTCTCTAATTTTAAGTTGCTCATTTTTCTTTGTGTAACAACTTATAAAACCGAAATGAATAATCCAAATTAGCTCAAATTTTCGGTGCAGGGTTAGAATAAATGACACTATTTGACATATTGACGACAACGGTGTCAATGGTTTTTTTCATGGCTAGGTAGATAATATTTCTACTTGCCCTCGTATGTTTTACAAAAAAAAAAAAATAGCGGTAGCATTCATCAAAAACTGCTATTTAATTGTATTTTGGGTTGCGTTTTAAATTTTTTAGGCGAGGAGCTTCTCATAAATAAGTCTGTATAGGTATGTACACCTAAAATAAAATATTATAGGGTATGATTATCATCTTCTTTTGGCGAGATTCAATTTTAATTCATTAGAAACACGTCGCCTGTTCTTAATAATAAAATTCTTATACAACTTATTAAATAATAAAATAGATTGTAATTCACTCCTAGGCCAAGTTAATTTTTTTGTTCCACGCCTCAATTCGAGAGCATTGCTATTCTATCCCAGGTCTCCTACATCTAATGCGCTGGTAATATCACCTATACTAGTTATGTCGTTATGTGCAATAATTTTAATTTAGTTGCTTCAGAATTCGACATTAATTTTAATTCGGAGAGTCATTTGTTAAAATGTCTAGTTAAGTTGAGAGGATATTAAGCTGCTGTTATTAAGACCCACCACTGACCCGGAAATGACCGGCATTCAGGCAAGACTTCTATCATTACGGGTACTAAGACCAAGTAATGATATGCATTGATTAGATTAACAGAACAACTTTCGAGATTCTAGAATTACAGCATACAAATTAGTCTGCTATTATTCTCTAATCTCACCCCATCCCCAAAAGTCCAGCGTAACTACCGACCATTTATCCGCGCATCACATGAAAAGTGACCTACACTACTCTGACCTACTGGTGCTAATCTAATCTGACTGACATGATCAGACTGTTCAAGAAACTTACGAACAATATGACATGTTCCTAACAAAACAGCTTTTTGAATTTTGACAATTATTGAATCATTCAAATGCAAAGACTTTAAATTCTCAACTAAGCTATTTGGAACTACACCTACATTAGAGATAACTAGGGGTAGAATTGAAATTTTTTTAAGATTCAACATGGATTTCATTTCTATCGATAATTGTAGATATTTTGAAATCTTGGTGTCGTATGTTTGAATAATGTTGTTTGTGTTAGGAATAGCAATGTCAATAAGAATGGCTTCCTTCGTGTGTTTTTTGATAAGTATGATGTCTGGTCTGTTAGCTGTAATGTTTAAGTCTGTAAGTATTGTGCGATCCCAGTATAATTTGTATTTGTTATTTTCAAGGAATGGAGACGGAATGTAAGTGTAATAGGGTGTCGTATCTTCGATTAAGTTCATAAGTGTTGCTAATTCTTTGTGAATGATTTTGGCTGCGTTGTCATGTCTAGCTTTGTAATCAGTTTGTGCTAGGATGCTGCAAGAAGAGATTATGTGCTGGATCGTTTCAGGTTTTGCTTTGCATAGACGACAGCAGTCGTTTTTTATGTTCGGATCTTTGATGATGTATTTTCTATAATTCTTGGTATTGATTACTTGGTCTTGAATAGCAAACACAAATCCTTCTGTTTCGGCATACAAACTTGATTTTTTTAACCAAATCAATGACATCTTCTTATTGACATGATTTTCTTCTAAGTCTTTGTAGAATTTTCCATGTAGTTGTTTTTGTTTTAGCCCACTTATTATTTTATCTATTGTGTGGGGGGTGTGGATTTCTTCGGTGTTCGACAGATTTAAGGGTGTGTGGTTCAAATCTGCTCTTGTGATGGTGTGAAACATTTCATTTCTTTCCGCTCGTTTCAAGAAATACTTCTTCAAATCTGAAATTTGTCTCTGATATAAGTTTTCTAAGTTCTGGAAACCCCTTCCTCCATTCTGTCTTGGTAATGAGAATCTTTATGTTAGTGTCACTCCTTATTTATATTAGTTTTTCCTATAATTGGGTGCTTGAGTACTTGTTGGAAATAAAGTTTATTTATTACAATCCCTGCTTACATATCAGAAAATGTTGACAATATTCGACTCGGTATCTTAAAGTGTTTAACCCTTTCGTCATCCGCATTAACTCCTCATTGTGGGTTAAATAAAACGTTGTAGGTCTTTGATAAAAGTCAAAATGGATACGAGTACAATAACAGCAAAATTTTTATGATTTTAAAATAAATGATTTTCCTCGTGGTCGTTTAACAATCATGTTCACGTAAATTATGATACATATAATAATTTATTTACACGTTATTTATTACAAAATATAATAAATTTTTTATCTCAACAATATAATAATTATTAAAATAACAAAAACAACAAACAATAACAATTATTATTTCTGATGATCACATAGGTTCTGAGATTACTTCGTTGCTTCGTCATCTTCCAGTCCATCAATTATTGAGCCAATTGGGCTTAATGCGTCTTTAGCTATTTCATGTCCGAGCTCGTCTAAGCCCACATCGCCTTCAGCAAGAGGAACATCGGCTTCGGTAAGAGGAACATCGGCTTCGGTAAGAGGAAGATCGGCGTCGGTGTCGGTAAGAGGAACATCGGCATCGGTAAGAGAACCGTCGCTGCCACCATCCAGTTGCACTTCAACTGGACTGTCTTCTTCATCGACTTCGCTAACAATAATTCTATCAAGCACATCCAGATGACCAGAGTGGTGACCACCTCCGCCTCCACCGCCATGTTTACCGCCCCAGTGACCTCCGCCTGCTCCGACATTACCTTTTTCATGAACAAAATAACCGTGACCGCCGCTACCTTTACCTCCGCCTCCATGTCCATGTCCTCCACCGCCATGACCTCCTCCCCCTCCACCATGTCCATGACCGCCGCCTCCTCCATGACCACCATGACCACCTCCTCCATGACCTCCATGGCCACCACCACCGCCTCCATGACCTCCATGGCCACCGCCTCCATGACCTCCATGACCACCGCCTCCATGACCTCCATGGCCACCACCACCGCCTCCATGACCTCCGTGGCCACCACCACCGCCTCCGTGACCTCCATGGCCACCACCACCGCCTCCATGGCCCCCATGGCCACCGCCTCCGTGGCCACCACCACCGCCTCCATGACCACCATGGCCGCCACCACCATGACCTCCATGACCATCATCACCGTCGTGGCCATCACCGCCATGACCACCGCCTCCGTGACCACCATGGCCACCGCCTCCATGACCGCCGTGTCCACCACCTCCGTGGCCACCATGGCCTCCACCTCCATGCCCACCATGTCCTCCATGGCCACCTCCGCCATGACCTCCATGACCGCCACCTCCATGTCCTCCATGACCGCCACCGCCGTGACCGCCACCTCCATGGCCACCACCTCCGTGACCGCCGCCTCCGTGACCACCACCGCCTCCATGGCCGCCACCTCCGTGACCTCCATGACCGCCGTGACCACCACCTCCATGACCGCCGTGACCACCGCCTCCATGACCGCCGTGACCACCTCCTCCATGGCCGCCGTGACCACCTCCTCCGTGACCACCACCACCACCTCCATGTCCATGACCGCCGCCGCCGCCGTGTCCGCCTCCGTGGCCTCCTCCGCCACCACCGTGTCCGCCTCCATGGCCTCCTCCGCCACCACCGTGTCCGCCTCCATGGCCTCCTCCGCCACCACCGTGTCCGCCTCCATGGCCTCCTCCGCCACCACCATGACCGCCACCGCCGCCTCCGCTACCGGTGGTCTTTTTGAAGTGCCATTTCTTTCCGCCAGATTTGTCTGCTTTTTTAGCGTGTTTATCAGTATGATCATGATGAACGTCATGCCCTGCGGCATGTTTATGTCCTTTATCTTCGTGGTGATGACTTCCCTTTTCGTGATGACCTTTTTTGCCGTAATGGTCTTCATGATGTCCTCCCTTTTTGTGGCCGCCTTTCTCGTGTCCTCCCTAAAAGTCAGATAATTTGTAGAAATTCGGAAGTTAACTGTAACAATAATTACTTTGCTATATTTATGGTCATCGTGGAATGATCCGTGTTTCTCGTGTTCTCCTCCTTCATGATGTTCGTCGTAAAATTCTTGTTTCTTTTCGTATTCGTCCTTCTTGTGCACGTTGTGTTCTCCTTTTGTGCTATGACCTTTGCTGTGTTTGCCATCTTCGTAGTACTAAAATGATTAAAAACCATTAGGCAGGATAATTTTACAATTTTACTTTTTTAAAAGAATTATTTTTTAGCTTACCACGTCTGATTTAAGATATCGCACAATGCTTAATCTAATAATGACAACATTATAATATTCATTAAAAAGCATAATAAATTCAACTTTTAAAGTTTAACTTCTTCTGTCATTGGCATTGACACATAGCACTGTAAAGTGTCAATTAATTATTAAAATTTCATTACTGAGCATTTTTGCTAACAGTATGTAATCAATGTCAATCAATGTCGCGTTTTGTTTTTCTCGGATTAATATGTGACAAACGCGAAAGTCGCGTACTTAATAGTGGATAAATGCGATTATTGGTATGAATACCACACAATTTTTTGTGCTGCCTTTGTAAATTGAATGTAAGTCCAAAAAATAAATGGTAATTTAACACTTCAACGTAAAATGAGTGTCACTTACGTTAAAATAGTTCAGCTTTAATAGCAATTTTACAACTTATTCAGTTTTACTTCATAAGACCGGAAAAAATTTCGAGCAAGATGTGCGAATCAGATTTTCATAGGTCAATGAAAAGCAATGGGAATATGACTTTCATGTCAATGTTATTTGCCCGAATTTTTTTGGAAACGACGGTATTTTTCGAATTGTTATATGTACCTAGTTAAAAATGTCAAGTGAATGATGTAATTTTAGTTGTGGCAGCACATTTTTTTTTAAGATTCGTGCACTTCTTAAAAAAGTGCCCATCCCGAGCAAATAGTTATTTCAACATACCTTTGCCCCTTTTTCGCCTTTTTCGCCCTTGGCATATTCACCAAAATGTCCATGTTCCTCATGATGTTTCTTTTTAGAACCTCCTTCATCTTTGTACTTTCCTTTATGTGCCTCTTTGTCGTGATGACCTTTTTCACCTTTTTCATAGTGGTGGTGTCCTTTGTATCCTTTGTCGCCTTTTTCTCCATGACTACCTTGGTGTTCTGAGGTGTGTTTTTTGCCACCACCTTTTTCAAATTTACCTTGGCCTCCACCGCCACCACCACCTCCATGGCCACCTCCCCCGTGGCCTCCGCCTCCGTGACCACCTCCTCCGTGACCACCTCCTCCGTGACCACCTCCTCCGTGTCCACCTCCTCCGTGTCCACCTCCACCGTGACTACCGCCTCCGTGTCCACCTCCACCGTGTCCACCTCCTCCGTGACCACCGCCTCCGTGTCCACCTCCACCGTGACCACCGCCTCCGTGTCCACCTCCTCCGTGTCCACCTCCTCCGTGACCACCGCCTCCATGACCACCTCCACCGTGACCACCGCCTCCGTGACCACCGCCTCCGTGACCACCTCCTCCGTGGCCACCTCCTCCATGACCGCCACCACCATGTCCTCCACCACCATGTCCTCCGTCGCCGTGTCCTCCGCCGCCATGTCCACCGCCGCCATGTCCACCGCCACCGTGCCCGCCGCCGCCATGTCCACCGCCACCATGCCCTCCGTCACCGTGGCCATCTCCTCCATGGCCTCCACCGCCATGTCCTCCACCGCCGTGTCCACCATGACCACCATCATCATGTCCACCGTGTCCACCTCCTCCGTGACCACCTCCGCCGTGTCCGCCATGACCGCCACCACCATGTCCGCCGTGACCACCATCATCATGACCACCATGACCACCTCCGCCATGGCCACCAAGACCTCCTCCACCATGTCCGCCATGACCTCCGCCACCGTGTCCTCCGTGACCACCGCCACCGTGTCCACCGTGACCTCCTCCGCCATGTCCACCGTGACCTCCACCACCGTGACCACCATGTCCTCCGCCGTGACCACCGCCGCCGTGACCACCGCCACCGTGTCCACCATGTTGGTACAAACTATCATCGTCTTCAAAATCTTCATGTTCTTCTGTAGCACTTTCATGAAGTAGAGGTACAATGTCATCTGCCTTGTCTGGTTCATCAGAAGCGTTCTTCTTTTTGCCGCTCCTTTTTTTGAGTTTGGGGTTCCTATCTTTGTTAAGTTTTTTGTTGCCATCTAATTGTCCTACATTATGCTCTTCGAGAGCGTGAAACTCATCCTGTAAAAATTTGATAAACCATACCACAACAGAACCCATTCAGTAATCTTACCTTCACACCCATGGCAATGGCTTTGGCCTTTTCTGCAAGTGCTCCTTCGTCTCTGTAGTTCTCTTTCTGTACATAATCCTGCAAATCTTTGGTTGTACCAGCGGCACCAAGACCTGTATCCTCATAACTAAATACACCTTTCTTGTCATCGTCGAGCAACCTCTTTTGGCCATAGAACTCGACGATGGTTTCGTCTGGTTTAGAATCCGTAGTTAGCGGTTTCTTATTGTAAGAAAAGGCTAACGGAGTCCGCAAAACTTTTTCAACTTTTTCACTGGCATCCGAAAGGGGTGTTCCTACTTCGTAGACTAGAGGAAGACTTTGAATCACTGGGTGTTTAGGTACTTCCACAAGTACTGGTCGCGGTTCCGCTGCAGACACCTGAAGGTCATCGATGACCCTCGTAAACACATTCGCGAACACACTTAGTAGTAACAAAGTCCTTGCTAGCAGCCCGAAGGCGCTACTTCTGCCACCCCACATTTGCTTTAGTCTTGCTTATGCTCCTGCAGGATTACGAGAACATCAACGATGGAAGGATAAGAGCAGACTGCGGTTGGTGACGACAATTTCTGCTTTTATACGGATTATCCCCCTCGGATATTATACAAGTTGGATTTTTGATAGTGTAATACATCCATAAGGCGTGTAAATTAAAAATAAAGCGGTAACAGATTTACATTTTACTTCATAATCAATTGGGCATCGGTGTCAACAATGAGACGCCTTATTTCACTACAATCGCTTCACTTTTTATACTTTCTAAATAAGTCGGCGTGTTTCATCGCATTTTATGGATGATTTGTGGAGTTTCTGAAATAAAATGACTTTCTCTGATTTTGTCCGGCTTTTGTGATGCAACACTAGACGATAGTCTAGCGAAAATAATTTGTTATTAATGATATAAAAGTACAAATGCCTCCATCTGAATTGAATTTATTTTTTGCAAAAAGATAAAAAATAACAATTGGACTCCCTACGCTATACTTTATGTTACGCTGTTAAGAAACCAGTAACATTTAACCGCACAATTACTTTTTTTGAATACCCACCAAATTTAAATTTAAATTAAGTTGTTTATACTCAGTTCGATATCAACCAAAATTACTTGCTATTATACAGGGTGTCTCAGAAATAAGTACATTAATTTTAATCAGTTATAGAGCTCATTGAACTCAACAACTTTTTTTAGTAGAGTTTTGTCAAGAACTTTTTAATTATCAAGTTAAAAATTGTTAAAGTTATACCCCAATTAAGGTTACCCGCCCATGGATCCTCAGTCACCCATGGACACTAATAATTATTATAATTAATAATTTATGGTCAAAAACAGTTACTAGGATACGTATTTTCCTAATCTTGTCAATGTGACAAACATTTAAAGAGAAATTGAAAATCCTGCTCCCTAATGGCGTACGGAATTTCATCAGCCCAAATGTGGGTGTTGAACACCTTCCCTCGTGTAACCGACCTCATCAGTTGATGGTATAAGAGATACAAAATTTGCTTGTTCGTTTATTTTTCTATTAACCTACAAAAGTTTTGCCTACGTGGTAAGTCTGTTAGTTTCAATAACTGAACTTTCTGGTCTTGAAAGGGGTACATTTGTTCTCTGAGTATCCTCCAAATACTACTCTCCGATACATCACACTAGACAGTGATACGTGCTAGTGCCCGGTGGAGCTTCGACATTCTTCAAAACAGCCTCTTCAATATTAGCAATTCTATTACTACGTAACTTACCCCGATCCTGAGGTGCCGGTTTAAAAGATCCGTACTCTCGAAAATGCTGCAACGTTCTTAAAACTGCGCACATTTGGCAGACGATTTGGGAGGTTTTCTGAAAAAATTCGTTGGGCGCGAGTGCCGTTTCCCCGAGCTTCACCGTACGTTAAAACGATATCGGTGCATTCCAGATTTGAAAACAATGCCATTTCAACACATTTCGTCTATAAATTAGAAATCTGTGCCAAACAAACTTTAAAGAGACAACGTTTAATAAAAACATTGACAGTATTGTCAGTGACAAAACGGTTGCTACGGTACCTTTTTCATTGTTGTAGTGTTGCTATTATTTAAGTTATTATTTAAGGTAAACATAGACGGCTCGTGAATATATGGGTGGGAAAATTCGAAATTCGACTTGAGTTTTCGAAAAAATGCTAGATAAAAAAGTTGTTCCGTTTCACGAGTTCTGTTACTGGTTAAAATTAATGTACTTATTTCTGAGACACCCTGTATAGGCAAGTTTTTTTAAACTCATAATAAACATATCCGTTTGATATACAACTGTATTTTATATACGTATTAATACCTAATAAGTAGTTGTGGAGTTATTAGGTGTATTATTGTTAGTAGGTTGGAAGCAATAGTACCTATATGTATACTTAATACAGTTGACATGTTGAGGGCTTTTTTTTAAGATAGATAAACTTATCTTGTAAAACCTAACATTGTAAATAAAACTAACACATTTTCTTTAATATGTAATAAGAAATTTAAATGTTTCAAAAGTTGCTTTCTAAGTGGTACCTACCCTCTTTCAGTTTTCCTGTTGAAATGTTAATAGTGTCAGCTTATTTGTTTGTATCAGCGCAGCGTAAAATTTTGAATAGCCCACAAAAATTCCGTTCCAACATCAAACCTATGGCTATGAAATTTTAAATACAACCTATCCACACCTTTCGCTATATAATGTAAGAGCAGTTTTTTTTAAAGCAGTTCATCTTCTTTTTGGCAATCAATATCTCTATTATTTATGGAAATTTCAGTGTCAAATAGAGTAAGTAAGTTGCGGACAATTCATATTAAAAATTTCATAGCAATAAGTCTGTTAATAATGGAGATACAACATTTTGAAAATGTAAGGAACTATATGTGGGTTATCATAAGCAAATCACATTTGGAGCATCCAATTTTATCATTTTTCTTTGGAAATTATACTTAGTAGACTTTTTCAAAATTTTGACCTTATTTCAATGCTTCGTAAAAGTTACTCCCATCCAAGGACGTCAATAATACGACGTCCTTGCTCCTAGCGTTTTATTATTTGAACAACTGCGAATGTTGCGAGCCAGGTACATCACCAGAGACATCCAGTTAAAATTTTTAAATAGAACAGGCAGATTTTGAGAAAACTATTTTGGCGCCCCTTTAATTCTTATTAGTTAAGTATTATGTGTTCTAATAATAAGTTTCGGTTTATTTGAAAGAAGCGGATCCTATTTTTACAGTGCTTCCCAAAAGTTACTTCTCCTTTCTTTTAACTTTCAAACTAAACAAAGTGCGCCATAAGTAAATTACACGGAAGTGATACTTTGACCTAAAAAAAAACGTTCAAAGTAGACCATGATTTCACAAAATACATCAAATTCAAAATTAAAAAAAATGTGTAGGTGTACTTTAATGTCCCTACATTTCTCATTACATGTGTCAATTTTCGTGTCATTTGTACAATAACGGTAGACTAGGTTTTATTACAAAAGTACTTAATTCTTTTAGCAAATGTTCGAAGTATTCGATATTTATTTCTCAGCAGTAGCAAAAACGGTTTTTAGACACTTGGTTAACATTGCGTAACATTTCAGTGGTCATCTGGTTGCACGCTTATATTATTTGTTCCCGTAAATCTTATAAATTTCGTGGAGGTGTGCGTTTAGCAGATTCTCGTAAAAAAAAATCCACCGGCGTGAGGTGCTGTGGGTCCGCGCCTACTTAACGCATCAACTTGATGGATGAAAATAATGAGGCGGTACCCCATCTTGTTGAAAAAATATGGACCAGGAAAATTATTTTCATGTGCTTCTAAAACTTCAGAGGTGAGAAGATCGATCGCATTTTCAAGAAGCTTCAAAAAGTGTGGACCCCTTATATTATCTTTAATAGTTAATGTTCAAGAATACCTACTCATAAATCATAGCCACCTCTGAACTTGATTGTCACCAGCAAAAGGGTGAAACCGTTCGATTTTCATGAAAGCGGTTTCAGGATGATGCGCGTGTGGTACCTACTGCAAGTTTTCTTGTATGAGACGAAAAAAGTAGTTCTGAGGGAATATGAATAAAATTTAGATAATTATTGTCTGCAATTACCCAAACTGTACCTACGTGTTTGTGTAGGTATTACACCAATTTCTTTCTTGTTCGTTTATTTTTCTGAGACATCTCTTATACTAAAGTTACAAATATGAATGAATTATTGTTAAAACATAAGTAAAGAAACATTTGCTAGGATGCCACCACTTTTTAGAGAGAATCAGTAACCAGATTTCGATTGGCATTTACTATCTTCACGATAATCGTTAGAAACACTTAACACCATACTCACAAAGTCGCTGGTATTTTTCGAGATTATTATTTGTGTACCAAATTTTTAGTGACAAGCACGCAATAGATCATGGGACCTACAGATGGTAGACAAAGATATGACTATGGAAAATTTAAATGTTCGTATTCTATAATTTGTGAAATATCAGGAGCACTTGAAAAAAATTTCTTTAGCTTTAACAATACTTTTTCTGAACAACATAATGGGATCTTCCCTTTTTCTCCATTTTAAACAGAAATTTTCATGAACAATACAGAAACTAAAATCTTCTGAAATCCCCAATTTACACAGAAATTTAAACTCCACAGACCAAACCGAAAATGATAATTCCGCCCCATTTTTAGACTTACGCATTACAAAAACATGTTCAATTTTAAATTTTCGTTTAACATTTCTAGAAAACCTACCACTACTGATATCATCCATTGTATCATCATACCTTGGTTTTCTTTTCATCCCTCATAATTCTTTATTCTTTAGATTACTCTACATTCCTCTAAATTATGAGACCTTTCCCTCGTATCCATTTCTTATTAAATATTTCCATGTTGCTGTCCTCTCCTCGTCTGGTTTTATTCTATGTTGTTTCTGTGTTTTACACTTGGTTTTTCTTTCTCAACGGACAATTTTTGTTTTTAATGATATTTGTGATTTGAATATAGGTACACATTTATTTCTAGAACACTCGATAGATGTTTCAAATTTACTTTTATATGTTTAGTTCCTTCAGGTTCCTTCCATTTCTTAGTTAAACCTTGAGGTTGCTATTAACAGGAGCCCCCAAGCCTAATTCGTGTCATTAATTACCTATGTAATTTCTATATTTTTTCCTTCGGGTAAGTGTAATAACGTTAATGCTTTTTGTAATCTAATTTCCTTTTCGTCATTTAGCTCTGAAGATGGTATAGTAGTCCCAGAGTAACTTATTTTTTGGGACTGTATCCTATTGTGAAGGAGTTAGGAGTTAAGTTCACTACAATAGACCGATTTTTGTCCACACCTTCAGTTAATAAAACAGGATCGCGCCATCTATTTCGAACTTTTGATTTATGGCACGCCTATTAACACTTTCAATAGAGCTTTCAGTAAATGAGTGCAGGCCGTAGGTACCGAAACCCTCAATTCGTAATAGAACCCTAACTTCTGTGGCGTCGACTTAATTTTGTCCATATTTTTGATTATGTATTTACATTAAATGTGAAAGCCAGAGTCAATGTTCAAAAATATGCAGGTAGTTCCTTTTCGAAAAGAATGCAGTTATTACGTCATTATTGATCGGTTTCGGAAAAAAGTTATTAGAGTGCGGTTGCAACGGATTTCAATAAATCTTAAGGTTTTGTGGTTTGATCTGAGTACGCTCAAGTCAGGTTTCATTATTCCCTTCATCAGTACGACCGTATTTCATTTTATGCAAAAATCTTTTGAAAAATCCTTAAACAAACATTTATTTTTATAAAATTTCGTTTTTATACAAAAAAAAAGAAATCAAATCAATGGAATGGAAAAAAAACCGGACAGTGTGTTAAGATTAAAACCATGTTTAAAGATATTCTTAATTTGGTGAAACGTTATATTCGCAATTTTTTGATAAAAATGTCAGTCACGACTGTGTCGACATTTTATAATGCAACTACTTCAGCGGTTGGAAATTTAACGAAATCGTTAAAAATACAATTAAACAATATAATGAAACTTCTATTTTAAAAAAATGACCTCTTAAGGACTTCTTATTTCGTATGTTCTATATTTTTGACGCATTATATCTGTGCACACACAGGAATACCTACTAGTACTAACAATCTTGTGAAATTGTATAATTATTAATTTATTTTTGTAGCAATAGAGTGGTGGGGGGCACAGTCAATTAATAATTTCAATATTGGGTGAACGTCCTGCAAGAAAACAATATTCAAAAAACGTCTCTTTTATGTAATGATTGATTAAAGATTTTTTAGCGACATTTTTGTTAGAGATTTATATCAAAAAAGGGTGATTGTTCTTCTTTGTGAATAATTTTAATAAAATACCGAGAGTTTAACGGTTGTGCCAGCATTAACTCAATTATCTTCCCATGAAAGTTATGGAACACCTAATTGAAAATTTCATGGTTCATTACTTTGATTTTATTCCGGTTTCGCGACAGAAAAATTACGTAAATCGTGTTCAGTGAATCGAAATGCGATGTTCTCAAAATTCGTCGAAATGTTAACAAGAAAACTGATACAGTTTATTAGATTATGCAAATAAAGACAATCGGGATCATTAGGCGTTAAAACTCCAAGGATTTGGTAATACTATCTTTATTCAGTGTATCTGTTTTGCATAACATCATTAAAATCTGTAATAGACTTACACCCTAAGCATATAACATAGAGAATAAAAAAATATTAGTTCTAGTATAATACATGATATGAATTTCATAAGATGGCCACTTAATAAAAAATAACATTAAAGCTCTCTCAAAAGTTGTCAATTACAACATTACAAAAAAGATCAAAAATACAAAACAAACCCTAAATGTACAATCGTGATATTAAGAATTGCACAAAAGCTACCCTATAAACTTACAAAAATATATAAAAACTCTTCGCTATCACTTTTTTAAAAAGGTAACAGGTTCCTTGCGTTCTTTTTCTAAATTGTTCCTCGTAAGGTTAAAGGCTTCCGTTTTCTCAAAATCTACTTTTTTGTAAACGGTATTATCACTCGATGATTTTGACGGAATTGTATTACTATTATTAGATAAATTCGAAGGTCCACAATGATCCAAATCTATATATTGCATTTTAACTGGCAAATAATGATATATTTGTTCTTCTTGGTTGTTTTGCGATAACAAGCTTTCATGTGAACGACCCAGACCTTGTAAAGTTGGGCTGGGAGCAGCTCTTAATTTCGGGGTGTCATCCTCCATTTTTCTACTGCCTGTTGGACTAGGGCCACATTTTGATTCGTCGAAACTCGGTGCCATAATTGGACTCGCTTTTATTTTGCGATTGTGTGCTTCCTGCAAAGATTAACATTTTACGATTCTATATTTAGTTTCAATTTATCTGAACGGGACAATGAGAATATATTTTATCGTATACAACCATTATGCGGGCACGGAAATTTTTAAATTGGAATCCTTAATCGTTATAAATGTTTGCTCATCAAGTTAGCTACAATTTTGAATAAATTATTATTTTCCTATCCTTTAAACTTCCCCAATGCGAAATTCAGTACAACTAGTTGAAGTTTGCGGTATGGAAATTTCAGTAGATTTTTACGTTTTGGGATTTCCTGAGGAAAATTTATATGATTTTTAGCGGTTTATCTATCTGGTTGTATCTACACATTTTTTCGGTAACGATGGATTCAAAAACACTTCAACTAAATTTGTATGAGGTGATTCACTTTCGCAAATTCAATTTAATTATGTTTTTGGCTATATAGGATGAGGGAAAAGTTTTGAACATATTTCATATCAAACTTTTTAATTTTCGTCTTTTTGATGATAAAAAATAAAGATGTTAATATCATAAAAAACATTTTGTTTGAATTTATATTATCTGCTTACATTTTTGCTAAAAACCAATACTCCTATAAAATTTCAAATACATATACATATTACGAAATGCAGTGGAAGAATTAACAGAAAAATATGATTAAAAAAATTGTTCTAGCTATTTTAATAAATTATAAACGCCTATAATTAAAATGAAAAAAAAAAAGTAGTCGAAGGCTATTTAGAACTTCCCTTGCTCCTGAAGTACAGTCTAGCAAATCCCGCTTCTTCCACAAATTGTAAAATTTGATTTTCGGAGATTTTATTACGATAAACTAAACCCTATACGTTAAAAAATAGGTAACAGCAGTCACAATGAACTAAAAAAAATGTTGCAAAAAGTTTAAAATAAAAGTTTGTTATTCAATTTGCATTAGATCGGGGATTCAAAAACTATAAGTACAGTTTCGATAACAGTACACAATTTTGAGGTGAAGACATCAAAGTGTTGATAATTTCATAAATTTTGGGTAGCGTTTTACCATCTACCTGGTAGACTTAATGTACATATAAAATTTGAAAACAATCGGTCCAATAAATTTGGAAATTATATGTTTAATAATAAACTCAGCACAGACAGACGACAGACAGACAAACGGAAACGAGAGACCCATTTTTCGTACTCTAGGGATCATGAAACGTCGAGAAAACATGACAGTAATACTAATGTGTTCTCAGAATTGTGTGAATCTTTACGAACATTTTTAACAAATATTTATTTCTGGCATAACGTTTTGGAAATTAACTTATAAAATTTTGTTTCTTTTTTATGATTTTTTATGAGATGACGTCATCAATTCTTGGGGGGGATAAGCAAATATATTTTGATTAGAAATTTATCATGCTTATCATAACTTTAAATCATCTGCAAGATTTCAAAGCATTCGGTTTTGCGGATTCAAAATTAAATTGCAAAATGTTGTTTTATAATTTTGATTTTTTTTTCCAAAAATCTAGACGTTTCCGGTAAAACTGTGCACAACGTCATAAACTACATGTGTAGTATCATATCATTTTATACAATTTAAAACCCATTCACTATGTACAATTTTGAAGTGACGTCATCACATTATTGGTGAGGATGATTAGGCAAATTTTGGTTAGCGTTTTAGATCAACATGATATTCCTAATATAAATGGAAAATCTGACAACAATCTACCCAGTACTTTTGGAGATTATCTGTCTAATAAAAATCGGAACGGCAGATAGACAGACAGACAGATAGACGGAAACGGGAGACCTATTTATTCGTACTTAGTGGTCATGTAAGGTCGAGAAAACGTAAAAGTAGATAGTCGACCGACGGACTCGATTACAATATTTCCTTCGCTTACGCTCGGGAAGTAAAAAGTCGCAAAAGTTTAAAATACAAGTTTATTATTTAATTTGGATTTTTTTGGAAAAAAAGCCTTAGATCTCGATTCATAAACTATAAGTATAGTTTCGATAATAGTTACTATACACAATTTTGAGGTGACGTCATCAAAGTGTTGGCCGGAATGATCAGATAAATTTTGGTTAGCGTTTTACCACCTACATGATAGTTCTAAGGTACATATAAAATTTGTCAACAATCGGTCCAATAATTTCGAAAATTATTTGTAATAAAAATCGACACGGGCAGACAGCAGACAGACAGACGGAAACTGAATCTATTTATCTATTTTTTCGTGCTTTAGGTATAATCAAACGTCGAGAAAACATGACAGTCATTTTTAATTTCAACAATAAAGTTAATTCATTCATTCATTACTCGTAACTTTTTAAACATCCTGTATAAACAATTCTAAAAATTACTAAATAAAAAATATGCATCTTTAACCACATTTTTTAAGATACATACTTATTTCTGGGATAACGTCATTAATTTTCTAGAATTTTGGTATTTTACTAAGATTATAAAAAAGTCGTTCTTCGCGATAATTCGTATATGCATCATTAAATACATTTATGGATATATTGTTAAACCACAAATAAAAAAACATGCCAAACTATAATTTCAAGCAAAAATTACTTAACAAAATGACGTTATCTTTGGAGGGGATGAATTTTGATTAGTGATTTACCACGTTCATGATAACATTAAGCGTCTGTAAAATTTCATACTCAATACTTTTTGGATTTTTGGAGTTTAAATTAAATTGTAAAATTTTGAATTCTTTTCATTGGTACAAATAGAAGGGGATGAATAAATCACAGGTAGTGGAGCATATCATTTTGCGCATATTACATAGGTTTTGATTAGCAAAATTCTGTGATGACGTCATAAATTTTTGGGGGGGGATGATCAGACAAATTCTCGTTAGGGTTTTACCATTCATATATTCCACTAGTTTCTGACATTATCTGTCTAATAAAATTGTCAACAAACGACAGACGGAAACAGAAGACCTACTTTTTGAGTCTAGGAGCTATGAAACTGCGAGAAAACATTCGCTAAATCTAACAGGGTCTATCAAGCTTAAGGTACTTCAGGGAAGTTTCTACAGCGGAGTTCCTCTCGGTAATATTACCACATTGTGGGGTTCTACGTTTTTACCGGTTCCTGTTCCGTAAATTTGGCACTTGACAAATTTTTACTTCCCGAATGTAAGCTAAGGAAGTCTATTTTAATAGGGTATATCTGCAGAATGGCTACTTTTATGTTTATTCGACGTTTAGTGACCTTTACAGTATGACACAATAGGTGTCCCGTTTCCGTCTGTATGTCTATCGTCTGTGTCCATTTTTATTAGACACATAACCTCCGAAAATACTGTGACGATTGCTGTTAAATTTTATACGTATTTTAGGAATAAACACTAGCCAAACTTCGTCTAATTATCCCCACTAAAAATCTAATGACGTCACCCCAAAATTTTGCTTGATAAATATTATTTAAATTTCATAAATAACATTCATACAGGCATGGTTTATGTGCATAAAGAAAATGGCACTTAGTAACATATCGAATATAAGTAATAGTCTATAGGGAAGTTTTCTCGACTCCAGAGGTTCGGTGTTTTTTTTGTTTACGAATTAGAAATACAAAAACGACATAATATTTTTCGACGTAAACTGTTTTCATTAATTTAATTAACTGTAACTATGTACCTGACATTACCACTTAAAAATTGGTTATTTTGAAGAAATTTCAGAGAACTATGACATCTATTAGCATAGAGCACGTGGAAATAATAAATATGAACATATGTGTCTAATCTGACATAATCGTGAACAAACATTTTGGACAATTGTGAAGATTAATTTCTCTACTAAAGTTTCCGACTGTACGTAAGTATATAAACGCAGCGAGCGTAGCGAGCTACTGGTAGTGAACGATTGCTATGACTACATACACTTACAACCTATTAAAAATGAAAGCATTTCTGCATCAGTTGTATTACAGATCCCATGCATAACCGGCTTGTACCGGATTCCTCTGAGTTTCGCGCACAAAAACTCACTACTATTACCATAGCAAAATTTGTTTCAATTACCTGCAGTGGAGTAGGAGGTTTCAACTTCCTATCTACTGACGGAGCATTTCTCGGTGACGACGGCTCAGGATTTGAAGAAGACGATAAGGAATCCGACAGTTTCCTCTTAGGTTTCAAATCCCTGTTAACAACTGGAGGTGGCATCAGCTGACTATCCGCCAAAAGTGGACTCGGTAAATTTGAATAGGCTGTCGTGGAGGAACTCTGGGAGAGAGGCGAAGCTGGTTCATCGACGATGTCGTCTCCATCGTAGCGAAAAACATGATTCGAACTTGTGGATGGCTTCGGAGAGATATCGTACCGGAAAATCTGACCTTCGATTTTGACAGGGGCGGCATTGTTGTAGCAATGCCGTCGAAGGACCATGTTACGGACGGTTTCTGCTTCTGGAATCTGGTGGGAACGGGGAAAGTCGTACATGTCGTCGGTGATGACGCCCGGGGGCGGCTGCTTTCGGTCTTCCTCTTGGTTGTTTCTGCCGACAAAAACGGGAATACAATAAAATGTGACATAAAATAAATCAGACACCATAATGTTTTTAAAAATATGTATGTGCCCACTGATTGTAAATACTTTATTTTAAAATTACGACTTTCCTTAGTTTCCAGAGAAGTAGCCAGGTCGAGAATACCACTAGATCTAATAATTTCTAATAGTTCCATTTCTTTTTAACTGATTTGCTATTATAATATTTTGTTCTAGTAATCATTAAAACCCATTTTTTATTACTTACTCGTTTTTGTGGTTGGGACTTCCAATTTGCTGCGTGTTCAAATTTATGTAAGTGGAGGAAACCACGTAGACTGTTTTTGGGGGTCTAGGTGGAGCCAAAACTTTATTATTGCATTCTTCAATTTTGTTTTTGGTAAATTTTTGTTTAACAACAACGTTTACATCAGCCATATCGTCATCCGTAAATACACTTTCTGTATCAGTTGGTGTCTGTAACGGCGAGTTGTCTTTATTTTTCTTATTTTTGTCATTATCTTGACATGGAGAGAGTACTCTTGGACTGTCATAAAACCTAGGATCCTGCATGTCGTTAACATAATTTAAGTAATTTCGTTGCGAAATTCCGTAAGTTTGATTCGTTTGCGTTATATCTGGTTTGAATGTGTTCTTCATATTTTGTTGTATCAGTGCTTTGAAATCCTAAAAATGTAATAATAAGATAAGCCAAATGATAACAGTATACCACAGATGCTTAAGTGTGAGTCATATTGCATTATGTAATAAACTAATCAGTAACGTGCAATATATTTTTCTTTGTATTTGCAGCTAGGAACTCTCAGTCGTTAATTTCACCGTTGGCTGATTGATTATTGTTAATTTTAGAATGATATCATAAAATGTCTCTTGACATCACAGCCCGATCACTGCACCAAAATAAACATAAAAAATATTATAATGGAATGAAGTAAACCTTGAACTAGAGAAGGCCAAAAAACTTTGTTGATAAAAACTGCTATCATAAAAACATTTAAAAAATCCTTTGTTTTTGATAAATAATTTCACAGTGCATTACTAGGCTAAGTAAATCGCAAAACAAATATTTCTGATGAACATTACTGATACAAGGCAAATTACAAATAATTAGAAATACAAACAAAGGTATCTCAAGTTATAAATCTAATAAATGTTACAATGAAGAAGACAATGCAAACTATGAACAGCTTTCTTGAGATTCAGTTAAGATAATAATAGGTGTAAATATGTATATGAACATCAACTTTGTACTACTTAACAAACATTAATTTTAGTAAGGGTAACACAGAGTGATATCCTATTAAACATTAAAAAATTATGAAAATATTTCCACAGGTAGGAAGCTATGAGACATTAATTAAATTGTTTGTTTAGTATTTGTTTCAAATCTGTACCATGTGGATACAGTAACTTTAGTATTCAGTTATAATTAGACAATTTGTGGTAAGAATTTGTCCTCTAGCAGTAGTTACTCTTGAACAACAATGTCAGAAGTACATACAAATTAGTGAGTGCAGTATTTTGAACTTATTTTATTATAAAAAAAGACTTACTTGTGGGGTTAAAATGGGAGTTTTCCCAGTAATACATTCTGATATAGGTATATAAGGACTAGTACTAACAGGTGATACTGGAGGGGTTTCATTTATCGAACTTGGTACAATACTTTTGTCATCTTTCTCCTCTTCACTACAAACTATATCTAGGTTCACTGCGTTGTTATCAGATATATGCACTACAAACATAACCTTAAAAATTAAAATTTTCAATTTTAGCATATACTTACAGTCTTCGTCACTTGTTGATTTTAAACCACACACTTTACAAATACAATTCACCCAAGACTTCATTTCGGTTTCTGAATCTGCAGCTAGATAATAAGTACGTTTGGTTGTCTTGATATCAAAAACATGGTCAAATTTTAATTTTCGTTCATCTAACTTCAATCCTAAATCAACTTGTTCACAATCATCTAAATTAATAGAACCTTTGAGTTTTCTGCAATTTCTATCTGCATAATATGTCAATATAAACTGGTCGGGGATCTCCCCAGAATGTTTTAATGAAAACCATCGTCTTCGCCACCTCTGTAAGTTAATAACAATTAGTAATAGGATGAATCATTGATTTGTGTACAATTACACAGCTGATAAATATAAAATAAGGAAAAGCTTTCTTTACAAAATACAAAGTTTGTACTTACTGCCCGCCAGATTCGCTTAGTTGGAGGAGATTTCGTTAGCCAACCCTCATAAACAACCTCTTGCCCGCTTTTTGCCATGGTGGAGAATTTTTAACATAATTAGTTATCTCACATATTAACAGACGATGACTAATTCGTTGTCAATCAATGTTGTTGCAGACAAGACTTGACTTCTCATAGACAAATCACTTTCATTTCAGGGCGCCAATCCAAAAAACTCAAAAACCCGATCCACACCCATAACATTCTTTTAACTTTCCAGCTTTGCACCGCATTTGTACTCGTATTCTATTCATTAGGCGTTTATTTAATTACATTTACATAACCTACATGTTTTTCACATTAAGATTATTGCAATTCTCGACAATTTTAATTTATTTGCAATTTTATGATGGCTAACTTGACAACTCGTGACAGATGACAGATGTCAAACAACCTAATTTCCAGTTTGTGAAAAATATTTCATTTTTGCAATTTTGTAGAAACATAAAGGGCGTTATGGTTGTTTTAAATATATAACAAACTATACTGTTAAGTACATAATTTAAGATCGAATGTTATAAGTGTAGAAAATAAGGTTAAAAATATTTACCAAAAATGCGGCGCAGGGCAGGACTAGGAGCGATTCAGAAGCACAAACTGGAGCAAGAAAAATACAAAGACAAAGGAAATGAAATTCAGGAAAATCAATTGGAACAAATGACACGGCAGATGGAAGTTTTCAAAGTAAATTTGGAAGAATTTGCGACCAAACATAAAAATGAAATTAGGAAAAATCCCGAGTTTCGAAGACAGTTTCAAGAGATGTGTGCTAGTATCGGCGTAGATCCACTCTCTTCAGGCAAAGGATTTTGGTCGGTTTTAGGTATTGGTGATTTTTATTATGAACTGGCTGTGCAGATAGTCGAAGTTTGTTTAGCTACAAATTACAAAACTGGAGGTTTGATTAGTTTAAACGAGTTGCGTACGCGATTAATTAAAGCAAGAGGAAAAGGTAAGCAGCATCAGGAGATAACCCAAGATGATTTAATTCGTGCCGCACAAAAACTGAAAATTTTTGGTAGTGGCTTCATGGTTGTACCAGTTGGGAAAGGGCAATATATGGTTCAGTCAATTCCTGGCGAACTAAGCATGGATCATACAGCTGTTTTGCAACAAGTCACCCACTCAAATCAGGCGTTTGTGTCGGTGGGGTACTTACGAAGGGAGTTGGGCTGGGAAGAGGGAAGAGCAAAAAAAGCGTTGGATCACATGGTGGATCAAGGACTTGCATGGTTGGATTTACAGAATCCTTCTGAAAAATTGTACTATTTTCCTAGTTTATTTAATGCATGTATTAATTCATCAAATTAAAGAACTGTCAACAATGAAAACAATGCTCTAAAAATGTTTTTACACCAAAACGCTAACCATTGTCACTCACATGTTCACTTATTTCAGGTAAGGCAACTGTAGTTATCTTGGTAACATCTTTAGATATCATTTCCAAAAACTTGCGATATTCCAACATTTTCAGATTTGCGTTTCTAAGACGTTCACTCAAAGTTTTGTTTTCTCGTTTGATTTTGCCATTTGCCATCTTTAGTTCTATTATAATTGTTTCTAACTGTTCAGTAATAGCTTTTGCTTCTGCTCGCCACTTGCTATTGACATCACTCTGTAACAGAACTTGTTCTTGTAGTTCATATACAATTTGTTTGTGAACAGTTTCCATTTCCTGACGCTCCAAACTAGTCTGTTGGAGAGAATTTTTTGTTTCAAGTATTTTCTCTTTAAAACTGACTTCCATTGTTGATATTTTTTTATTCAAGTCATTTATAGTGTCTTTACTTTGAGATACTTTAACATAACTGTCATCCAGTTCTAACTTGAGTTTTGAAACTTCTTGTTTCAAGACAACCTTTTCTGCATCCCTAAGGTTGATGTCTTTTTCGTAATGACGTGACATTTGCTCAAGGTCGTTTTTAAGGGCATCAGTTTCAGCTTTCAGTTGTATGTTTTGTTTTTCTGAAAGTAACTAAAATTCTGTTGAAAGGCCAGAGTATCAAATGTAGAAAAAAATTACCAGTTTTTGAAAAGTGTTTTCAAGATTTTTTTCTAAAATCAATATTTTTGAAGTGCCGCCATCATCCAAGTAAAGGCGACTGTTTTGAGCTTTTTCTAATTCCATTTCTAACTTGGCACATTTTCTTTCATAGTTTCCAATTTCTAATTCTTTCACTTTCAGAAATTCCTGGTTAGTATCTAAGGCTGTTTTCAACTGATCTAGTTTCGCTGCATGGTCGTGCTGAATGTTTTTTATTTTGGAATCAGTTTCTTCAATAAAATCATTGAGAGTTTGAGCCAATTTTCCTGTTTCTTCTAAAATAAAGTGGAATTTAAAGACAACTAGTGCAATTAATGGACATTTTACCTTTAGCTTGAACTTCCCTGAGAAGTGCCGCATTTTTTTCATTAATAGCTGCATCAACAACTTGCAAGGCCTCTTGCACTCTGGCCTTACAGTCTTTAGCAGTGGTTTTCAATGCTTCTATTTCTTGTTGTTTACCTTTGACATCGTTTTCCAATCGAGATTTTTCGTCGTTTGTGGCAGTTAATCTTTGTTGAAGATTGAGCACTTCATCTTCGAGGTTTTTGATTATTTTGATGCTGCAATTTTGGTTATGAAGCGTTCCACTAATCTCCTTATCTCGGAATAGTAATTCCTTTGTCTTTAAATTAATTGTTTCCTCTAACTTTTTTTTAGTTTGGATGACAGTTGACTGAAGCTCATTGAGTTTTTCTTCATACGAATTTCTGAGCTAAAAAGTGGCTTTAGTAAGACGTATAAAAAGAGTGTGATAAAACCTCAATTAGTTTCGCTTTGGGAACATGTCCTTGTGTATTGTCCTGATACATCCTGAGTTCATTTTCAAGTTGTTCGACGATGTTAGTGGCATTTTGCCACAGCTTAATGGCTTGTTCTTTCTCATCATTGACAGATTTTAATTGAAGCTTTAAATTGTCTACTAAATCGCTTTCTTTAAATTGGTATTCAACGTCACCTTTAGATTTTTCAGCCAAAATTTTGTGTAATTCATAACTCAACTGGTTATTTTCGCATAAAGCTCTCTTCAAAGTTTTTTGTTCGGTCTAAAGGTATTTTTCTTAAAGAAAATTGCGTGATAAAGAAGCAGAAATCGATTACCTGGACCGAGTCCAATTCTCCAGTGACATCCTTGAGAGCGGCCTCATAATTTTCGATTAGTAACTGAAAATTTCTAAAAAGGGGGTTATTTAGTGTTAACATAATATTTTAACAATACTTACTGCACACTAAAATCCCCCGAACTGGTCATAATAAATTCCTAAAAAGATCATCATCACTTTGACATTTTTCTATTTATTTTCAAATTTTGAATTTTCAAATCGAGAGCCATCTGCTGAAGGTCGCGCCGAACTAGCGTAAACTGCAAAGCGAAAGAAAGGTGAAATGAGAGTTTTGCGGCTTTATTTGCATAAATGTTCGAATATTTACAAATATTTAAAGGATTTCGGTTAAATGTGAAGCTAAGCAGTGCTGTACTTTGTTTGTGTTAGCATTACAACTCATTCGCTTCTAACCAGCTGTCCAGCGACAATCAATAAGTTTTGGTGGGAAATTTGAATTTGATTTGCCATGCAGTGAGTATATATATTTATTTTTTATTAGAATTTCAAAGAAACGCATCCATTTCTTAATATAATTATGATTATGAAATTTTAAAAAAGATACACTATAAAAGAAGAGATTAAATTTTCTCCTAGGACTTCTAATTTCAAAAAATCGTAAATAAATGCAAACAAGAGTTGAGTAGTCTCGACCTAACAACTTCTCCGTTCACTTAAAAATCGAACGTCCATATAGACATTGACTATACATATGTATAATAAAAATAAATCAGGATAGCTCTTTACTTATATGATTAAAAAATAAGTGCTCCAGTGGGCCATGAAATTTATTTTCAAAATAATCGTGTTGGCAAGACTAGTGCGTTCCTTGTTCCGTTCGGCAGTTACGGTCAAATAAAGTGTCAAATAGCTGCAATACCAACATCATTATTTTAAAAATAAATTTCATGACCTACTAGAGGACTTTTTTCGATCTTATGGTATTATGACTGAGTAAGAATGAAAAACTAAGACATGCATTTTAAATTTTGGTTATTTTAATTTAAAGAATATAAAAAGATGTCAGTTACCGGGAGGTCTGGCTGCAAAGTTTTCTATTACTGTTTATTTTAAACTATAATTAAAAATTGATGCAAAATTAAAGTGCTCGTTAATTGTGTATATTTTGAGATAGAATAAAATATGTATAGCTTTTAGTTATTGAAGCAATTTTTGTGGTGGAATTTACGTTTTTTAAATTTTTCTTTGTATTGCAGAACAACTTTGTATTTGGATATTAGCTCAGAGCAGTGGCCTATTGTTTATCGCCATGAGTATAACGTACGCTTTATGGGTTTGGAGAAGTTACACCCTTTTGACGCAGGAAAATGGGGCCATGTGTTCAAATTTTTGAAAACTGCGTGCTTAATTAATGAAGATACCATAGCTGTGCCAAATGAAGCAACCGAAGAAGACTTATTGGTGGTGCATACAAAAAAATATTTAAAAAGTTTGAAGGTATGCTTGCATGTTTTTTTTTGTAAAGATGAATAGATTTTCCGCCAGAAAAAAATGGAGTAAATCTTTTTGCTTATTGATCCACGTAGGTTGCAGTTCACTGACGATTGAGAATCATAGGGCTTAATTTTTTGTAGTCTGCGATCGAAAATAAAATGAATTAGAGTTGATGTTGCCCGTCAAGCTTTAGGTGGTACTACTGCCCTTAATTTGATGTAAATCAATGTCAACATAACGTTTTAATTAATCACTTTTTATTCTAACGACGGCGACGATGCTCAGATCGTCAAAGTTCCATTTGTGATCAGTTGTCAATAAGTTTTTAAATTTTTTTATTGTTCTGTTTTATAAATGACGAAATCTAAATTAACGATACAAGATTAAATTTCAAAGCCACCTGCTTAACACAATGACATGTTGATACATATTGTTATGTATTGTCAGCGAATATAATAATATTTTAATCGAGAATGGCAAAATTTAATTAATGTGATGGGCTTAATTTATATTACGATACGAATTTACCCTACAGTATGACTTTGTAGCTATTAATCAATTAGCTATTTACTTTAGAACAACAGATTACAGATATTATAGTTTAATATCGTATTGAGTCGAGGCGCTTATCAGTTTTAATAGTCTTTTAAGTTAATTACATTTTCGATTTGTTCATTTAGGAATGTTATTTTTGGGTGTAACTGATTCAAGTCAATTTATAGATGGCAACTACTTTTATTTATTTTTTGATGTACTGTAAAACGCTTATGAAGTCAAACGCAGCACTTCTGGAAAAATGTGTTTACTTCGGAAATATGAAACTATCTATTCAAACAGATTTTATACATAACAACAGGTCTAAAAAGTTGTAAATCATTTCAAAATTGTGGTTTTTTATATTTTTGATCTAGTTTAATATTTTTGTATCCCATGTTATTTAACAGAGATTTACAAAATTCTGAGTTTTGTGTATATCTCTGAAAAGTTGCCATTCACAAAGTAGAAAAAAAATACAGAAAAAAATGACCAGGTAATACGAAATATGGACTTTTTTAATGTTTTTTTTTATAAATAAATACACTACCAACTTAGTTTGTCAGTGTTGTCGTGTGTAGATATTACACAGTTTCTTTATGTTTTAATTTAAACCGTTTTTAGTGTAGTTTCAACGTAGCTACTATAGCAGAAGTTTTTCCACTTTGTATCGTGCCAAATTACCTAGTTCAAAGAAGTTATTTGAGACCAATGCGTTTTCAAACTGGTGGTTCCGTTTTGAGCGGAAAACTAGCCTTAGAAAGAGGATGGGCAATAAATATTGGTGGTGGTTTTCACCACTGCAGTGGTGGTAAAGGAGGAGGATTTTGTGTCTACGCAGATATAACACTATTGATTCATTTTGTGTTTAATCACTACCCCCAAACTGTTCAAAATGTCATGATTGTGGACTTAGACGCTCATCAGGGTAATGGATATCAGCGGGATTTTAAGGATAATCCTAACGTCTATATCATGGACGTTTATAACAAAGGGATTTATCCGTTCGATAAACGTGCCAAGGAGTACATCAACAGAAAAGTCGAACTGGAACATTTCACCGAAGATGCTGAGTATTTGGGGAAAGTTGCTAAAAACTTTGATGAAGCATTAAGTGAGTTTAGTCCGCAACTGATCGTCTATAACGCCGGAACGGATATTTTGAAAGGGGACTCTTTGGGTTGTTTATCTGTATCACCGCAGGTCTGTCTGCAGGAAATTTATTAAAACTTTTTTCTAACTCGTGCCATTTTCAGGGAGTAATTGAAAGAGATGAATTAGTGTTCAGGAAAGTGCGCACCAGGAACATTCCGATAGTGATGCTAACGAGTGGCGGTTATTTGAAGAAGACGGCGAAAATTATAGCCACGTCCATCATAAATCTGCACGAGGCCGGTCTCATCAACGAACCCCCACGAAGATATTAAATTTTAAAACTCTTCGAACGCAAATAAAAAGACAGCCTTATTATCTCGTTGATTTATTGAACTGATCGTAGAATTCTTGTGTCGGTCTATTTGTGTAAACCACTTTTTCCATAAATTCTTTGCGCAATTTTTGCTCCTCGGCCAACTTCTTATTGTCTTCAGCCAGACTTCTGATGAATTCTCTAAAAAGAGAATAGTTTTTTGCCGTTTACGTTTGAAGTACATACCTGTGTTTCCTTAACTCCTCTTTGTCCATCAACGATATTGTTTGTTGTGTCCCGTTAAGGAAATCTTCATACTCTCTGTCCATTCTTTTTTCCAATTCTTTTTGCTTCTGTCATCACACAAAGAATGTTGTTAGAAACTTTAAAAAAGTAAAGATTGAACAAACCTTTGCATCCTGAATTTGAGCCAACTGGTATTCACGCACTTTTTGTTTCTCCTCTGCTGTCATCCCTTTGTATAAATAACCTATTCGTCGATGCGGTCCTAGATTACTCTGTGAGACATCTGGATTTTCCGTCAGTAAATCGCTCGTCATGAAATTATACATCTCGGCCAGAGCGTCTTCGTGTTCATGTTTGAGCCTACTCACTTCTTCCATTTTTCTTTCGTCAGCCTGAATATAATAATGTCGTATTTAAGTTTCTCCGTTTAAGCGATAAAGGATAATGCTAGGTTTGACAGAGAAACATAAATTTTAATAATGGTTAACAAGAAGACGAACCAAGGTACTTATAACTACAAAATTTCGTCATCATCTTGGAAATGAATTTGTCATGTTTATATTAAAGTACTGTATTATACTATTATAGTACAGTACTTTAGTTTATATAAGAGATAAAATTTATCTGCAGTGGTGTTAACGACTGAGATTAAGATGATTTTTTGGTAGGATCCTAGTGGTTATTGCTTTGATTTGATTTACGCGAAGTAACCAGGTTCACGACGACCCTAAATGTCCATAAATACACGGAAAAGATGGACACCTTCTACCGAGAATGATTATTATTTTGAGGTGCATTTTTTTACCATCTTTCTAGATTGTTTTTTCTGTAAGGTAAAACACAATGAAGAGTGTATTGCGATTTTAAAAATTAAATTCCGCGCCGAGAAAAAAAAAACAACGCCGCGAAACCACATTTAAAAAACAAAAACAAATTTACACTAACGTAGGTATGTTGAGCGGGTCGCCACCCCTTAAGGTTGGTAGTTTTAGATAGTTTAAAAAAAGGGTCACTTGACTTATTTCTTGTATTATAGTGCTATTGTAAACACTGGTTAAAAATTCGTAGGTAAAGTCACAGACAAAACTTAACGACAAAGTGGATTCGTACTAATAGCCCACACTTGATTTGTCAAAATTTTGAAGTTTTAGCTATTGCATTTAAGTGTTAAAACAGAGCAGTACAATTATGTTGTTTTTGGAATTTTGATGACGCTACCAAAAAAAAAAAGAAAGCTAGTAAAAAAATTGTGAAAGGTTATTTTGAAGTATGGTCCTATACATTTCGCTTCTTTAAAAAATTATAAAATTCTATTCTGCGATTTTCGTTTTGTGATAACTGTGGCGTAATTAATATCCCCGCAACCCCTACGTCTTTCAATATGAAATATACTTAAAGCAGATAACTAACGGAAAAAAATGTAGACAATTTCAATTTCTCAGTGTATACTTGACTTCGACTGTTTATATTTAAACTTCGACCGAATTCGATTACAAGCACAAACATCAGCTATTAAAAGAAAAAACATTAATAAATTTGAAGAAATTCGGCAAAAATGTAAGATGATGGACAAATTTTGAGTAACGATTTACCATGTTTCAAATATTGTTAAAATATTTGCACGATTTCACAGCATTCGGTATTTGCAATTTCAAAGTTACATTGTAAAATATTGTTATACAATCTTGATTTTTTTTTTGTTCGACAGAATTCTAAGATGATGTCATAATTTTTTGGGAAAGTCTTAAGCGAACAAATTTTGATTAACGATTTATCATCTTTCCTATAACCTTAAAATGTCTGCAATATTTCAGTATATTCGCTTCTGCAATTTTCAAGTTATAGTGTAGAATACAATTTTGAATTTTTTCCCAAAAATCAAAACTCTCCATGTCTGGCGTAAAAACTCAACACGGATGCCAAATTACACATACATGGAGTATGTAGTTCTATAAAATTTAAGAAACATTTGTTTTACAAAATTATAAAATGACATCATCATTTTTAAGAAGGCTATAAGCGAAAACAATTTGATCAACGATTTACCATGCTTACGAAAATCTTAAAAAACTTGTAAGTTTTTAAAGCATTCGGTTTTATACTTTCAAAGTTAAGTTGTAAAATGTTACGCAATTTTGATTTTTTCTCCAAGAATCTGTATGTCTATGGTGAAAACCGACAGGGATTCATGAATCACATACAGGAGTGTGCAATTAAATTAATTATATAACACCAAAAAAGAAGGGGACAAATTAGTAGTAAGTAAAAAGGTCCGTTTCCCCCACATTTTGTTTATTAATATATTATGATGTGCTTTTATCATTTTTAACAGACCAATTTGGACGTTGAAGTGTTTATTATTATTTTTTTTTATAAAAATCTCAGTCAGCGGTTTCTATATGGATCCGTTGGAATCGTGGTCAGAATCTTTAGAAATCCACAACTTTTAAATAATAACCTTAAAAATCGGGCGAAATGTAAAAAATGCATTAAAAAAAATTTCACTACAAAAAATTTACTTTTTTTATTTTATAAAAAAGCAATAAAAAACGTCAACGTCAAAATTGGCCAGTTTGCTTAAAAACATGATAAGGTACCTTAAAGTAGATGAAAAAAAAAAAATGTGGAGTGAAACGCACCATTTTACTTTTTACTGATTTTAGTTTAGAAATTTCACCTAAAACGTCCGACGTCCGAAAAAATTATATTTGGTATATATAAATTAAATCGACAAAATTGTAAAATTATGTAATTATTGTTGTAGAGGGGCAAACGAAAAAAAATTCGAAGTTAAATTGCAAAATGTTGTTTTACAATTTTGATTTTTTTCTCCAAAAATCTGGATGTCTAGGATAAAAATTCAACAGGGGTTCATAAACCACATGTGCAGGAGTATCTTGTTTTATAAAATTTAAATAATATTTACTACTGTAAATTTTAGCGATGACGTCAACAAATTTGTTGGTAGGGATGATTAGCCAAATTTTGATCATCTATACGATATTCGTAATACACATATTTAACAACTGGTTCAGTGGTTTCGGAAATTATCTGTCTAATAAAAATCCGGACAGACGAACAAACAAACAAACAAACAAACGGAAACGGGGGACCTATTGTTTCGTACTGAATTTCCGCTCTGAAAGTAAATGGATGCTCTTATTTAATATTTACATAATATATCGTTTTTATGTGTGTGTGTCAGTGGCGGCTCGTGGTGATTTTTGATGGGTGGACAAAGCATTTCATACATGTTATTTATTTATTTATTCATATATATAAAATATATATACATATAATCATCTTTGTGAGAAAGTGTTTTTGTTTTAGTGCTGCATGTCAGTCAATATAATATAACAAATATTTTATGTATATTATATATAATTATTTTATTAATATTACTTACAATGTTGTTCAGCAAGAACCAACGAGAACGTCAAAGATTCTTGCCAGAAGAGGCACGGAAGCAAAAAAAGGGTTCAGCACATAAATGGATTTGTTAAGAATATATAGAACTACAGTACGTCAAATAATTAGCCCAATATGTAAAGATTTTGAAATAACATGAAAAAAAAAACTTTAAATTTTAAGTCTTTGCGATAAGCTACATTTAGAAAAAGTAGCAATTTTGGAAAATTATTATAAAAACAAAATTAAAAATGCCAAATGAAACAAAAATAAATTCTGAAATACTAACAAAATTAAAACTAACAAATATAATAAAAAAATAATTCCAAAATAATCGTTCTGATTGGTTTTAAAAAGACCACTAAATACTAAAGATTCTTCCAAAAACTTTTTAAATCATTGAATTTTGATAACAAATTTGCTAATTCTTTGAAATTACTTTGATTAAGATCAATTTGCGATTCGTCTGGTCTCCGAAATCTATGTTGTGTGTAGCCAAGAAAATTATCATATCGAATAAACGTTTAATAATGATTCTATTTTTTTAACTGTTTCATTGTGTTGTAAATGTTTTTACAATAAGCCGAATTAAAAAAAAAAATCTATAGTTTCACTTCATTTTCCAAGTAATTTTCTTTTTTTCAGACTGATCATGTTTTATATCTCTCTACTTGTGGAATTCCAAAGCGTTTGTAATTGTTCGTTAAATAATAGACAATTTCAACAGTTTTATTTGTTATTTTACTACCGGTCAGCCAATAATATTTATTGTTCCAATTTTGATTAAACCCTTTATTACTGCCACGAGAGTTAGTGATGACTAATTTTATTGTTTCATTTCGGGCCATGGTCTTAATTTATAAACAAATAGTTCATAAACCTCAAGTTTCGTGCTACTGAATTTATTTATTAATTGAAAAAACTCAGTGTTTTTACCTTCTTTACCACCTCTCTAATTATTTGCACAGCTTACAGTCGGACTTGCCATTAAAAAAAAAACAACTAAAAATTACCTACTTTGGTACCCGTCTAACCGTTTGGTAATTTGAATAAGCTACATTTTATAATTAAATGCAGAACGCAGTTTCTGATCTGACTGATTACAATTCAGTCGTGTCTGCGACGAACCATGCCGAGTGCTTCCGATTCCCAGGGTGGATTTGCCCATCTTAGAGCGAAAGCGCGTATCAAAACTGTGTGGCTGTCTGAATTAAATAATAAATTAAGAGTATATTTAACTTTTGTTGACTCTCTACAGTTAACGAAGCATTCACTTTGTAAAACAAAAATGCATATGTAATAATAGAAAAATACACATATGTCACATACGTACTTCAATAAAAAATGCATTCCTACGTATTTTCATCATTCGTTCTTCGGATTTTTAAATTTATAATACATCATAAAGTTAACACTGTATTCGCATTCGACGCCACTGTCTCTCCTACAAGTGCAATTATTGTAAGACTAGTTAATTGCCGATTTTCTATTCTGAAATGTTGTGAAACTTTGTCGAATTCGTCAACACGTGTTGTTTTTTTGTTTGTAATCTGATAGTTCATGTTAAGATTTTTAACTGTTCATGGTACTAATATCATTTAACAACAATAATGTGAAATGTGTTACAGGAAATCCATTTATTCAGGATCAAATGACTTCTAAAGTTTTGGATGGATTTTTGTCTTATATTACCCACATTACCACATTTTATAATTTCTCACTCGAGATTTTAAAATAATTCATTATGGAATTTAAACTATTCTTAAACGTTTATCCATTTTGAGAAAAAGGACCTTGAACATTTTCATCAATTAAATTAAAAAGGAAGCGGTATTTTATGTTTATTTTGTACTATATTTATGTAATGGATATACATATCTATATGTTTGGCGAAGACAGGATAGAGCGTATAATATGCGACAGATTTTTTGGGCATATATAAAGATCTGGTGTGCGTGTTATAGCTGATAGAGTAAAATCATCGAGGAACTTAAATTAGGCTATTCTGGAGTATATTATTTTTTGAATCCTTGCAGACACATATATACATTTTTTTTTAATCCCGACGTTTTTTTAAGTTCACACCACGGTGGTTCACACTTTGAAGATTAACCTTCGCGAAAATATTGCTAGGATTTGTACAACACAGTTTCTTCAAATTAATGTAGAATGTTTGTTCTTAATTATCTAAATATCATAATATTCGCCATATCAAAACCGTCTAAAAAACAGTCGGTCTTAGCTTTTATTATTCTTCGGTTATAAATTTCATTTAATCACTATTAAAAATGAAAATAAGCACTTACGTAAGTCGAATTATGACAGAGTAAGTAATTCTTCAAATAATAAAATAACAATTTTAATATAATGACAAAAAAGATCAAAGATTGACGTCTTAATAGCAGGTAGCTTTAATTAGTGAATTACAGGTTTCCAATTCATTTAAAAAATTGCTCGATGGAATAGGATTTCGACTTTTAAACTTGCAATTGGTGAAATCGTGCGATCGACGATTTTCACGTTTCAATAAGATTTACAACTATATAATAGAGCTACAAAAGTAGCCAGGTAAATTTTATTTAAATGTTTTATTTAACCTATTATATTTAAGTCTGAAAGTAAAAATCTTATTCCTGATGGGCATGGTCATCGTCGTCGCTCATGGCCATTTTGATTCTATTCTAGTAGTATTTGACTAACAATTGCAATTGTTCACATTTGTCGAGCTTATTTACGTTATGGTCATTTATTTTTTTCACCTTGAGACCTTTATTATTGCACATGACCACATATTTGTTGAAAAGAAAAATTCGAGAATGTATCGCACCCTGATTGAGTTCTGAAAGTGACACTGCCATTTCGATAGAATACATTTTTGGCGTTAATATTAGCTATACCATGTTGAAATCGATGACTGTACTGCGTTATACAGTCTTTGAAAATTATTAAAACATCGATTTCAGTAGGTAATGCTTTGTTCTCTATTTAGCGGTTTTCTTCCGTATATTCTTTAAAATTAAATTAGTGTAAAACTTTTTAGCAACATTTTTCTGGAGTAGGTAACATGTGATTAACATTTTTTCTGATTCAGTTGTAGCAAATTTTCTTTCATGCAACATTATTTACAAACATTTCCATTATTGAATTAAAATCTGATAATTTTTGAGAGAATTTTTAATTGAACTATCTGCAATGTCAGTGCTAATGGAAAGTCAACAACTTGATTAAAGAACATCCTTGCTTTTTAAGTGCATGCCTGTCTAGAAACGATAAAAAAATTGATTGTTTGATTTTAACTACTAAATTACACAGGCGTGTCTACATTTAAAAGACGGACAAGCAGTGCTTCCTGGAACACAAAGTGAGCAAAACTGAGACTTTCCTTGATGATTAATGATTTTTTTTTAAATCGGTCATTGAAAATTAGCTGGGAACTTATTGAAAAGTGAAAGACATCTTTATCAAAGCTGTCAGTCAAGTCAGTGAATTTCGATAAAAATTATAACGAGCACACGTTACCAGCGCTCTGTTGAATCTTATACAGGCCTCTTCGAGTCGTTTCCTGCATTCTTTCTCCATTTTATCTAGTTGAAGGGCTCTTTGATCGCGTGCCATGATTGCTTCTCTGTACGCCTCTTCCGCCGCTTTACGCTCCTTATCAGCTGCTTCTTTTTCCATGATCTGCTGGTCAAGCCACGCTTTCACCTGATCCCGTTGTACTTTGGCTCGTTCAGCACTTGCTAAATCTTCGCCTTCGAACCTAAACACACACAGCCCACATATGTGTTTTCACACTCTACGTTGTAAAGAATGGTATTAAATATTATTAAAGCTTTTACGGTGCAGGTGGAGTCATGCATTTATAGCGACAAAATTGTCGAAAAATTGCTGCTGGTGGGAGTAACGATGAAAAATTTTCAAGAAGTTTTTTTGACATGAGAAGTTACTTGTTGACGAAGTGTTCTCTCGTTAACTTTTAAACTTGGTTTGGAGACGAAATGTTAGGAAGTAATTTCCATTGATTTCTAGCTTGACTCTTATTTTGACTAAAATATATTTTACATACACTGAGCAAGTATTATTTTACATTTAGGGAAGACTTTGATTATTGAAACTTTTATTTAAAACAGAAACTGAAAAATTAATTTTGTGTTCAAGGACTGAATAATTGCGAGTTAGGCAAACTCTTTTGATTATGGCAATGTTTTCAGAAAATTTATAGATTGAAAATTAATGGCAAGATATGAAATGTTGAATTAACGTGAAAAATAACTTTACAAATACTTTGTGAAAATATTACAGATAAGATTTTTTTAGGAACGACTGAACAATGTCTAACGTTCTGAAAATTTCATCAAGTTCGGAATTTACTCCTCTTAAAATCTCGTTTAACCGGACTAATATTAAAACAGCGTTACAAAATTATCTTAAGAATGCCGCTCTTTGGTTTCGCAAGTTTAAGTGTACGGTTGTATACTTTTGTGCCGCTGAAGGTCCAAGTCTAGGATCATCATCGCAGGCTCTTGCGGGTATAGCTTTTTTCATTTGGTGGGGATCGTTAAGATCGAACTCCCTTCGATCCTCCGGGCGTTGGCAGCACATCCGGAAATAATTTATTTCTTGTTCGAGTTTTAGACGTTCCTAGAGATAATTTTGTTAAGTATCGAAGTATCGCATAAAAAACCCACACTTCTTTTACCTGTTTTTCTTTCTTCTCTAGTGCCAGAGCGATTTCGTCATTTTTTACTCTTTGTTCGTCGAATATTCGGTCTATGCGGGCCTGTTCGGCTTCTCTTTTTCTTTTTTCTTCGATTTGTCTTTGTAAAGTCCCATAATCAATCTAGGTTTCGTTTAGGCGATTAAATTAGAGTTGATAGTGATTTTCTGTCTCACCCCAAATAAACGCTGGCGAGGATTAAAAATCCGCTTTTTGCGTTCTTCTTCTAGGGCTCTCCGTTTTTCGATTAGAGCCGCTTCACGACGATCCCGTTCAGTAGTTAATTGGAAGTTTAACATTCTTGAAGAAGTCTGTCAAAAAATTTAGACTTGCCACTTGGTAAATAAACTAATGCTATGGTGATGCGCGCTCTGCTTAGTAACGGTTTTTACCTCGGAATAATGAGGGTTCCTATGGCAGCGATGCGAAGAGAACGCATTAAAATTTGAAACAACTTTCGACCCTACGTTTCTTGATGAGTCACGAACGTGTATGATGTTAGGGTTTTATGCTTCAGGAATTTTGTTAACCACTTTTACTATGGCGGTTAGATAATTATTTGTGTAAAGATTTTGTTACACATTTTAAAAGCTCGCGTTCGCTACTTTTATTATTCGGCGTATTTTACGCAGAAGCGGGCTGTTGTTGTGTGAAAGTTGCCCAGTGCTTGTAAACAGTTCGTTCCGCTTGGACAAATTTTTCTTTTTTTTTTTAAATCACGCATAATTTTCAGTAAAAGCCACTTTTTTTATTGAACAGATATTTTTTCATGGAAAGCTTAGTTTTTATTTCGACTTGTTTTGATGATTCTGATCGACATGACGTACTTGCGGTATGCGGACTCGATTTATTTTGCGAAAAGGAGACGATTGGGCTAATTTTCGTAACAAAGTTATCTACACAATTTGTAATTTAACGAATACCCGCGAATACCTTTTGATTCTGTTGTCCTATGTAGTGACATACCTAGTGTAATGATTTATCTAGGCCTTCACATGATTTTCAGCAATTACAAGTTTTTAAAAATGTTCTTATATTTTTTTTGTGCTTTCACTGCTCCCTTATTTTTATAGGAAGTTCCTTCAATTGAGCCTCGATGCTCTTGAATGGAAATTGACGTAATATGCCATCGCTATTATTTTAATTCTTGTAATATGTAAGAGAATAGTGTCACAGAAATTTGATTACTTAGTCCTTTGCCATGCTGATTTCATTTTAAGTTGTTTTCAATTCTCATTGAGGATTGTATTGCAGTTGTTAAGGAAAACGTTAACGTCTGGGTTTTCTCTTCGTTGATTTTAATCTGTTATTGGCAAACGAGTCAGAGGCTTCTCCGATGAGCTGCTCTCTTCTCACTTTTCTTTCCTTTTCGTTGTGTCTTTTGATAAGAAAGGACGTGTTATCTGTATAAAGGCACGATATTTCACATTGTATGATTCTTCAAGTCAGAGGGTGTAGCAATTACAACACGGAACTAATAAATATTTAATATTTTGATTAAAGTAATATAACAACGCAACTCAAACCATGTACCGACAAACAAAAAAAATAAAGATTGTTAATTGATAAATTGATAATATCGAATTTTTTTACAAATTGTGTCACAGCTACAATTCATTGATATACAGCGTGTTATTGAAAGGTATGTACAAAATAAAATCGTTAGTTGGTCTCGAAGTATGGGTGGTAAAATTTAAAAAAAGTTCACATAAAAGCGTTCTCCTTTTAGAAATAAAAATGATTAAAATTTATGTGTAAATTCGTTATACGCCTCTGATAAAAAGGTCATCTTTCGTTTCTATAGCAACAAAAGAGTCTCTCATGTTGGAAAAAAAGATTTTCTTAAATTGAAGAATTCTGTAGCTTCTAAGAACATCATTTCGTACACACCTTTTAATTTTTACGATCAAAATAAAATTTAAACAAATCACAAAATTTCTGAAAATGGCCTCTATCTTGCTATAATACAACCTAACCTTCTTCCGAGGTATTCTGATGTATGAATCAATTATAGACAGTAGACACTTTGTATAATAAAAATGTAATTTAAATTAGAAAGGTTGTATTAATTACGTATTTGAATTTATGATTCGAAAATTGTTCCTACTTTCGTATTTTGCACACACGTTTTTCGAAAAAGCACTTGTGGACAGACATCCTCGATAATGTCAAGTAATCCTATTTGTGTTTTTAACAGCAACATTTCTTCCGTTTTCTCGTGAATTTTTTTCCTGGGATTTACGAAATTGTCTTACCTATGGCGTATACACTATCTGGGCACACAAAAGCATATGTTTTCTGTGACAATGTATTAAATAAACACAAGTATAAGTTGGTTATTAAAAAAAAAAACTATTCTGACCCATGGGATCCGACACAAAATTTTTGAAAATTTTGGCTGTACCTGTCATGAATTTTTCTTTATACCGGACCTCTAAGGCAGGAACTAATTAATTTAAGTTTACCTAAATTGTCCTTAAAAAAGAATACACTTTAATGTTTATAAGTAGTGGAAAAGATTGACTTTGTCATACAAGATGATTAAAAAATGACAGAGAAGCTTGATGGTATGCTGTTAAAAATGCTCTGAAAAATTTGAAAAAAATGGTTAAAAAATCCCTGCACTAAAACTTTGAAAATATAAAACTTCAAAATTAAAGAAATAACTTCATAATTCTGATTTGATTTAAAGAATGTCTAATAGGCAGCGAAATAATTAGTTATAATTATTTAATAATAATTTGCTAGAATACAATCCACAACGTTATTTTTACTTGACAGATGAAATTTTTACTGTCAATTAAATTAACAAATCAGAATGACGAAGTTAATTCTTCCGTTTTGAAACCTAATATTTTCAAAAATTTGGTTCAAGAATTTTTTTAACCATTTTTTGCAAGTTCTTAGGGTCTTCTTAATAACGTACCATCGAGCTTATCCGCCACTTTCGCTCACCCTGTAGAAATATGTTTAATTCGCACAGTCATTGAAGATTACTCAAATCCAAATCTATAATATTGTCTATGTTCTGAACCATTTAATACAAAAATAGTATTACTTCAAGAAATGATTGTGGCGTGTAACGAAACAGCTACTCATCATGTGGATTACGTTATTTCTTCAGAATATTTTACGATCTCTTTGACATCCATTTAACTATGCCTTTTTGGAAAACACATCAAAAAATGAAAATATCTGACGTCATTAAAAAATCAGTTTCTTCGAAAAATGTATCCTATGGAAATACGTGTGAGATGGACGAACGTTCTTGCAAGATTGCTGTTTAATTTTTTTTATTACTTTTTTACAAAAATTGTTACTTATTTAAGGTAAGAAATTTTCATTATTTTTGTATCTAGTTTCTTCTATTTAAGAAAAAAATCGTCATCACACTCAAATTGTGTGATAGGTCCTACAACGAAAGTAAATTAACCTCTTTGGTAGTTTTCGTCAAATATAAATATTTGTTCAGACTTTACGGATGCGCTGTACATTCGACACAGTATTAATTAATATTTGAATTTTTATCTTCGTGGAGCCCATGAAATTTATCATTTTTTTTCATTTTTATACGTCAACACTGCACCGCTTCAGGTCGATAATAATAATTAATTGTACACAGACTTTAAAATTCTGAATTATTGGAATAATACGTAATTTAAAATTGTATTTGGTTCAAAATTGTTATTATTTCTTATTGTAAATCAATAAAAAAATTGTTTCTAAGAATTTAAAACATTCAGATGGCATTTTATTAAAATATAATTTAACTCTTATCATAAATTATATATCAGTCAGTTTTTTATTCATTAAAAAGTAAAAAGTAAAATACCTGATGCAGAACTGAAAAAATTGGGCGAACGTTGTTCCGACAGAACTTCCCTCGCTCTTGAAGTACAATGAAACATATCCAACATTTTCGAATGGACGCTGTTTAGTAAACTTTTCTACCTGTACATGTTTCGATTAGTGCCTAATAGATTCATTCGCATTCGTGCTGGCGTGTTGAGCAGTTCACTTAAGTTTATGTTTCCGCCTGTTATTGTTTGCGATTTAAAAAAATAAACTTAAAAACCATCCCCTTTTGAAGTGTGCATGTTACGCTACTAACTGACAGTCCATTGTCAGATTCTGATGACTGACCATGTTGAGCTTAAAATAATTCATCTCTAACAACCCTTGTCCTCCAACACTAGGTAATAGCAATCTGAGGCTCAACTGTTTATTTATGTTTATACATCGAAAGAATGTCACGTAGAAATTAGTTTGAATTGAATGAGTTTGTCTTCTCAAAATAGGACTAAAATTATTAATTAAATCACAATCGAACAAATGTTCTGAATATTATAATTCTTATTTTATCATAATTATACATAGACGTGCGTATTCTTCATATTTTCGAGAAAATGGGGTGACTCGTTCTTAATTAAACCAATAAAAAATTTGTGACGACGTCCTCAGCATGGATAATACTAGATGACAGCACAAAAGACAAATAGTCATAGCGTATTACCAGTGCAAGAAAAAACAAGGACACGTACATCAACTTGGATTGGCGCAGTGATGTAATACTAAAAATAACAGTATTGAATTCCCAAAATTTTCTGAGAAAATGGAGTTCCTGATTTAATCAATAAAATAAATTGACTCATTCATTCATTTTTTTGGGTCACTTGTTTAAACAACTCCAAAAAATATGAATGCAGTGATAAATCACAAGTAAAAACTCATCATATTTTACACATTTTGGGTAGCATTTATTTGGCCAAATTTTGAGAAGACGTCATCAATTTTTTGGAAGGAATAAACAGATATATTTTGATTAATAATTTACCATGCTCACAGTAACATCTCCAAAATTTCAAAGCATTCGGTTTTGCAGTTCTTGATCAATCAAATGGATAAAATAAATTCACGCATTGATTAATTTTTTTTTAGTCACCCTGCATAAGCAAATCCACAAAATGTGAATGGAATGATAAATCACTAGTATAGACTCATCATATTTTGGACATTTTAGATAGGATTTATTCGGCAAAATGAGCTGATGTCATCAATTTTTTAGAGGAGATAAGCAAATATATTTTGATTAAAAATTTATCATGTTTATCATCTGCAACATTTCAAAGCATTCGGTTTGGCAGATTCAAGATTAAATTGCAAAATATTGTTTTATAATTTTGATTTTTTTTTTCAAAAATCTGGACGTTTTGGGTAAAAACTCAACACGGCTTCATAAACTACATATGCAATACGGTTTCATAGACTGCATGTGTAGGACTAGGTTCTTTTATACAATTTAAAACCTGTTTACTATGTACAATTTTGAAGTGGCGTCATCACATTATTGGTGGGGATGATTAGACAAATTTTGATTAGCGTTTTAACATCTACATGATATTCTTTATATAAATACAAAATTTGACAACAATCGGCCCAGTACTTTCGGAGATTATCTGTCTAATAAAAATCCGGGACGGCAGACGGACAGACAGACGGATAGACGGACAGACGGACAGACAGACGGAAACGGGAGACCTATTTCTTCGTACTGTAGGGGTCATGAAAGGTCGAGAAAACGTAAAAGTAGAGAGTCGGTCGATTACAATACTTCCTTTGCTTACGCTCAGGAAGTAAGAAGAAGTACGAAATTTGTCTGTGACTTAAATAAAGTTGGTTATTAGCTGCCAAGAATAAGGTTTTACAATTTCAGTAATTACCTCTCTTTGAAGTTCGCATTCCCATGATATTTTCCGATATTTGTTAACTTAATACACTTTACATATTTTTGTTACAAGAGCTCGCTCTTTTTCAAAGGTCGTAAACTTACTAGAGGTCGTCAGAAATCTTTTCCAAGAATAATTAAGGTGAAATATTGCGCAACTTGGTTAATATTTGTCCTTTTGATGTTACGTGGATTGAAGGCAGTTCTTGTTACGAGTTGTTGGTTAAGTTTAAAGCAATTTGAAGTAGGTATTAAGTACGTACTTGCTTTTGCCAGTTCATCGAGTATCTGGTATTGGGGGAAGGTGGGACAGGAAGTGATACTTAAATTTCACACTAATTAAAAGTAGTCGTCTAATCTAAATAATGTTTGATGTTTAGTTTAGCTTGCCGATTTATTTGTTCTAGGTCTTGCGATATATACTGGTCTTTCGAAAATAGTTCCGGCTCAAAAAATGTGTTTTTCTTTCCTACATCTAATACTTAGCTGATTAATTAGTCACAAATAATTTTAATGAATTCTAAGAAAGTTTTTTTTTCTCTTCTTGTGGTGTAAATTAACTTTTATGTCCAATGCCTAATGTATCTGAAGCGGCACAATCTAATTTACGTCCTTATTTATAATTATTCTGTTTCAATTATGAAATACTGGTGACATTTGGCTTTGGCTTAGTAGCCCATCTTTTTCCATGTTTCCCTAATTTTTCATTTTTTGATACATCGTGTATATTTATAAGTTTTACCAATTCCAGGATAGTTACTAATTATTACACTCAAATGTCAGCATAACTGGCAGAGTGGAAAACTATACGTGCAGCCCCGTCGTCCTTATTTAATTACATTATAGACAATTTAAAGGTTTGTTACTCAATGATTCTATTAGTGAACACGGGTTGTTCAAATCACCACTATTTGCACGCAATTTAATGCGCAGCAACACAGCAACCAATTGCAAATTGTATCACTTACCTTATTGAAGCTTCAGAACTAGTGTTGGAATAATCAGAATTCCTGCGTAGACTTACCGTATTCCAATAATTTTTTACTCGACAGTGAAATTTTTAATGGCACTATGAATTGGTAAGATACGATAAACAATAAATAAACGAGGTAATAGTTTTTTTTAAGTTACCTTAAATAAAACTGAAAGAATATTTACGATCTTTTAACAACTAATCGGAAGTTAGTTCAAACACAAGCATTTTATACACATTTGCTAAGTGATTTAACTGATGCACTATCGATTAGTTGATGGCTGATTGTATTACACTATGTGATCTATTTCTTGTCAAGTCTACTCATCTGAGAAAACTTGTGAAAAAATCTATAATCGGTTTGATTAGTGCATGAATAAATAAATGCCCGGTAATTTTCCTAGGATTATCATGGAAACTGTGTCACAAATTGTTCCGAGAAACTCAACATATCCTATTAATTAACTTTTTAACTTGTGTCGTGGGTTCAAATAAATGGAATTACAGATTACATTCATTCCTGTTTTAAATATTTGCCCCCAACCTTCAGCAGACACGGGTGTTGCTTCTAAGAGAATAAGAGACGTTCTGTAGATATCCAAGGAAAAAGAGAGACATATGATACAACTTTTATTAGTTTGTATTTATTTCTCATGTTTGTCTTATTTTTATCTATAATGTTAAAATAAAAGACTTTCGGCAGATGTGATGATTTATTAAACTAAAATCATGTTCCTAAACAAAAATGAAGTGAACAACAAGAAATTATCATTAACACTAATAGAGTTACATTAACATTGTTAGAATTGTGTTTGTCTTTTTGTTTATAAAGCTTATGAATGTATGAAGGAAAGACTGTTTTAAATCAGTTTACTACAATCTTACAAAGTCCTAGCTCCGAAGTTTAGAACAAACGCTTTATACTTTCAGATAAATAGAAATGTCATTTTTTATACATACAGTCAACATTTTGTTGAATCAGTGAAACTCCCAAGTACGAGTCCATAGGTTGAACACAGTAGAAATCCATTACAGGTAGTTTCTTAATTCTAACTTACACAAAATCAGTGAATAGCAAAGGTAACAAAGCTTCGACTGGTCACAGTTTTTACATATTTACAAAAATCACAATAAGCATCAGTGAGAACGTGAAGATTAAATAACCCCTTATCAATAAGTGTTTTTATTGCAAAGTTGTGTGGTCCTGTGATACACTTATACTGATAGCCGGAACAAGCGTTGCGTTGTCCCATCAAGCCTTTTATGTACAGAGTACTGCAATGTGCGTTTATTGCCGAACTCGTAGAAGCTATGGTACAGATGAGTGTATAAAAAGGAAATTATTGCTAGGTGATCCCGGCTTTATTAGGATATGTCGGAACTGAGTCCGATATCCTTCAAGCCGGCCTCGATGTGTTGAGTGAGCGGTGCGTCCTCCGCCACCGATTCGTGTTTGTATCCTGTTAGGAAGTGGCAGGTTCCCGGTATGTTTCTGGGAAAGTCTTTGGGGAGACAGCTTCGGTCACGCGCCTCGAAACTGAACCCTTCGGTCATCACCAGTCTCCTGAAATTCGCTATTTTAGCTGGAATTGAGTAGGTGGCCAGGGCCGTTTTTACGAATTTGCTGCCGATAGGTATAACAAAATGATCCTCCCCCTCTTCCAATGTTAATACTAAATACATTTTAAATTATAAACCTATTTTGATTACGAAAAAGTATGGCCTTATTTAAAGAAAATCTTGAAAAAAGTAATAATAATGACAAAAAGAGTAAATCGGATGACCTAAATTACAACGTCGTCGTCTCTTTTTTTATACTATCGAATATTCTTCTTATATATTTTTTAAAGTTTCACGTTCTAAAAAGAGGATGATAGTAATAATTGGCTTGATTCCAAAATTTTTCCTGTCGCTTTTGAACTTTCCCTCTATTATAGTATTCGATGTTTTATGCAAGACGGATACTACAAAAAATACGTGAAACCTCACTGCCAAGCACACATCTCCTGTTGGCTGAAATTTAAATCACACACGAAAAACCATGGCGTCAGATCTCATAATTACCCCCAGTCAAATTTTACACTGTCGGCCCACGCTTCTCCGAAGTAAATACGTTCCTGTAAATAACTTCTGAATACTCACTCGTATGTGGTAGGACTGACGTTTATCCTGAGGGGTTCACTACCAGATTCGAATTTATTCGCGATCGTGACATTGTGGCCAAACATGCAGTAGCGCGGCATTTTTACGCCGACAACCCCTGCTAGAACTGAACCAGTGTGTAGACCTATTCGCATCTGGAATGAAAAAAGTAAATCAGGAAAAAACACATGGAGCATTGTATCGTATTTTAAATCGGACAAGAGGGTGTTCTCTGTGCTTTTATACTCTGTGACAAAAAAGAACTACACGTAACTATAAACTTGCATGAAATGCAGGTTCAGCGCAATGGTGAGCACACTGTTAGAATTTGGTGGAAAAATTTACAGTCAAAAAAATTTGATTCATCACGGTTCGGTATTTAATATGGTGTTATTATGAAAATAGTTCTCATCTCTTTGTTGTTGAAAGTTGTGGTTGTGGCTTTGCACCAGCATGCTTTATTTTAGAATTATTTAGACAGAATATTCCAAACGATAAAGGGATTAATCTAATTACTTCATAATATTATTTAAGATATACTCCATCTACTTGTCTTGAAGTTCTGGGAACACAGAGTATTGTCATTAGTTTAAGGTCAGGTTTTCATAAATTGTTTTATTACATTTGGTGAAAATTTTGTGAAATATAACACTTTTTGAACATAAAAGATTTTATTGTTTTAAATGAACTTAAATTGAGGGATTGTACGCAAGATGGTAACTTGAAGGAGCAGAATATTATATCTAATTCCTCTTAGGTGTAATCAGTTTACCAAGTTCTCTAAGATATATAGGGCGCCGCATTCAACTTAAGGAATTAACAAGGAGAATTAGTTTTTATTTTATAATATCTTCCTAGACTAAGCTATTATTGAACAATGTACTTGTGGAGGAAAATGAGGGCTATTGGCCAGTATTTTTTTTAGATCTTTGCATCGCGCTCATTCACTGTAAAAAGACTTTAAAAATCGTTTTTTAAAATTCGCGCTTGGCGCGATTTGTCTCAAAACGTTTCGTCTCAGTAGCATGGAAAATCGAAATGTCAAAGTGAATTTTCGGTTCTCACCCGTAGTTCTCACTCAGAAATCATCCAAGGACGCGATCGTCGAACTGAGACGGAAACTTTTGGGACAAAGCGGACCGAGCGTAATTTCAAAATATGGTTTTTTAAAATTTTTTACAGTGAATAATGCAACGATTTCAAAAAAACGGGCCAATAGTCCTCGTTTGTCTCCACAAATGCATCGCTCAATAATAAATTTAAAGTGATCTGAGGAGATATTATAAAATAAAAACCAGTTCTCCAAGTAATTCCCTATGTCCAATCTACATGTTGGATGCGACACCCTTTATGGGATAAAGGCAATAAAGGCATTTGTCTACATATAATGTTCTTGTAAGTGAATTTTAAACTCAGACAAAAAATAGTGGCAGTTATGAGATTCGCTTGACAGTGCCTAATTAATGCAAAAATTTTAAAATTTTATTTTTTTTTAGATTATCTTGTTATTTTTTCCACTTTGGTCCCTAATTCGTAATTATTAAATCAAATACAGAGATTCTAGAACAAAAATCGACAAAAAGAACAAACTAATAATGCTTTGGAACCAAATTGCAAGAAACCAAAAAATTACATCGTATTTGATAATGCTTTAAACGTGGCTTAGGTAGAATTAATGACGTGTATTGCCTCCTCGAGCATTGATAACAGCTCGCATAGTGTTAATCAAATTTCTAACTACTTCTTGATCAATTTCTTGCCACTCTTGCGTCAATCTAAGTGTTAGCTCTGGAAGGGTGGTAAGAGGGTGCTGTAAAGCTTTAATTCTTTTTCCCACTATGTCCCATAAATGCTCGATGGGATTGAGGTCCGGACTTCGTGCAGGCGAGTTCATACGTACGATTTCCACTTGTGCAAAATAAAATTTTAAAATTTTGCGTTAATTTTGCGGGGCACTGTACTTCTAGAAATTTGACTGAACGCGGATTGTGAACATTTGAAATATAGGTAATTCTTTAAGAAAAGGAATTTATTTTTGTTGTTAGGGAAGCGGAACAACTCACAATTAAGAAAACAACCGTAATAGCACGAGAAAAAGGGGACTTGAAAGACACGCGAAGTGGCTATTCGTGGCCCCAGCAGTAACTCTGAGAGTCTTAGATGCCTAGAATCCGCGCCTAGGAGCCCTTACTTTGGGTCATCTCTAGAACAGAACAAATTGGGCCTAACACAACCCGGCTCGTTGTTGGGCTACTCATAGCAACCCTGAGGGTAAGAAATTTCAGAGTTTTCCATGTCTTCCGGCAATAATAAGGTAGTTGCATAGACAGGAAGACGGAAATGCAGAAAATCATAGTCACGGACCTGATGATTAAGGACCGGCTGTACCTTAATTTGCACCATACCTAGTCTCGCAACCTCGGCTTTCTTCGGCAGGCAGGCGAACACCTGGGGTGTGGATATTGGGTTTAGTCAGGAACCCTGGATACTTATCCAAATGGGTACAGGTCTTCCGTTGGAAAAGCTGTGCTTTAGGGCTCCAGTGGTTACCCGTGTAAATATCATAAGCGGTGGAACGCCGAGAACACTGATGCTGTGCTCGGTTTTTCGCCCGTCTGAGTCATCTATGCTGCTACCCTCAGCTGAGCTGATAGTGGTAATAGACTTTAGAAGGCTGGGGGATGAACTCTCATCGTAGGATGCGATGGGAACTCACACCACACAGTGTGGGTGTGTTCTGATGTCACTTCCAGAGGGGAGGTTCTTCTGAATTACCTTGGTACAACGGGTTTGAACATTCTGAACCGTGAAAATGCACCTACTTTCGTCACTAAGGCGACACAAGAGGTTATCGACATCACTTTCAGCGCAATAGGATTGGCTCATGAAATCAAATACTGGCATGTATCGAGAACGCTGGGTTCATCGGATCATCGATAGATCCGATTTAGTATTCATAAGAACAAATAGTTTGAATGGGAGCATCAAGATCCAAATGTGACAAATTGGGATTTCTATAAGGAGGTTCTTGCGAAAAGGTTTTGGGGTTGCCAAATAGAAACCAATATGTAAAAGAAACGGAAGAAATGGCCGCTTTCATACATGAAGCAAGCCATTGTTGAATCTTACAAAGAAAGTTGCTTAACACGCACCCTTCGTAGGATTGTGCTCTATGAGGGAACTCCCACATCAGTAGGTTGAAACAAATTCCAAGAAAGCTCTGGAATAGGGTCTGACTTGACAATTCATCCAATTTTTGGGAACTGTATGAGAGGGTTCAAAAAGAATTCAAATCTGCAATTCGACGCAGGAAAACAGACAGTCGGAAGGACTTCTGTGGAAAACGAGAACACAATTTTCTACAAGCGATTTACGTCAAAAATGGTCACCAGGTCACCCCAGAGTAGTTGCAATGGGAAATAAATTCTCTTGGTCCATTTAAATTAGCCGGCATGGGTGAAATTTTTCCAACTCTCTTACAAAAGGAACTAGGATCTCTTATTAAACCGTTGTTGTATCTTTTCAGAGCAGAGGGAAGCAAAATCTGCATAGAATTTTAGATTAATTAGTCTAACATCGTTTCACCTGAAGGCGAGGAAAAAGGTATGTTCGAGAGGACTTGCTCGGTAGTATGATCCTGCACCCAAACCAACATGCTTACCAAATGGGAAATCTACTGAGTTACGAGATTTAATAGTGATGGAGTTGAATCACAATAAAATACTTGCTATACAGGGTTATCCACAGAGGGGATTATCCAAAGGGGGAGTTATCTTCGCTTTATGGAAGTTGGTAGTAGATGACTTGACCTGCCAATTAAACGAAATTGGAGTATATGCTCAAGGAAGTGGTAATGATAAAGAGCTCATGCAGAGGACACTTAGACTCATTGAAAATGGTGTCAATTAAATAGTTTGTTTGTTAATTGAGACAAAAGAGTTATGTCATTTATGCAAGAAGGTGTTAGGATTATTATGCGGGCCCTACACTCTTTGAAGAACACTATGGGTACCAAATATGTAGGTTTGGACTCAAGGCTTTCATGGAGGACTCACTGGAAAAAGCAGACAAAGAGAACTAGGGCAGGACTTGGGCGTGCAGAATAGTCTTGGTGTGATAAGGCCCATGATTCTCTACGATGCAGTTATCTAGCGGGGCTCGATGATGAAAGTTTGGGCTAAAATTCTTTTGGCTCGAACACAATGTTTGATCTGCGGTAAACTGAGAACCACACCAACGGGTGCGATGGAAATGCTGGTCGGGTTGTCTCCTTTTCCCTGTTCGGTGATGCAGGCGGTTAGGTTGAGATTCGTGAAAATGCTCAGCTTTGGTCAGCGGAAAAACACGACAACGAAAATAGGCCATGGTACCATTGTAGGAAGGCTAATGGAGATTAATTCCATCTTCAGGGTGAAGGATACTATCAAAATTACCGTTGAAAATTCCCGTTGTAATGACAGATCACTCACTAAGTGCTGATACTCCACGAAAAGAGTACAAGGAACATATCGAAGTCATGACCCAAGGGGGCTGAATTACTCTACTATGCGGATGGTTCAGTCTCCAGTAAGGGATTAGGCTCCGGTGTATATTCAAGCAAGGCAAATGTCAATATCTCGGTATCACTGGATACGCTTACCATTTTGTCTTTCAAGCAGAAATCTTTGCTTTGATTGAATGTGTGAAAGATGTATTCAAAGGGCTCTCTAGAAGACGAATCTGCATTTTCAATCTAACAGGCACACATCAAATATAGGATTTTGTTTAGTACAACAAAAAGGTTGTGGACAGTAACCACCTGGACACCTGGACAATAAAGGAAAAGAAAAAGCCAATGCTCTGGCAAGTCAGGGCTCTGAGAGGAGTTTTGTAGGGCAGAACCGATTGCACCAATTTCTAACAGCGCCCAAAAGACTACGCTATCTTCAAGAATGGCGGACCTTGAACCTGCGTCACGCAAGGCTGTTCATAGAAGGACCTGATGAGAAACGAAGCTAAGAGCTATTGAGATTCTCCGGGCACAGTTCCCTAAACATACCCATGTGCACTATCGGCTCGGCTTCCGATAACACATCCAGACTGTGCTTAGAGGACGATGAGACCTCCCATCACATTCTATGTTTCTGCCCGACACTTGCTGGCATGACGAAAGATAATAATAATCTAATAATATCCAACTCCCGGAAGCAATAGCACCAAACGCTTTTAACATTTTCTTCAGTAATTACGTACAAGAAATTATTCAAAACCTGCCCCAGCAGAAGAACCAACCACTTCCGTTATTAAATAAACTAAAATTAAATCTCTGTTCGTCAGTATACTTATTCCGCCCACTAGTTGAGGATGATGTACGAATCATAATAGTCTACATTCTAAGAGAACTGAAGACGTATACTATATTAATCCTTTACCCTTAAAACATTGTTTTCCATACATTATAAATCCATTAACCGAAATTTCGAATGTTTAATAGAAGAGATTTTTCCAAAATCAAAGAAACGTTGTTACGCTGCGTTTAAATGTCTCAACCACGATGTTCTGATCCAAAAACTTGAATATTACGGAATCAAAGGAAATTGTCCTAATAGTTTCAGGTCATATATATCATATATAGATGTCAAAAAGTAGTAATTGACGGAGATCGCTAAAGTCTCTATTCATAGAGGAATCCCTCAAGGATCTATATTAGGGCCACTACTGTTCCCAATTTATATTAATGAGCTGCCATAAAACGTGCTTAAGAAATCTCTGACATTAATCTATGCAGACGGCACAACTTTTGCCATTAATGACGAAAGCCTGGAAAACTTGAAACAAAATGTCTCTCAAACCTTAGACAAAGCCATTGCTTGGTTTGACGCAAATATGTAGATTGGCCCCCAACGTCACTAAAAGGAAAATTTTAAAATTTGACCACCAAATGGTTAACAATAATCAGTCGATAAACTTCTTGATCACATCCGTTCTAATTTATGGGAGAAATTTCTTTTCAGTTTTCAGTCGTATATATATAAATTTGAATATACATATTTACTCAACAAAATAAGCACATGCTTTTTTGACGTATTAGTCTATATTTTTTTTATAATAAAACGAAAAAAAGACATTTTAGCAATTGCTGTGCACATATTCAGGTAGAGCAGAAATAAGTAAATGTCTCAGCGATTTTTTTAAATTCTCGAATTGGTAGAAATAAGTTATGACGCCACGTGTAGATAGTGCTACAAGTTGAATTCTATAATGAATAATATATATGACGTAAAGTCGTCTTCTCTTTGGTGTTAATTTTAGACAATTTTCTGCGCTTTTTATAAAAAGTTAGCATTTTATAACAACGAATATGAAAAAAAATTGTGTAACGATAATAAACATCTAAACAAGGACAAAGTATCATCCAAAAACGTGAAATTCAACAAAAAAGGTAATGAGCGATCTGGTGGAAAATGTGATAGCTAAAGCAAAAATAAAAAAACAGTGTAAAAGTTTTTTCATAGAAAGTATTTTTACAGTGTCTGTTTTATCGAGAAAGTTCAGAAACTATAAACTGGAAAAAGAACCATTTTTATAAATAAAAGTGCAAATCTTGCACGCCCTATTAGTCAAACAATTTTGGTATCTGCCTTAATTTTCTTTAATATGTTCAAGCATCTGAAAGTCCAACTATACTCTTATTACCAAAAAATATTTCAAGTTGGACATTTAGGTGATAGCACTATAGGTGATTCTTTAAGTTATTAATTTTGTCACTGTTTTGCCAATCAATTTAGTTATAAGATGCAAGGTAATAAATTAATGTAAAGTTCTCCAGGTTCGTATCGTTACATGAAACAAATATACGGGACGCCTAGGGCGCCATAGTGTACGGGGTATTGTCGAGGGGTTCTGCAGTAGGAAACCTTTAACAAAATGTGAGGAGTAAGTATATAATATAAATTTAGTCGTGCTAGTCATTCTATAAATAAGGGAGAGATGTAAATCTTAGAGTCTAAATAGTGTGGAGAGTGGTATTCAAGTACAATGTATTTTAAATTTGTTAAATTTGGATTTCGACTATTTCTGAGAGTCCACGTTAAAATTCCTTCCGTAGTAGCACTATTTTGTTATTACAGCATTAAACATTAAATGATGAAAAACAAATTGAAAGATATCGAAAAATGTCTTATAATGTATAGTATTTGAACTATCGAACCATCCATTCGCAAATACAAACCATAGTCATTATGTGAACGGGGTGGGGATATGTCTACACATTGTAATAATTTAACACCCCAATATCTATTTTATGGTGGCAAGCAAATCGAGGGCGGAAGAAGCCGCGCGCACTTACCCTTATCGGTTGTCCTTGATGTGTCTGATGATGCGAACAAGTGTCGATCATTTTTAAGGCCATCCAGGCTATTTGGAGGGCGTGGGTGTCTGTCTCCTTGTGTAAACCTCCCGCTACGCAGTAAGCATCTCCTATTGTTTCCACCTGCAAAAGTTGACTTAATTTTAGTAAAACTTTTTCGGTTTCGGGCGAACTGGGATACAATAATTAATGGAGCAGTGTAGATTTACGTTACAGATAACCGGTGAAATTCGCACCGAAAGGGATGCTTGGACTTCCAACAATGGTATTCTGTTTATTTAACGATCGTTGCTTGCAATGTACAGATAAATTCGAAATGGGAATTTTCAACTCTCTACGTGTAAGTGCATTCTGGTGAGATGGGTAAATGCAGCGGCAGCACTGTATCTAGCTCGGAAATAGAAAAACTTTGTAATGGAATGTTACGTTGGGTTATTCCCAGATGTTTCATTACAACGAACTAATTTAAAGAATCATTATATATTGAAGTTGACTGCATATGTGGTGGTAGTTTCTGTTAGCAGTTAGAAGTTTTCCAAGAGCAAAATTTAATTTATGAGTGAAGTGGGATTTTTTGCTATTCTGGGTAGTAATTATTAATTTTGCCTTTCAAACGAAGTGGAATAAGGTTCAAAGAAAGTTTAATTTAAGTGAATACTTTAAGAGTAATATGCTAGACGCTTAAGAATAAACGAGGTTCATTTTTTAGAACAAATGTAATTTAAGAATGATCAAATCCGGTCAAATTATCCACTCATAAATTAAATTGGAAAACATGGTTGGTTTCACCGGAAGTAAAATCTACTTTTTTAAATCTCTACTGGGGAAAATATTGTGTCCTGGATACATCGTCATGAAATTTACAGTAGTTTACCTGTTACAAAATTTTTCAACACTGTCGAAATAAATCCGCTTTTCCGCTAACGTTGATGTGCAATACATGTATTATTTCAGGTTAATGTGCGCCTGTCGAATTAAAATAATCGTCATCATCGTATAATTTTTGCTACATTTTTTTGTTTATTGTAAAAATTTTAGAACACTGAATCTCTGCTGAAGAAGGATTTTAATTACTGATTTATCGATTACTAGATTTCTTTCAGGCCAAAGTAATTATTTGAGACAAAGTTTAGACAATAATTATTATTGTCTTTGAAATATATACAAGTTTTGCCTGCATACAAAAGGGTGTATACACATTTATTAATAGTATTCTGCAACGATGTCATTAACATTTATTGGACATAAATATGTTAATTTTAACATGTACAATGAAATTTTTATTATGACCTTATTGCGTTCCCAGAATTTTAAGAAAATTAAATAAAACGGTTTTTGAATAATGCGTCAATAAATTGATTCATAACTATTTTATGAAGCACTTCTAACAAGTAGTTTTAGAAAATAATGGCGAGTTACTGAAGCACAAACAGTATCAGAGCAATGGGCGCATTTTTCAAAAACATTTTTTTTATCAAATATGTCTAACATTACTATATGTTATTCCAAATCAAAAATAGACCAACATCTCAATTTCTTCGAAAATACATCTAGCAGCGTTGTCTGTGGCAGTTTTAGAGATTTATTCTAATGTAACATAATTTAAATACGTCTAACAAATTACATTTATTGTTAGTAATATTAATAAGATACCGTGCGTTCATTAATTATTTAGATCAGTGGAGGCTATGGACATTAAATTGATGGTTTCTTTAACTTTGTTGTCGCCTTTTAAGTAAACTTATTCACAAATCTGCAAAAGTTATTTTCTTTCATTAGTTTCCTACTTTTCAACAAGCAAGAGGTAATTAGTTTGTGAATTGATTTATCTCAGAATGCAACCAACATTATACATGTGTTCGTTTAATTGCATAATCTGAAAAGTATCCGAAACCGAGAAGACATACGTTCAAAATCGCACAGCATTCCTTGATCTAAATAATTAACGAACACACGGTATTATTTTATATATGTATATGTGTAGTTGACAATAATCTATTTTTTTCTACGTTGTTTAATTTAAAGCAAGTTGTTGTGATGTTAGAGAGAAAATCATGCATTTTGGAACATTTTAATTAAGTGAACGTAGTTGGAACCCGGAACTGCAATAGACTAATGTGAAACAGTGGCAAAAACGAATTGGATAAGTTTATCGCATTGTTGAAGCACTAACAAGGTGTGTATGCGGTCCCTTGATTAAATTAGCTATTAAGGGGACACCAGCAATGCCGATAAAGCTTATGTCGCAGTTAGGTTCAGACCTATTGAAAACCAAGTTAATGGATTTACGGTTTTGTGGCTGAGCTACGGAACTGCACCACATTATAGTTGCAACACATTCAGGTAATCACATGATTTTTCGTCTAGCTATCTACGTATTATGCATGCGGTACAGTGGAGTAAAAACGCTTATAAAGGATATTAAATGGGCGGCAGAACTCGGATATTGCGAACGATTTTTAGTTTTTATCTTTTATTTTAACGCTGATTTAGTGCTGGATATTTTTGATCATGAATAATTCACATTTAAACGTCATAAAATTTGAGCAGAAAATTTTACAACAGTCTGCCTACATGACAAGTTTAATGAAATTTATTCCAGTTTCATAAACCGTGCCCTAAATGATATACTTTTTGCTGTAATTTAATAGAAGTGTATATTATTTTGAATTTCATAACACTTTAAACATCTTCTCACAATGTCCGGATCACCTAATGTAGTAGAGTGTTGATTATGAATTTTAATTAGCCCTTGCACCACAGAACAGTCACCTTCGCCAGCGATATCCTTTACTGCTGGTCTAGTTATTTCTAACAATAAATTTATTCTTGCGTTATTTAAGAACTAGATAAAGACCAAAAAAAATATAGGAATGGTTTCGAATTCTGTGTAACTTTTCGCTTTATGAATTTCTAATATTTTAGGGATACTTTCATAATTTAATATCTTTCTTAAGTTTTTACAAAATGTAAGCCGAAAGATCTAGTATTTTGTTTTTGTTTATTAGATAACTATTATTATTTTCTTATGTATTATATATGATATGTAATAATGTGATAATGTCAACATATTACTGTCGAAAGAGCTTTATGTATCAATAAATTTTAACAAAGTTTATCCTATCTATCGAAAAGATTCTTATCTAGACGACAAATAAGCTCTTTACATACTGCAAGCTTCTTATATCCATTTCACCATCAAAATCGTTTCCTATTAAGTAGATTTTAATTTTAATGAGTAGGTAGAGCAAAGGGATTTTATCTTCTCTAATAAATATTATTGTCGTTTGTGTTCTTTCGTACATTCTTAAGAAATAACATTGCCAGATAATATATCGATGAGACGACATAAAAACATCTGTTGGTAATTTTATTCGTAATGTTTACTTAGCAGTTTCCGAACGGCTAAATGTTTACTAATATTGCGAAAAGTGTAGAGGCAATTTTCTGGTTGAAACTTTTATTTTTTTCATTCATTCGGATTGATTCAATCGGTTCTTCGCCGCTGAATATCGACAGTTGGTAGACTTATTATAAGCTTGACATTTTACGAATGAATTTTTTTTCTTTTCGTATAGTTACTTGGGTTTTATACTCGTTCCATTTTTAGTTTTAGAAATAGTAATTAAAGTATGTCTTTTTAAAGTTTTTTTACTTCCCGAGCGATAACTGAGTGTGTACTTCAGACATATGGAGATTAAAATTGATCTGTTCATTCCTTTCAAAAATTGATGAAATTTAACTTGAAATAAGGGTTGTTTGGTTAATAGCCGTATAAAAAGATAAAATCTCTTGTGGGCTCTGTCTAAATTGATTTGAATGAGGGATGATGTAGAGTGTAGTGACGTAGTAGAACTCATATACCTACTTTTAACGATGGCAGTAGCTTTAATTAGAATTGCTTACTTAGAATGGAAAGGCAAGAAAATAATACTTCTCGAAAAGACCCGTGCACTTTTATTTAAATTAAGCACAAAGAAAGAAAAATTCGTTCAACTATTTACACCATATGTGTACAAGAATATTGCTGGAGAATCAGATATAGGAACTACACCAAAAATTGGTTACTTAGACAGAACTTCTCTCGGTCCCTTAAGTACAGTCCAACAAATGCAGCTTCTTCAAAAAACTATAAAATTTGATTTTCCGAAATTTTATTTATTTACGATAACCCCTACGCATTAAAAAATTGGTATAAATTTATTTAGACAAAACTTCTCTTGCCTCTGAAGTAAGTACATGTGAACAAATATAAATTCTCCGCAAAATTGTAAATCAAATTTTACGAATTTTATTTTTTTATAATGAACTCAGTTTTAAAGATATGTGTGGACACGTCAATAAAGAAGCATGCTGTTTGTATATTTCAAATGAATTTTCCCATAACAAAATTTTGTGGTGCCTCATCAACATTTTAGCAAGGACACAGACATTTGAAGAGATGCAGAAGAATACTAATAAGAACAGTGTAGTCAAATGTTCGGGAAAATGGGATGAGCAGTTTTGGATTTAATCAATAAAATAAATATCCTCATTCAATAAATTTTTGGGTTACCCTATGTAAGCAATTCTTAAAAATATGGATGTATTGGTAAACTACAATTACAAATTCGGCAAAATTTTGAGACGACGCCATTAACTTTTTGGGAGGGAATAAAGGTGTTGGTAACGTTTAAACGTTTGCAAGAGTTAACAGCTATCGGTTTTGCAGTTTCAAAGTTGAAAAATGTTATACAATTTTGATTTTTTTTACAAAATACTAGACGTCTTGGGTAAAAACTCAACACGGATGCATAAACAACAAGTGCAGGAGTATCTTATTATGTAAAATTTAAACAAGATTTAATATCGTAAATTTTGGAGATGATGTCATCCCATTGTTGGTGGGGATGATTAGTCAAATTTTGGTTAGACAGAGAGACGGAGACAAGAGATCTATTTTTTGTATTCTAGGGGTCATAAAACGTCGAGAAAATATAAAAGCAGTCAGTCGTCCGATGGAGTCGATTAGTATACTTCCTTAAATAATAATAATAACTTTATTACCATTCAAATCTCAGTTGCACTGTTTTTAGTGAGTCCATTAAGTGTACATATTAATGAATATTATTACAATATAACACAGCCGTTGATTTCACCATTGACTTCTTGCAAGATCATGCTAGTGTAAGAAAATAGTGACCCATTGAACCGGAAACTTTTAGGTTGATAGTACGACGGTTTTCCAACTAAGCTAAGCCACTACTCGACTGCTTGCTCTCATACTGTTATGAAATATTATTATGTAATTTGAATTTTTGTGCGAAAATCTGGATGGCTAGTTAGGTTGATTATGTGACTAATAAATATTGACACAAACGAAAGACGACAGACAGACATACGGAAACGGGAAATCTATTTGTTTATACTCGAGAGGTTAAGAATCAGTTCCAGTATGTTTAAAAACTATCTGCTTTTTTCCTTAAGTGTAGCTGAATTTGTTGGAGTGAAATCTTTGTAAAATTGAAGTAAAACGATTGGGAGTCAAAATGCGCGTAAAACTTTCGAAGTACGCATAAAACCTCCAAAGTACATAAAAATAATGTGCAAAAGTAAGGTGCCCATAAAAATATATAATGTTAGTTGTCATAAAGACGAAAGTCCTAAAGTTTTTCAATGATTTTCGTGTGATTACACGAGTTGCGCGATTTTGGGCACTGTGCAAGGAAAAGCACAGAAAGAGAAAAATTCAAACCAAAAATATAACTAAATTTAAAGGGATTTAAAACGATATTTAATAAAATTATTAAAGAACGAGTCGAAAATTTGAGAAAGTGTTTCGAAAAAACTTCTGGTTGACGCCATTAAAACTCTGAGTGGTTATAACTGACAAATGATAAATCATCACGTATTGTAAAATTTCATTAAAAAAGGTGGCGCCATCAACTTTTTAGGGGGATGAATAAATACATTTTGATCATAAATTTATCATGCTTATGATAACTTTAAAACATCTTCAAGATTTCAAAGCATTCGGTTTTGCAGTTCTTAATTAAATTGCAAAATGTTGTTTTATAATTTTGATTTTTTTTCCAAAAATCTGGACATTTCGGGTAGACGTCAGAAACTACATGTTATTTTATACAGTTTAAAGCTCATTTACTATGCACACTCTCGAAGTGACATCATCACATTATTGCTGGGGATGATTAGACAAACTTTGGTTAGCGTTTTGTCATCTACATGATATTTCTAATATAAATACAAAATTTGACAACAATCGGCGCAGTACTTTCGGAGATTATCTCTCTAATAAAAATCGTGACGGCAAACAGACGTATAGACAGACGGACAGACAGACGGATAGACAGACAGACAGACGGACAGACAGACAGAAACGGGAGATTTATCTGTTCGTACTCTAGGGGTCATGAAAAGTCGAGAAAAGTATAGAGTCGGCCGACAGACTGGATTGCAATACCTCCTTCGCTTACGCTCGGGAAGTAAAAATAGAGTAATGTTTTCAAATGTACTACTATTCAACGGATATCCCTTGTCCTTCACATGTGTTTTAATAATCCATATTGGTTTCTAAGTTAACATATAAACAGACATATAAATGAAGTTTGTAGAATCAACATTTTGCGATATTCAGAACCGGTTTTTGCGAAATCCTTGTAAGGCAATAATACTGATTTAGTGATAAAATGTTAACTAAATTTTATTTGTTCATCTCCTTCTGGACACTGATGACTACATCTTAAAAATTTAATAAATAACTATGTTTTAAAAAACATGTCCATTCAAATGCAGTTTATCGCAAAATTAGTGTGTTTATCTTCACTACATGACAGTGTCATTACAAAAGTTGTTTACTAACCTTATCTAAATGCAAATTGTGAAATAACAATTTGGTTGTAATTAAACATTAGGCGATTGATTCGTATTCAAATATTAATCAACAATTTTTACAACAAGTGAAGAAACTTAAAAACCCCCGGTACAAAGAATGAACTCTTAAAAAGTCTGGAATTGGTTAAGATTCGCTGCGACGGTCGATGTGCTATCCCCACCTACGTGCGAATCGAACTGATTCGTACACTAGCTGTGTTATGAGCTAATGATCTTGAAGTGATTATCATCAAACATAGCTAAGGAGCATCCCGATTAAACCAGCTTTTAAGCAAGAAAAACCGCGTCGAAATTGGTTCATCCGTTTGGACACGATAGACACACATACAGACAAGAACTTCAAAGTTATAACACCTCGTTCTTTTTTGGTTGGGGGTTAAAAAGTACAATTAAAAGACGTTTGATATCATATCAAATGTATTGTGATGTTTATTCAGATAATATGATTATTAAAAATTTACCCATTTTTGACATTACATTTGGGTTATTATCCAAAGAAAAAATTTGCACAAATCAAAATTACAATTTATTTCAAAAACATTTATTATTTCTTTGACATTTTAATGAGAGTGTAACATTCATTTAAGAGTCATATTTGTATTTGTCCCTGTATCTCCTTTAGAAAGTTAATGACGTCATGTCAAAAAAATGCAGAGCAAGGCAGAGGACGTCAAAATCAACAAAAACTTTAAATACAATATCTCATTTTTGACTTAGTTTAAAAGTTACTTTATTTTTGAAAAAATAAATCAACTTCACCAATATATAACAATAGAAGTAATAAATAAAATATGTAAACCCAAATTTTTGATTGTATTTAATTTCCATAAAATTCTGAATACACACCATTGTTACGATGACGTTATTTTAAAATACACATATATAAAAAAGCTATCTTGAAAAAGATGTTCTGACGTGCTTCAGAGGCCAGAAAATTTCTGTGTAAATAATAGATTTTGGTTCGTTTTAGTGTTTTCCTAATGCTGCCGCACTGAACTAATAATATATTAACAACTTCCTCATGAATAAACAAACTGTTGATATATTTTATAAAATGAATCCTATAAATAAATTACAGTATCCCAGTGATAAAAAATAAAAACTGAATTCGATATTTTACTTTAATAATAAATGTGTTATGAAGCAATAGAAAATTTAGCAAAAAGCTGAGTTAAAAACACAACATCTGCATCTGTTTCACTTGTACTAGGTAACAAAGTAAGGCGTCACCAACGTCTCCGAATCAATTATGCATGCCATCCTATGCACATAATGGAAGTGAAAAAGCATGTCACGACTAAGTAAGTTTATTAAAGTGGTAAATTCAGGCCGACTGGGGCCGGCTGGTTCGATAAAGAATCCCTGAAACTGACAAGTAGTTTATTCCGAAGACAAGCACTTCGCAAATACGTGACCAAAAGGAAAATATTCATTAGATGTTTTCCGGGTGGAGATTCCGGCGGAAATGATCTTTGTTTGCTTTCCATTTGTGCTAGTGGACTTACTTTGTACACGTCTAGTTGACCGCAAAACACGTCGAATTGGTTGTAGAGGTCTTGCAGCATGTTGATCACCATCATCGGAGTAGCGGTTGAACAGATGGAAGTGAAACCGACAATGTCAGAGAAGAGCATCGTGACGTCTTCGTGGGTTTTTGCTTCGATGGTCTGACCTAAGGGAACGAGATTATAAATTAGTGGTGGTTTTCTAGAATGTGGGCGGTGGACCTCAATAGTTAATAACATAATACAAGAAAAAGCAACAACTGCAAACTCAAGTGAAAGCTAGCTAAAAAATCGCTTTTAATCCAATTAACAGTACGTATCAAACATATTTTTCAAAAGTATTCTCCTGCTGTAGAGCGTATGAATAATTCTAACATAATAAAATATTTGGAATGAGGTGTGAACAATTCAAATAAAAATTAATTTGAAGTTAGTGCTATTTATTTATACTCTAGTATTGGATAGTATTATTCTTCACGGTGGTAAGAAAGAGTTGGGATACGAAGTTTAACAGTACCTATAATGAATAGATTACTGTACCGGTTAAAGATCCTTTTTAGATGTCCAATGAACGGAAAAAATGAAATCATTTTACTATTTTCTGACTGTCGTAAAACGGTTGCTGTGAAATATTAAGGTAAACCATGTTTTTTAAAACATGTAAACATACTTGTATACATAGGTACTTGTTTGAATCATGATGCCATTGTTTGGAAGTACGTTGTTACACGGTTATTAAGTAAGGTAATGTCTCATATGATTTTCGTTTATTGGGAATGTAGAGCTGAAATACAACTGTGGTTGCGTGATGTCTCACTGTAACATTCGCTTACGGCTCATGCAGCAAATTTTATCTTGTGGAGAAATGAGCCTCGTTGCACACTATATGAATTTTATATTCAGTGAAAATTAAAATAGTCGGAAGATTTTAATTAATATTAATAAGCCTTGGACATTTTTTCACAGAGATGTCATATCTTCTCTTCATACATAAAAAAAGTTTAATCAAAGTAGAGTGCAGCACTATGAGGAGCTTTATGGGTTGAGATATGAAAATATGGTGCAAGATGGAATTTTTACGACAATTATTAAATATTGATACGTAAAAAGGAAACAAGGTTCGCATGTTACATTTTACTGGCGATCTCGTGTATTGTGTTTCGTGCACTTTATAACTCTGTGTGACACATTTTAAGGAAAATATGAATAAAAGTGTACACTGGGTGCTTCAGATTTTGTTTCTTGGGTATGTATTATAAACAATGCTGTTAACAGATAACCAAATTTAGATAAAAAGATAGAAATGAAGCACTATCGTCATTTAAGAATATGTTCCAACTGTCATCCTTCACAATGAACACAAAAGTTTTTATTAGTTAGCTATTAATAACATATCACGCGTTAAAAATGTTCAAACATTCCTAATTCAGTTTTTTTTAATCTTCTAAATCAGGTAAAGGCCGCAAATACACCAAATCTTGTATGTATTGTCTCAACAATAAATCTAAGGACCTTAAATGTGGGCAGCGGACTGGTCATCGAGTAGAGTTTAAAAAAATTGATCATCTTCGACATGCAGCAAAGAAATATTGCAGTAGTCCAAGATTCCTGACGTTAAAAATTACCAACAGTAATTTTGTTGCTATGACAATATATGTCAAATCGATATATTTATTCATTTAGATAATTTATATTTTTTGTTGCAATTTAAAAAAACAGATTTGCGTTGCGAAACCGACGCCATATATGCATCATATTTGCACTGTACTAAATTAAGCTTATTCCTTCAAGCTAGAAACAATGGTGTTTACAGAATTTCAATATTGCTATTTGTTCTCAAGGTATAAGGCCGCAGATTTTTATCTGGACACCCTGTATATTTGCATAGTGTGTGATGAATCCAATAAGACAGGATAGAAAGCTGGTTTATGATTTTATAAAAAATTGGTCTAAAGAGTTTAGACAGTACTTCCCTCGCTGTCGGAAACTTGACGACTGCATGCCTATTGTGTTTTTTTTTCTCATTACATTTTTGTAGTGGGAATTTAAAAAAAATTGTGATGACGTCATCAACATTTTTGCAAGGACACGTATATCAGTTGGGATAGATGTAGTGTAATACTAAGAATAAAATTATTGTATTCCCAAATTTTCGGGAAAATGAATTGGGTCGTTTTGAATATTGATTTCTTATAATCAATAAAATAACGAAACAATTTACTCACGTATACGGCGCCGGTGTGTAATATCTAGAGAGCGGATTTCTGTCGGGCTAGGCAAGGCCAAACTCGGTACGGCTCGTACGGGATGCGAATTCATTGCGGTTGCGGACTGCACTTCGTTTATTTGAGATTAGAATAACGCTGTTTCGTTGCACTCTGCTGTTAATTCCCGTTCTCATTTACTTAGCCGTTTGATTAATAAATCGTTAATTATATTTATGGAATTAGTACCGATTAAATTCAGTGATTATCTATCACCCGGCGATCCAGCACGTCCCCCCCTATAATCGTGACGTAGCCCGACAGAAATCCGCTGTCTAGTAATATGAGGGGCAACTGAAAATCGTTTATGTATAAACATTCTTAATTTAAGATGACAAGCGTAACAGCATACGTGAGACTCAAACAGAGAAACTGTAAACAAAACGACCATCGGTTTTATTGCTTCGACTTCCGCTTATTATATAAAACATTGGGTTTTATTTTAATTCTTGACGGTGAAATTCACAATTGGTTGATTATAAACATGTCTATTCCACATTCGCGGAACCAAGTGAGCGCATAAAACAAATGCAGGTCTGTAATGTTAAAGTCGATGTAAATAAGCGTGCTACCCTTATGTTTCAACAGAGTTTTTCCTTTAACAAATTTTGTGTCTACCAAATTGGGTTGGTTGGGGTGTAATACTAATAATAAGTGTTGCCTTTAATTTAATCAATAAAATAAATTGACTTCATTAATTTTTTTGAACCACCTCTTAAGAAAATCTAAAAAATATGAATGGAATGATAAATCACAAGTACAAACTCATCATATTTTTTGCATTTTAGATAGGATTTATTCAGCAAAATTTAAGGGTGACGTCATCAATTTTTTTAGGAGGGATGAACAAATACATTTTGAACAAAAGTTTACCATGCTTATAATAACTTTAAAATATTCCCAAGATTTCAAAGCATTCGGTTTTGTAATTCCTGAATAAATCGATAAAATAAATTCACGCATTCATTAATTTTTTTGAGTCACCCTGCATATGCAAATCCAAAAATATGAATGGAATGATAAATCACAAGTACAGACCCATCATATTTTGTACATTTTAGATACGATTTATTCGGCAAACTTTTGAGCTGACGTCATCAGTTTTTTGTAGAAGATAACCAAATATATTTTGACTAAACATTTATTATGCTCTTTATGACCTTAAAACATCTGCAAGATTTCAGAGCATTCGGATTAAATCAGTAAAATATATTTACGCATTCATTAATTTTTTTGAGTCACCCTGTATATGCAAATCCAAAAAATATGAATGGAGTGATAAATTACAAGTATAGACTCATCATATTTTTACAGTTTAGATAGGATTTATTCGGCAAACTTTCGAGCTGACGTCATCAATTTTTTGGAGAGGATAAGCAAATATATTTTGACTAAACATTTATTATGCTCTTTATAACCTTAAAACATCTGCAAGATTTCAAAGCATTCGGTTTTGTAGTTTCTGACTAAATCAGTAAAATAAATTTACGCATTCATTAATTTTTTTGAGTCACCCTGTATATGCAAATCCAAAAAATATGAATGGAGTGATAGATCACAAGTACAGACTCATCATATTTTGTACATTTTAGATATGATTTATTCCACAAACTTTTGAGCTGACGTCATCAAGTTTTTGGAGGGGATAAGCAAATATTTTTTGACTAAAGATTTATGATGCTCTTTATAGCCTTAAAACATCTGCAACATTTCAAAGCATTCTGGTTAGCAGATTAAAAATTAAATTTCAAAATGTTGTTTTATAATTTTGATTTTTTTTCCAAAAATCTGGACGTTTCGGGTAAAAACTGAATTCGGAGTCGTAAACTACATGTGTAGGACTATGTTATTTTATACAATTTAAGACCCATTTACTATGTACAATTTTGAAGTGACGTCATCGCATTAGTGGTGGGGATGATTAGACAAATTTTGGTTAGCGTTTTACCATCTACATGATATTCCTAATATAAGTACAAAATTTCACAACAATCGGTCCAGTACTTTCGGAGATTATCTGTCTAATAAAAATCCGGGACGGCAGACGGACAGACGGACAGACGGACAGACGGACAGACGGACAGACGGACAGACGGACAGACAGACGGACAGACAGACGGAAATGGGAGACCTATTTCTTCGTATTCTAGGAGTCATGAAAGATCGAGAAAACGTAAAAGTAGAGAGTCGGCCGACGGACTCGATTACAATACTTCCTTTGCTTACGCTCGGGAAGTAAAAATTAAGTATTTCTAGAATAATCTGATTTTTATGGATGGTTTATTAAATCATCGTGTTCTAAGAATATTGGGAATGGAAATTTAAGATATCTTATAAGAGATGACTGATAATAATTTTATTCTCTGACCTTCCTTTCTCCCGTAATGTCAAAAGCACGTTTATTGTAAAAAAGATCTGTGCTAATAACAGTTACTGATGTAAATAATTAATTCCATTGTAGGTATTTAAAGCCATTTTTTAAATATTTTCGTCATAACATAAATGTAGTAAAAAATATTTAAAAACCATGTGTTCAAAGAAAAAGCTCTTGGATAGAAACTATGAATCATAATATGCATAATATGCATAATACTTATGGGGAAAATTATAAATAAATATCTGTTAAAACTTCTTCTTCTACAATTATATTATCATAAAAGAAGTTTAAATTCTTTTTCTAATATTGAAGTTGAGGCTTTCGGAAGGAAAGAACTTCAAGGATTGCTCGCAAAACGAACAGGGAACGTAACTAATTTATCATTTTAAGAATATAACGTTGTTATATATTCCATTAGGGTTCCGTTAAAAATCTTTATATTTGGTATTTTCTGAACTGGCCTGTTGTGGAAGTCATGAAGTGTGTTGTTTAACCATTTTTTTAAAGAAAAGTTGGACAACAATGG